CCCCAAACCCCAAACCCCAAAACCCCAAACCCCAAATGAGTTTCCGGTTTAGCACGACCGCGTCTGCACAACAGCTGGCCGACAACATTCCCTAAGGCTTAGCAATCCTCAATCAGAACTACGAGCTAGAACAATGATCGCGTGTTCCGACGCGAAGTCTCTACATTGCTTGCTGCAATCGATCCACCTAGATGACGCCCACCGAGTTAATACTAGGTTCAACGACGCTTTGTCGGCCAAAGCAGCGCTGCGCATTGAATACTGGACTTGGAATCAGGACATGTGGTGTGTGTTGACTTCAAGTCCTCTTCTTGTATATAGTCATGATCTTGGCCTTGATGCCTGTGGCGGGTTTATCGTTATAATCTCGGATATCACATCAGAGAAGAGGGCAGAGTATGCCTATAAGCAGCTTGCTAAAGACATACAAGAACACAGATAAATCAAGAGCGATTTGTCGATAATGATTAGTCATGAGATTTAGAACCCTCTCTCCGCGATATTGTACTGCACCGAGGATATCATTCAAGAAATACGCGAAAATGAAGACTACGAGGCGCTGTGTCAGGACCCCAATACTAAGAAGGCTGATGCCTGAAGTATGGCACCTGTCATGGTGTGTAGAGCACCCCGTCCTGGGTGCGTGGGGGCCTGTGGACTAGACAGGAGCAATGCGTGCTGCCTGCACAGCCTCATTGGATCATGTGACCCACAACCTGTATATTATCCTCGCATGCTGCTTCTTTGGGGAAGTAGCTATTAGTTCCAATATACCACTGCGTATACTACTATCTCTATTTCCCGATCCTCCATTACATATAACATTCCCTTAGGCATTTATACCTAGGGGTCTCACCAAATTGTAGACATCCCTGCTCTTTCCAAGACACTAGCCTAAGCAAATATTATTCCCGATATGATCAGAACTGATGGAAGGATTATCATTTGACCTTATAACGTGCCAGGTGGTGAAAATAAAAGTTGAACACTTGAACTCTATTTTTTAATGGGCCCTAGCCGACTGATGCGGAGGAATGTGGAGCTCTCCCGTGATCCCTTGGAGCCTTGAAACCCTCTAGATTCCTCCCATACTATGATCTCCCTTGATTTGTGAATAAGAGGGGGGAAATAAGCCATCTGAATACTTTGAGCGTAGCATAGATTTGGCGCTTGTTAATAGGCCTTGTAGTGCTCAACGTAGAACGGCATGAGGATTCCGCATGGATTATTGTTCGTTTCGTTTCGTTTCTAACATAAATTTACATTTGAATATTGACCAACTTTGGTGTAAAATGGACGAGCCTTTCTTGCAGCAAGGAGCATATTTTTGTAATGCTTTTTGTACTCACGATACAGGAACGGAACATATGGGGATCATGTAACATTCATTGTTTCTATACGGTAAGCCTACTCAAAACTTGGTTCCAGGAGATAAATGTGGCATATATCTTAGCTATAGTATTACTCTTATAACTATTTTAGTTATGCCGTCATCGGATAGACAGTGCCATTTGAAAGAAGCTGTGAGAGGAAGATTTCATAACTACCACCAGAGTCCTCTCCCTACCTTTGTCGGCCTTTTTGAACAGCAATTACTAGTGACAATAATTCGGCTTCTTGCTTCTGATCTTCGTTGAGGATTAGCAGAAAATGTGAAATAGGTAACATTAATTTTAAAAATGAAGAAAGCTAAGGAATGCAGGAAGGAATCTCCTATTTTGGATAATGACGCCCACTGTCCACTGGGTGACGAGTCATGGAATAAGATGTGCAAGTTAGCCTCCTCCCAATGCAGCCAAGTGGCCAATGTAACATATGCACTACGAGTTTGGAACCCGCTTAAGCACTGCATATGGAAGGGCATTGCCTCCAATATAGCCAATCACGCTATATGTTTAGGATCACGTTTATTTGTTCTCTGGGAAAGTGTCATGCATTGTATGCAGCGGTCGTTTTAATAGAGCAGCAACGAATGTTTAGTGGAAGTTTGTCCACCTTGGTCGACTGTGGTTGGAAACTAGTCATGAACTAGTGGTAAGACGTTCCCAGCGCGTGGTAGGCGCTGGCATTATTTACCCGTGCGCTATGTTGTATGACCCTGGCTTGCTATAGCTCCTAAACATGTGACTTCCTTGGCTGGAGTGCAAGGGTCGTGGTCATCAACCCAACTAGTCGTAAGGAGCGGAGTAGACCATTCGTAAAGAAATTCTTTCAACCGGTTCCCAACCAGGTGATCTCTTGTCACTACATCATTCACTGTGGAGCAGATGTTAGTTTGGTATGCTACCCATGTTGTTCGAAGTCATCGGAGCAGCTATTACCGTTATTGGGGCTATTATGTGTGTTTAACTAAGCGAGAGAGGGGGTTGGTTTTCCGTATTTAAAATACCCACACATTTAGCTATTGAGGTAGTTTTACTGTCTTAGGCAGGACAGGACCTCTCTCCCCCCTTCTCTCTCACGGTCAATCTACCCAGTTCAAGATCAATCATAGAGACAGTAAGAGATATAACGCCCAAGTCGAGATCAATATGCCTGCTGACCTGGCAGGGGTAAGACAGAAGGGCCGCATCGGTGGACGAGCGATGAAGTCGGTCAATATAGAAAGGTAGTTTAGGGTGAATCGTCCGTGGATTGACATGCGCAAAAAATCTCCCACTTAAAATTAACTGGAATCTGAATCTTATCATATGGTGGTTGGCCAACAGCTCTTTTTCCGTTGATAAATCTAGAAGGTCCAGGGATCTGATACTCTAGCGATAAATACACAATCATTCCCTGTACGTCTGCGCCTCATTTACCTACTTACGTTGTATCCGAACACCACGGCAAAAAAACACCAATGTCGAATTTACTCTGTAGAGAACTCCGTAGGGCTGGATAAGTCTGGCCTGGCGCGAATAGACTGTCGCCGAACCCAGAATCTGTGAAAAAGACCTTCGGGGTATTAGTTGTCGGTCATACGAATAAATAAGAGACAGCACAACTGCATGATAAAGGGCGAAGAAGGACTAAAAAGGAAATACTCACAGCATTCTAAAGAATAAATATTAAAAAGCAACTTGAAGTGCCACCCTGAAATCGATGCTGACTGGGACATTCCCATCTTGACCGAGGTCTGTAAGGCTTCAATAGCACACCAAGCAGCTCTTGTACATGTGCTTGAGCCTGATATTTCAACTTTGACGTCGTTCAAGCTGGAAGAGATGGTTTGCACGTTTCGGGTCGCAAGAGTTGATCTGAGGGGCCTGAAGTTTCCACACAGTAAAACATGAGCCTGACGATATAGGGAAAGCGCATTCGCTGTAATCACCCCGCCGGGGTATCTTGGAGAGCAATGGAAGTCTGGGATCTGCTCGGCGCACATACGCCACCTAGCCAGAGCTTGTTCAAGTCGTTGCGTTAGTGCCTGGGTCTGATCTAAAAGCCAACTATCCTGGTAGAGATTTGCCAGTGGTTCAACGATGCCATGCAAAGTCAAATAAGACGCAAAAATGCTCAGTCGAAGCGAGGGCCCACTGAGAGGAGAAAATTTTGGCCATTGCGACTGAGAAGCGAATCAGCGGTTTGAAACTGGACTTTCTAGTCTCGGACCACGCCTGTGGGGATATGCTCATCCGTTCAGATTCTTCGCATGGCAGAAAACAATCACTTATATCAACATTCCAAGAGCAGTTAACTGTTTGGAAGGCGACGCCTAGCGCACCCAGATAGACGTATATCGAGCAAATTGCTCTGTCAGGTGACGTTAGATTTGTACAGATTGTCCAAGATAAGATGATTCCACATACCGCACAGTTGTCTCAAAGTCAATCTACTTCTGCCATCGTCGCAAAAGATCAACGTCTCCTCCGTCTGACTCTGGTGCGTAGGGGGGCAGCTTTCTGCGTTCAAAATGCCCTGACAAGTCGGAACATTGATTAGTAGCTTTACTGGAGTAGATCCTCCGAGGAGTGACAGTGACAAAATACTGCATAAGGGCACCCTCTAAACAAAGGATTTTTCTACTTGTCACAATTATCTCGATCAGAAGAGAGGCTAATGACGCTGCTTCTTGGAAGGTCCGGAAATCTCCACTCTTCGTACCGTTTGCCATAACTAGAAGAAGACACTGCAGTACCCATAGCTTTTTATCTGCGATAGTGAGCTGGCTCAGTTGAACCTCTTTTGAGTCAGGGAACATGCTTCATCAATGGGTTTGCCTTGCGTACATATTTGATTGTATTGGCTTTAGACATGCGATGAAGCGAAGCAGCGGTTAGCTCATCGTCGTAGTAGATGGCGCCGATGGATGCCATGGCAAAAATCATACATGGGGGAGCTAGGTCTGCCTTCTAGGTTGGCGTATGGATACATGGTATGTATATGAGGAGATGTGCTTAGTACTCTTTCTAATGTGAAGCGACTCGGAAATGTGAAACTGATGATATCTTCGGTCTGCAGGAATATTTAAGCACTGTGGGCTGGGAGATCCAGTACGGGCATCGGTCTGCGGCTTACCGACGTAGGTGTATGGAACGCGGAACCTAATTTACGCCACCTGTGCTCCGAGATGGCAAAAGAGCCTTTCCATGCTGGTGAATCTATTACCCTCGGTCGTGATTTCGTGGCAGCATGATGCTTTGGGGGAGAAGCAAAGCTATTCAATGCCAAGTCGGATTGCAAGTTTTCTTGCGCTCTCTCGGTCGGGTTTTATACATATCAGACTCGAAAGATCGCGGAAAGTTGAGAGCTGAGATCCAAGAGCCTATGGTCGGGCTATTGATTTCCAACATGTTAGTTGGGTCGAAGGCGGGAAGCCACCCTGTAGCTGTTGAGGGCTCAACCGCATTTTGCATTTTATGCCGTCACCGATAAGATCGTGGGACTGGATGTCTGCATGAATATTGATTGTATGGACTCTGACGGATCATTATTGACTTCCTGACTATGTTGTTGGGTTCCCATGTGGTTCCGTGAATGGTGCCTTTTCAAGACATCTTGCCGAATGAAGCTTGCATTGCAAGGGGTACATCTGAACGGGTGCTCATTGCGATCTGGAAAACATCTGGTTAATATCTCGGGCACCGAACGGTTTGACGGACCTAGGAGAGCGCTCGTGTCTGCAAATGTGTTCCCGCCGAGCGAATGCACGATCACAGTAGGAGCATTGTTTTCCACGGCGCGTAACGTCAGGTCCCGTAGTATCACTCATTCTCGTTTATTGACATGAAATTAGAATCGCCCCTAGCATCTCTCATTCCCAGATTTTCGTGTTCCTAGTCTTCAAAATCATGACACTTGAAAGGTTAAAATACCTCACTATTAGGTGACAGGAATGACTTCTGTACTGACAGGGGCCGAAATTGCCAAAAGTACGTCTCGTCCTCATAGAAAGAAGGATGGCCCCGCTTGGTTTTCTCCCTTCGCGGATGTGTAAGCCGCGTAAGCCAATAAGATCGGACAGATTAAATTAATGCCTAAGGTATAAGGCACTGAGGTCACATGCTATCTTTATTCCTACCGCTTCTAGCTTCCTGCATTCCCGTTGGTCACTTTATGCCTGATATTATCATTGGTCTATTTCCTCACCGCTCACGGGTAATTCTGCCAGTCCCATCAAAATTCTTGGACCAACATAGAGTGGTGGAAGCTTGTACTTGAACAAAAGTTTTAAGAATGTGCACGTATACAATCTACACTGAAAATAGGAGTGATCAACTAAGGTAGGCACTGTGTAAGATAGATGATGATCTAGCTACTAAATGGCTTCATGTGGACGAAGACACAAATATCGTCTCGTTTGTAAATCAGGAGCAGTATGTTCTACAAAACAAGCAAGGAGAGATATGCCAACAGTGTGCCTGTAAGACGGATAAGGGAAAAATAAGTTGTAAATAAGAGAGGCAGCGGGTGAAGAAACCAAAGAAGTCTGTCTGCCAAACTGCGTGGGAAATAGCGAACGCCCAAATGCATCATGGGTCATTCATAATGAACATAGATTCTATAATACATCATCAGGCTGATACCAGATATTCAAGCCGGCATTATCAAGATCCCGCTAATCTAGCAGGTGGTGATGTAAAGACCGAGACTAGAAAGGTTGTTAACTAATATCCAAGCAGAAATATAGGGGAAGGGAACATACGGAGAGGGGTTGTAGTCTTCGAAGAAGTTAAGGTAGGTGCTTCCAGAGTTCTTCATCTCGAAGGCGACAGTCTGGCCGCCAGGACAAGCGAAGGTAGAGATGACGTATGAGTTACCGGGGGAAACGGTTATGTCGCCGAGGTCCTGGGACACAGAAGGCAGGTTGTTAAAGGTAGTAGACTCGTCGACAGCGGAAGAGAGCTTAGCGAAGTCGATCTTTCCATCACCGCTAAAGCTATAGGACGAAGTCTCGAGGTCCTGGAGCTCGGGGAAAAGGAATACCAGGCTGCAAGTTTTACCGGAGTCGGACGAGGGAATGTCGAAGTTGAACGCGCTCGAAATGGTGGAGCTCACGGTACCATTGTAGGAAGTACCAGGCGCAGTGTCAGGCGAGGAGGAGTCAACAGGGACAATCAGGTGGGGGTATTCGTAGCTGCCAGTAGTAAGAGTAGTGGGGCAAGAGCTGCTAGAGGATCCAGTCGCTGTAGTAGAAGATGCGGAACTGGTGGGGACAGATCCACTGTTAGAATCGCTGGGCTGTGAGCCTCCACCAGCACTAGATGGAGAAGGAACAGAGCCCGTGGGAACAGATGCGGTAGAGCCGGAGCCAGAGCCCGTGGCCGTGGGAGCAGGGGCGGTAGAGCCGGAGCCAGAGCCCGTGGCCGTGGGAGCAGGGGCGGTAGAGCCAGAGCCAGAGCCAGAGCCAGAGCCAGAGCCAGAGCCAGAGCCAGAGCCAGAGCCAGAGCCAGAGCCAGAGCCAGAACCTGGACTGGACGAGACAGAAGAGAAGGTTGAAGGAGCGCTGGAAGATCCGACAGAAGAGGGAGCAGCGCTAGCAGATGACGACGAGCTGCCAGAACCAGAGCCCGAGTTTGAACATGAGTCGGCAGTCAACTCCACGTTCACGCAACCGGTGACATCGGACTTGTTGGGGGCAGTGTAGACGTTCAGACCACCGTTTTGGCCCGTGGCACAGGCAACAAAGTCCTTGCTACCGTTGTACTCGAGCTCACCCTGGGAGCTAAGAGAGAAGCCAGGAGTGGGGGAAGCACCCTCATCACACTGGAACTGAGTAGTAGGGGCTATTCAATAGTCAGACATGCTTTAGTTGACATAAGTTGGGATGGTCACTTACGGGTGAGAATGCAGCCACGGCCGTTTGAGTCAGTGATAGCACCTGTAGAATCGATGCAGTATTGAGCGGGCGACAGGCTGCTGTCTCCAATGCGGTTCTGACCATCGCTTAGCTGGCCAAGTTCGCCGGAGGCACCACCGGAAGAGGTGAGGTGAAAGCAGCAGCTGTCGCTACGGCTAACGAGGGCGTTGGTGCTGGCAGCGAAGGCAGCGATGGTGATGAAGTTCTTCATCATGATTGCTCTTCGGCGAATGTGGAAGGGTTGGTAATAACGAATGAACAGAATGAATGTTCTTTTGAGGAAATTAATTCAAAGATCTTCGAGTGTGATATCGACCACGATAGTTACAGCAGAAATTAATCTAGAGGACTCGGTTCGTGGAAGGCGCATCTTTATAGAATGCAGTGGATTAGAGATCCAGAATTATGAATCAAGGAATTACATGTTCTAGTAGGCGGCGAAACTCTCCGATGCAAAAACAAACAAAAAATAGAAACGGCATGCTGTCAGGCAACCTGGCACCATGTGAGTGAATTGCAGGTCCGAACCAGCCGGAGCGAGATGTGGTAGACCGTAGTGACATAGTAGGCGCTGTCTAAACCAGATATCCATTTCATTAAATTGTGGAGTAGAAGGCCATGCTTGATAGTCCACTTACAACCAAACTTGGACATGGATGTGGACCCTTCTCAAGGTCCATTTGAACCTGCTATCCACGGTGCAGTTGAAGGTGGCAAACCACCTTTTCCATGGATCGTTCGTGGTTGCATTCTCCGAAAGGCTCAGAGTGGTCTACCTTCGGATAGAACGGATGAAGTTATATATCTTCGGTTAGAGACCGCGGGACTTTGCGAGATTGATCGAATGCAACTGTTAACAGGTGGGCAGCATTACATGGCATGGTACCCCGATACTGTCTTCTAGCTTTGGACAAAAATAGCTAAGCATAAACTTGGGTATGCTTGGTATACTGCCGACTTCCAGCCAACAGAAAGGAAATAGATCGCTACATACAGGGCTAAAAGGACTAGACCACGTCAGTGATAATAGCCGATTCCCGAAAAGTCCCTGTCTCTGGATAAAATTAGAATAAGATATTGAGAGCTGCTACAGTGGACCGGTGGAACTGGGACTTATGCATCGTATGTAATTGGACATGGACAAGTGTATGACCTCAAGACAAATTTCAACAACAAAGAAGAAAAGACACTGGATGCGAAGCGGTTTTTACCAAGTGGAGCCCGCTTTATTCAACAATAGTCGCGGCTCTCTTTGTTCCTTGTTCACCTTGTTCGCCACCACCAATCATAGTTAGTTGCTACCTTGTGGGAGTTACAAAGTACATTGTTTGGTTTCTGTTGTTCGTTTATTTTTTGTGCGTAATAGTTCACGCCCCACGATGCGTGTCTTTTTTTAGATCTATTCCTTAGACTGACGATCAAACATCGCTCTAGATCGATCGCAAACACCCTACCATATTGTTTTAGACAAAATGATATCAATTGGAATTCGGACATATTATTTGATATGCATATTGGGTGGTTAGCAAGCCTTCCCCAATGCTCTCATAAAACCCCTTATTGTATTGCTTTGTTCAAATATGGATTCCCTGGCTGTTGGTCGTTCTAACTTAACCCCGCCATGTCGATCGCACTATGGCGATCGTACTATGGACGCGACGATGAGCCAATTGGGGAGTGGGGCTCCATATAATGACATACATCTTTACATAAAATTGACACGTCGTGCGTCATACGATGGTGATGTCAATTTCAGATTCCATACCCCGTACTCCGTACATCTAGGTATATCCACATCCACCCCTTTCGACTCCACAAAGACAATCCGATAGCACTATGCTGTCAAAGACAACTACTTTTTTTCCAACCGCAGCTGCTATCAAGGCAGGAGAAGCTTCAACACAGTATAACGATGCTATTGACTGGACGGAGGATGTTGCCAAAGGTTGCTCATATAACCCAGCCATATCACAACTTCTGCTTTCTATGGCTGCTATTCATACCTCAGTGGACATGCTCACACAGGTCCTTCTTGACATCCCTGCGCAGTCCGACCTGGTCAGAGCTCTGCGGGAGGAGATAATAATTGTGACTCGGGACAGTTAAATCAAGGAAATTCAACGACTGAAGGCTGTCACAATTAGGAAGACCCATCATATATTTCCGCTTTTTTCAAATATTGACTGATCCTAGCCCCGATGCCCCGTCTTACCACCACCGACGTTTGAGTTATCAGATGGAGTCTTCGTCCCCAAAGACTCTTAAGTCTTGATCTCCGTGGATAGCATGTGGGACGAATGTAATTATGAAACCTGGAGAAGTTCGATGTTGATCGTTTTCTCTAGATGCGTGATGTTCCCGGCCAACAGACTGTTGCCCAAATTGTTGCACCTTCTCCGATTCACTTGGGCTGGGGCTTTGGGCAGCATGCCTGTCCTGGAAGATCATTTGCCGCCAACGAGACATGCAGCTATATGACCGGACGATTATGGGCAGTGGGTGAATAGTACAGGCTCTGGAAACAATCCATGGCGTTTATTTCGGCCTTTACATTACCCAGAAGCCTGTCGCTCAAACTGTTTGGGGTGCGATCCTATATAAGATCGATTCCAAGGGCTTCTTCAAGATGAGCACTAGTGCTGACGCACACATTATCCAGACTACATAAGACGAAGAACCGATTGACCTGGGTAATGGTGCCAATATGCATGTTTCATGAAAGAGGCTACGGGATACGGGAATGGGCGCCACAGATGCAGAAAGATAGGGGTGCAATGAACATGTACCGTTATGCCTAGCTTCTCAAGGGTCAGCTATTCTAAATTCACCTGTGAAAACAATGTCAAGGAAAGTAGAGAATGTTCGGAGTCATGAATCTATATTTAATTACATTTTATTCCGTGTTTGAAGCCTATTGATATCTAGGTGGTTTTCTACTATCAGTTATGCAACTATTATGATCCCATGCCAATCAGACAGCCGAGAAAATTATGAATGAATTTACTGCTCTTTCTGTCACTTTTTCATTGTTGATGGGTACATACATCCAAGCAAGGCAGAGCTGTTCAAGAATGTACGAGTTGACTACTTCTACGAAGGGGCATAGCGCGCAGGCGGCCTCCGTCGATATCAAAACATTCCTACCGAGGAATGCCGAATATGGTCTAATTGGAGGAACAACAATAATAACCGGTGAATTTGCCGAGCATTTGCAAGTTCTTGGCCTATTGGCCTAACTATTGTAGCAGCATATATATGATAGCTAATCAAGATATCCCTCGTTGGTGTTCTTTTTTACCAATGTCCGATCATTGTCGACAGTATGCAAATATATAATACCTTGCTCAGCGGCCTTGCTATCCTTCCGGGAGCTCTAGCTTCCTGGCCTTTCTTGGATCGCACCAAAGAGATATCGACAACCATCTATCACAATGACCAGCCCAATGTGAAAGTCGAGACCATCTTTCAATTTCCCAACAATGGCTCATGGATTGATAATATGGTTGTTCGATCAGACGGCAATCTTCTGTTGACGCGTCTGGACACCCCCGAAGTTTGGAATTTCGACACCACAACCGGAAATGCGACCCTCGCCTACTCGTTCCCCAATGTCACCAGCTGCTTCGGAATCAGTGAAATTGAGGACGATGTCTTCGCAGTTGTTGTGGGCAATTTCTCTCCCAAGACCTTCCAGCCAGGCCCAGGCTCGTTCTCGGTTCATAAATTGGATTTTACCAAGATCGATGCTGAGGATAACGAGCGCGCACCGAAATTGCCAATGGCCTCGGAAATCATCGCGATGCCAGAGGCTGAGGCCCTAAATGGCATGGCCACTTTCTCACAGGGGTCAAATTTGGTTCTCATTGCCGACAGCCCCAAGGGAGTAATATGGAAGGTCGATACCAAGACAGGAGACTATTCTGTCGCACTGGATGATACCACAATGGCACCGGCGGAGGGTCAGGCTCTTCCTCTGGGTGTCAATGCTCTGACAATACTTGGTGACTATGTGTACTATACCGGTACAACACGAATGGTATATTGCAGAGTCAAGGTAGACAAAGATGTCAAACCCATCGGAGATTTTGAGGTCATTGCTAGTGGATTCCTTCCCGATAACGTTGAGATGACCGAGGATGGCATTGCGTATATTCCGACAGCTCCGCAGAACTCTGTTGTGCGTCTCACGCCTTCGGGGCAGATATCCCTCGTCACGGGTGGGCAAGTATCTACGCAACTAGCAGGTCCAAGCTCAGCTCGATTGAGCAAAGACCGACAAGTACTCTATGTTGGCACCAATGGTGGCCAAATTGCGCCGGTTTTGGGCTCATTCATCGAGCCCGCAAAGATTGTCAAGATCTCATTCGAAAAATAGGGAAAGCCTGATGCTTCTAGGGACGCTTGGAATAACCATTGTGGACATTCGAAGTTGACGAACGAAAATTGATGGGAATATTGGGTTTCTCGGCCAGCTTGTTGTATAATTCGATTTATGAAGCATTCTATTCTTGAACACACGTGTCTCTCTCCGTCATCGTTCACATTCCAGATTGTGTGAGCAAAGGAATGAGAGCCTGCGAAGGTATCAGCTTTGTCTCTGCCTTATGGTCGAAAGTGAGATAGTATCCTCACTCAATTGTATCAACCCAATGTTGTGGATCTTCGCACGACTTAACTCACGATCTCGAGCAAGCGATGTAAAGCCGGCCTGTATATAACAGTATAATCTCCACCGTATATCCTGTAATGACAGCGACTCTGTGATCAGCTATGCCCCGAAGTTGGGCTACTTTGACCCAGCTGAGCTCGTGAGTGACTTTGGTCTAGTTCATTGGGAATTGATCAGGAGTATAGACGAAGATTGCGAACTTGTTTCCCGAGCCAAAACCTATAATCGTGATACATGCCTTTCATACCAGGGAGCTGATTTCGTCCATGACTCCATGTGGAGTTAGCCAAATCGAATGGCCTTCATAGGCATATGGTCAACTCGGAGAGTATCGGTGAAAGGTGGCAAACTGCGCTAAACCGATAGTTATAGTGGTGTGCACCGCAATGTAGCTGTTCGAAGTCATGTGACTTCTCTCCAACAACTATTTTAGTCCCAGCAGATAGGTAGTTTCCTGACGGAAAAACGGTGGTAAGGCGAGTGTATATGTGGCAGAAAAATCTCAATAAATTCTCTAACTCTCTAAAACTGACAATAGTCCTAAAACATGACAATCTGATGGACAACTTAGTAATCAAAACAAACAAAGCAAAAGAAAGGGTGTTTTCGGGCGAAAAACCAGCCTGGTCAGTCACGTGACCCAGCTGTATCAGGGATGAAAAATGACAGTATTCATCCTCGATTCTGACATTTCCTTTTCTCTCTTTACGCAATTCATGAGAACTTTCCAGAGCGTCTACATTTCATCCGTAGACTCCTAGATTCATCTCCAATAGTAGCAATGGACGAAGAAGCTCACGATAGTAAGAACCGTGTTGACCTGACTCTGGTGATGTGCTTGTACCTCAAACGACTGAAATTCCACCACGCTCTCTCGCTGAGGTTCCGGACAGTGGACACCTGAGGTAGCCGCGAAATTATTAGCTAAGCAGTGCCAGCCAATGACGTCATATTGTGATGTCTCCCCACGTAGGAGTAACGTAGAGTAACAGCATGTTGCAGCCTTACAGGACCAGTTTCTCTTCTGTCATACACTCGAATTTCCAATATCAAAATGCCTGGACACTTCGGTCAAAAGGTCCTCAATACCTTAGGTCTCAACGACCATGGCAATCAACAAAACTCCTCGGCCGTCCATCTTCCAGGCAGACTGGCTGTGAACAACGACGAGCACGGATTGTCTTCACCTCCTAATAATGGCACATACCCTCGTCTCTGCAGGCTCTCAGATGGCACCATCCTCTCGTCCTTTACCCGATTCCCCGATGGACAACGCTCACTTCGCGTCGCGAAAAGTACCGATAACGGCCGCACGTTCGAGGACTTCTCCGAGGTAACCAGGGGCGCCGGCGACGTGGATAACATGTTCTTGTGTGAGGTGGCGCCGGGGACAATACTAGCGGCCTTTCGCAATCACGACAAGGGTCCAAATGGCCCCACGTACTTCCGCATCACCGTCTGCCGGTCTACGGACGGAGGTCGGGTCTGGAAATTTGCTTCGCAGGCAGCTGAGAAACGCCCTCCCTTGGGTATTTGGGAACCATTCATGCGCGTCGGACGCCAAGGTGAAGTGCAGCTTTATTTCTCGCAAGAATTTGCACATAACAACCAATGTACCATGCTAGTCGTCTCGCGGGATCAAGGAAGTACCTGGACTCAACCGACCTGTCTGCATGGTGACAAAGATCCTCTTCGCGATGGAATGTGCGGCATTGCACGAACTTTTGATAACGGTCGCGAGGCTCTTGTCATGGTATTCGAGACCACCCGGTACGGACCTTTCAGTGTTGAAGCGCTTATATCATACGATGACGGTGCCACCTGGGGTTGGCGCCATGAAGTTTTCCGCCCACGACCGGGTCATAATGCAGGCTCTCCTCAAATTGCCTCTTTTGCTGATGGGTCCATGGCTACTATATTCATGACAGATGAAGATTCCAAGCACGTGGAATGGGTAAAGAATGCCTCTATCAAAGTCGTATTTGCTGGCCAGCCAGTTGATGGGCGGGTTCAATGGAGCTTGCCAACTCTTGTCTCTCCGGCCTCCAGCTTCTGGCCTGGAATCATGACATTGGATCACCACAACGTGCTAGCCACTTATGACCGTGGTGGACCCCTTGCAAAGACTATCACCTGGCACCCCGCGTAAACATTTGATCCCAGGGGTACCTTCTATCTAGCGAGAGTCTGCGACTGGGTTCTAGGGTTTTCATACACATTCTTTGTTGTCTAAGTGGGTGGCTTGTCCTTCGCGTGATACTTTGCTGGGCAATCTCCGTATTCCCCGCACATTCCCAGTGGACTTGATAGTCCCAGGACATGCATGGATGGATAGTTGAATATTATTCCATCTCTTATCAAAGAGCACACTTGTACTCCACAGTCCACTCAACAATAATACGCTGTAGCATCCATATGGTGATCTCTCTTTCAAGTCAGCTTTTTCGCTGCCCACCTGGCAGTCAATATCCGAGATCGGCCTCACCTCACCCTGACTCGCGTGTTTCACATCGGATGCCGGGCCTTGGAGGTGGCGTTCGGTTTTCGGCGGATATAAACTATCCCGGTGGCTCGGGATTAACCGTATGGGGAAATTGATCTCGGAGTTAATCTGATAATCTGATCGGATTACAAAAAGGGCCAGTACTATTTATGTATAAAGGTTCTTCTGGGTAACGTTGGATGTTCCCTTCAAAACTTCATCTTTCGAAATGTCGACCCCATTACGGAATATTATTGTTGTTGGCGGCTCGTTCGTCGGGCGTGTGGGTTCATTCTGCTGTACAAGATGAAATTCAACTAATGGTCAATACAGATGACAGCTCAGGAGCTAGCATCCATTGTGCCTTCAACACATCGGGTAAGCTATCACTGAGATCTACCTTCGAAAACGAAACTAATGGTTTGTGCAGGTCCTCTTGACTGAGCCACATAGCCATTTCCACCACCTTTTCACCTTTGTAAGTTGACTTCGGTACCAGTGAACGTTCATTCCACTAAGCCTTCGCAGCTAACATGCCCCATAGCCTCGGTTTGCGATTGTTCCGGGTCAGGAGCACAAAGCATTCATTCCGTACAGTGGTATCTTCAAGGCGTCGCCCAATCCCTCCAACCATGGCGTAGTCCAGGCTCGCGTTCTATCGGTCAAGCCCAATCATATTGAGTTGGACCGTGAATGGCATGGCTCAAAGGAACTTCCTTTTGACTATGTCGTTCTTGCGACAGGCACCCGTCTCTCCAAGCCTGCGGCTATGGACGATGATGATAAGGCATCGTCAGTCGAGTATCTACAAAAGCATCAAGCTAGCGTTAAGAGATCCAAGTCGATTTTGATTGTCGGTGGCGGTGCTGTCGGTGTTCAAATGGCGACCGATCTGAAAGAATATTATCCAGACAAGGAAGTGACCGTGGTTCAATCTAGGCCGCAGGTGATGCCGAACTTCCACTTTGGGCTCCATCACCTTATTAAGAGACGATTTGATGAGTTAGGGATCCGACTCATCACTGGCTCTCGAGTCATTGTTCCACCGAGTGGATTTCCCAACGATGGTAGTACCTTCGATGTCCATCTCACAAACGGTAACACCGAGTCCACGCAATTCGTCGTCCTAGCCACCGGACAAACTCCAAATAACCAGCTGGTGGCAGACTTGAAGTCTTCTCGCCCGGATAGCGAGTCGGTCATCAATCCAGAGAATGGATTTATTCGCGTTAGACCCACTATGCAGTTCCTAGATGAAGAATATTCGAACATGTTTGCTGTGGGTGATATTGCAGATACCGGTGCCCAAAAGGCCGCTCGTCCAGGCTCAATACAGGCAGCAGTTGTCGCGAAGAACATACTGGCTTTAATTGAAGGACGCGCTGCCGAGAACACTTTTGTTAAGGGACCTGGGGCCATTCATTTGACACTCGGCATGGTAAGTCAATCAACCCTTTATGGAGCGAGATTTGAATAGGCTGACTGTTGTTTTTTAGAAACATAATGTCATTTTCCGCAATCCCGATACTGTGGATGGTCAGACAGAGCCCTGGATCAAGCCAAAGGATGAGTAAGTTCCTTCAATTCCTTATGCCACGCCAGGAGAAGCTAATATATTTACCAGTGGCCGAGAGGATCTGAATGTGGAAGCTATGTGGGAGAGACTGGGTATCTCGGTTGAGAATCCTCGTGAATATCACCTATAATCGATCACGATGAGTGAAAGAAAGGGAAATTAATGCCACAGAGGTCTATAAATTGCATAGGGCAACAGCGAACACGTCAGAAACTATCATATATTATTCACATCCAGTAACCCTATCGTGCGAAGACGACCCGAGTTTCCCGTGGATCGTGTCAATATGAAGAAATTGGAATTGTAGAAGATCACAACATTCTGTTTAATTGTTTCTCTGGCAGGCAGCTTGCCGTTCAGTTTTCTGTGTTGCCAGCCTCTTTGTGTGCCTGCAGAGATGTGGGATCTGTATAGAGAGATTATAATCATTCCCTTAGTATATTGCTATCACGGACAATGCAAATCGTCGGGCCAGCCTAGTTGTTTATTATCAGACAGCATAGGTTGATTCTTCGCAAACCATTTGCAGTGTGCCGTTATTTGAAAATCCGGACTAAATAATAATAAAATCGCACATTTAACACACCGCGATGGAAATATCTATAGTAGAACGACTTCAATTCACTAGAATTGTACTATCTAGACTTGGGTTTGGGTAGGGAAATTCACCCACCTGATAGCAATGGGTTCAGCTTTGGTGTTTCATAAAATATATATAACCAGGCAAGTCAAGTTGATTCTCGGATAAGTAGACTGCAAGGGGACCTGCCAGGCTCGTGACTGGTTGGGAATCAATAGTTGTTCTGCTACGTCTGAGGGCGAATGAGAAACTATTAACGTGAAATCCAGTTTGATTTCTGCTTCGTGCCTTGAATATTCGTGCCCCAGGAACGTGCTAAGAATTTCCAATCTGGACATCGGGAAGGAGCTATTTCCGACGATGCGGCTTTGTTCCTGATCTGCACCAGCCTTGTATCCACAGTGCGGAAGAAGAAGAATGGAGCTTATAGGTAGGTCTACTGCATCCCCTTGATCCGTCTTGATCCAAGTGGACGTGCGAGCAGCGGCCAAGGAAGAAGGGAAGGGGACCTTGGCAATTCAGCCCACACGGGTAAAGATTCCGTGCCTATACTCCTTCTCATTTGCGGGTCGGGTGGAATAGGGTAATAGTGGCGTCTACCTTGTCCGAAATTCACTGCTATCTTTAGTCCGATAGAAAAGGTCGGACCATCGTGCACCTAGGCCGTGTTTTCTAGTGGGTCACTCCGAGTTCTGCGCATTTTCCAAATCTGTGCAAGATCCTCGGAAAACCCCATATGATGTCGCTTGAAGGAACGACATGATCTGCGTTAGAGTAAGAGTATAAGGCCTAGAGGGATCGGAAGATAAATAGTCGCCGATGGTAATTGCTGGTGGATATCGATTTCCGTATTGAGTGTGTTGTATGCATTATCACTGGCATACCTAGAGAGCAGGTCTTCACAACCTCAGGAAGGAAGATCAATTGTGTTTGCTAGTGCGTCGAGGCATTGCCGGGATGCACCTGTGACCTTGCCAGACCTCTTTGCCCTGTTTGTGATCCTTTGTGCTTTAAGGCCTTTGTTCCTTTATGTCTATGAAATTATTAGAGACATTCACAGCAGTGGTTAGATCGCCATTAGGAATATATATTCTGTTGATCACTTCTCATTTACTCAGCCATAGAGTAAATACAGTCTACATCCATCATTTACTCCGTTGTACTCCGTATGGCTTTGCTGGATCACTTAGCACCTCTCATCAAGTCTTTCTTCCGAAACAAGGATCGGCACCGTCGGGGATGTGAGGCAGGTGGGTTTCATAGGCACCGCTGTCCCTTAGCGGCGGGCTACGGTGGGCGATGCGGCGGGGGCCTTATAATCGCCGACCCACTCCAGCCCACGTGGTGCAGGACGAAGTGATATCTCCTTCGCTTGTGTTTGGAAAAAGAGTGACGGCGAACCATTAGGCTATTATATTCTACAGGGCAAAGCGGTGTTTTCAATTATAAATTGAGAAAGATTGTATGATTCAGTATGAACATGACTTAGATGACTTTGGTTCACATCATCTTCAAGAGAACGAGAAATTCAGACTCGAGTTTTCCATGCTCCTCCACCACTCATTGCAATCACAGTCACAGCCACTTTCTACTGTGAACAAGAGGTAACAACTCATGCCCTGTAATTGATGGTCACGTGGCAACTATCGCAGTTTCCCGTGCCAAAACTGCCAATCCCCACGTCACAGCTGTCCATAATGGTAGTCATGGTATTCACGATGTCTTGGCCTGAGATAGGTTGGTCTCCGCTGCCGTTGGTCGCGTACTTCACGTAGCAGTTGCCTTTGCTGAACTCGGTACCGTCGGTGTATGTCGCCGAAGTATCGATGGCATTCTTCGCATTAATGCAGTTCTGAGGAATGAGGGCAATGCCTGCTGCACCGGAGCCCTCACAGCTGCGTGAATTGTCAGTAATTGGTGGGCTTGAAGTTATAGAATGTCCACTCACTTGTTGTTGTATGCTACAACGTGAACCCCCATTGCGACGAAGGTCGCCAAGATCTTTGAAGCGTGCATGTTGACGAATAATTTTGTTGTTGGGAAAGATGTGAAGGCTGTCGAGTGTTCAGGAGTGAAACGAATTTGACTAGTAAACCATAGGATTCAATGGATCGGCCCATGCTTTATACCCGATAGTTACTACGGCCTCCTATGTCACTTTTCAAAACGATCGCCGCAATCTTTCGAGTTAGAAGGTATGCCGAATGGATCAGCATCCTTGTCTACTGACTATCTCTAAGCAAGTGTTATTGACCCATTCGATAAACACACGTGTTTCTCTCGTCAATCTACCGTGCTAATGAGTGGAGACAGACGGAGTATATTTACCATCCGTGATATATGGTAGTCTGTTTCTATCGTTAAAAGTCTGCGGGATAGACGGTTACATTCGCCACTCCAGGCTACGTGGATGTCTACTCACCAAGCCACTGCGTCACCTTTACCCGATTAGGAAACTGCCCTTGGGAAGCTCAAGGTATGACATACGTATTGCGGATAGCAGGAATGACCCATTATGGCCTTGAGTGATCATATATCCTTATAGATGTGGTATAAAAAGTTGCCATTTCTCCGACCCTTACTTAACTTCAACCCACAAGTGTCAATCGCAAAATCCATCTTACCATCTTACCATCTATCCCACATCCGTGAAAATGCAGCTCTGGGCTTATCTCCTTCCTGTGGCCACCATTGGTCAAGTAGCCATGGCCTACAGCAGCAAGTAAGTATTACGTCTACGGCACCTATCTGAGACTGCTGGTTTCTAACAATCTTCAGCTGTGAGGGGTCTTTCGTCCTTGACACGGACCTGGTTTCCATTGACAAGGACTGCGCAAAAGCCATCTCCAATATCGACACATCGGCAACATACAACGATGGCAGTCAGTTCAGTGAGGGCCACTGTTATCTGGTCTATGCTACAAATGGCAGTGGTGATCAGCCTGTTAGCGGACAGACGATTCATGACGTTGCCCAGAGCATTCTTGATGGCTGTGCAAAGAAGCACGGGAGCTATGGAACTGGAAACTGCGATGCCTGTCATGTCACTGTCAATTACCGATCCTGAGAATGTATATAGAACTTCAGAGAGATCGACGCGAGATTTCCGTTATCTGTTCTCTTTTTTGGCAAAGATTTTAAATCAGAGCTCGAAATGCACGGTATACACTTGAATTTTGAAGTGAAAATTTGGTTCAACTACTGCGCGAGTCCTCGTGCGCGTAGCAAACTGTTGTTGACTTAGATCACCGGTCTAGCGATATTGTAAGCAATATATCTGAATGAAGTTGGCCTTGGGATGGGTCAATGGCTCGCAGATGACTTTAATCAAGTAATTAGGTGGAAATTTTGTTATAACAAGTGTTTCTAAAAAGTAAATTGATTTCTGCAAGATTTTTCAGATGGGTTGGGTTTGCGTTTTGTTCTATACACAATATATCTCATTTGAGCGCTGTTGGCAAAGAAGAAACACTCCAGAAAGGTCAAATTACATTGAATAAGCTCAATTTCCCCGAACTACATCTCAAATCACACAATATCATCAGCAGTGCTTGATTCCGTGGAGCTCTGGCAAGTTGACTAGAGTTCCTCAGTCTCGGGCTTTTCCTCGTCTGGATGATTCTAATGAGACCGATCACAGTATTTTGGAAGAACAAAGGAGCGCTATCCGAGTCTCGATGGAATTGCCCATTGATAAAATCCCCAACGTCAAGATTATTCCCAGCTGCACTGCAAAGATGCTTCTCTTATGAGTCAATGTAATCGGCCTTCCTCGGAAATCATACTGAAGTTTGAACACATAGCATGAGATAAGGAAAGTGCGGCATTGTATAGTGAAGGGTATCAGTTCTTACTGTTACGCTTCGATGTGAAGGGGAACCCACGTGCTGGGTGGCATTCTTGATTTCATAATTCAATCTGTCTCCCGAGGTCCTTCGGACAGCCCTAAGCCGGATTTTGAGACGGTGTAGTATTAAGACAGATCGGCGAGCTTTGCCACGTCCGCGTGGAGGGCTAATGGAGTCATTGCCTCTTCACGCTTCAATCTTCGTTCTGAATAAATTGCTGGAGATCAGCAAACAATTCCACTTCGACAGAGAAACCAATGAGTATGATCAAGTTTCGTGGGGGCCATTTAGTTTCTACGTCATTGCTCATAGATCTCTCCACTCTAGATTAGCTTCTACTCTAGCAAGTAGTCTGTAATGACGATATCTTCCGTATTAGGAAACTCCTACGGCTGAACTTACTAGAAATATTCGCAAATTAGGACTCCTTAAAATATGCACATGTCGAATTTGCCACTCAGGGGTCTTTCCTGAGATATTTAAAATGTGATGTGGGTGACTGGTAGAGCCAAGTTTCCCTTCAAAAAGACGAACAGTTGTTATTGAAATAGACGTTACCTACCGGCCAGCCTGCAGCTTCTCCTCCAACTCTGTTGTTCAAACCTTTCTTGTTCCGCAAACCCCATTTTCTCGAGCTTTCTACGATGCAACTTATTGCCTACCTGATCGGAGCCGTGGCTCCTGCAATGTTGGCTATGGCTTACAATGATAAGTAAGTTTACGTCCTCTTGTCCCTATTATTTCTCTAGCAGACTTGGCTCTTTCGTTCGGAATGTTAATGAGTCTTTAGTTGCGACGGATCTTTGATTCCAGCGAACAAAGACGATTGTCTCAAGGCCATTTCAAATGTTGACACGTCGGCAACATACAACGACGGTAGTCAATTTAGCGAAGGCGAATGCTACCTGGTCTACGCTACAAACGGTAGTGGTGATCAACCCGTCAGCGGACAGAAGATCCATGATGTTGCTCAGGCCATTGTCGACAATTGTGACATGCAACATGGAAGCTTTGGAACCGAAAACTGCAATTCGTGCCACGTGACTGTGAATTACCGCTCTTGAGGGATGGATATGAATTGACTACTTTGGTGATATGTAACATGCTATACTGTTGATGGGAAGTGGTTGGGCTGAATATGCGAATGAATGATATATCGAGAACTTGATTACTTTCCAGACTATGATTAGTAGTTTCTTTAGAGATGTTGTTCTAAAATTCATCCGAAGTTTGTAGAAGTCTAAGCATTTCGCACTCCCGATTTCTTCACGGCTGATGGCCCCCCTCGAGGCTTTCCACGGGTGCTTATATCTTGAACCTCTGTTGGCACAAACAAGACCTGTATACATGGTGGACCGCAATTCCTACCGCAGGATTCGCCTGCGTGGAGTGGAGATGAAATAAGACATTCGATCAAAGGCAGGATAACAGCCACATGGTCAAGTGCTGCGGTAGCCTAGGTATCTATGATAAGGGCATTGATGTATTTCTGGCATTCTGTCAGTATTAACGAGAGCGGGGGGAAACGAGACGTGTTCCGCCTTCGAGAAACATAGTAAAAGGAATCAAGCCACTCTTTGGGATTGATTATTCTCATCGTCTGTAGAGCGTGATCTCATCAAATCCCATCTCAATTCGAAGGCCCTGGCGTTGGTCTCCGGTCCTCTGGGCTCCACGAGGGTCGGGTCGAAGAATCCGGACATCCAGAGTGGCCCCGATTCTTGTCTGGCACCTAAAATGGGTTATCGAGATGTCGGCAAAACACCGAGGTCATATAAGCGAAGAAGCCGAACCCCGCCCCGTATCCGAGTACAGACTCACTCCAATGAAGAGCATTGACTGGAAGAGCAATGGTGACAATGTGCCATTTTGATGGTTACTTTGCAGATCTACCTGATCAAGAGTTGGAAAACATGGATGGAGCCAGTCAAAATAAGCCTGAAGTAACGTATCACAGATAGCAGGCGACAAGGATACGAGGGCCTTTTGCTTCTCAATATTTGCTTAGAATGCCCCGAGGCTAAGGTTATATCAAGTTCGCGACCAACAAACGTCGGCAGCTTAGGGGCTGCCACCCCGAGTACGTGATAAAGACTGTCAAGTCGCTAATCTTGAAGCTTAGGGTTACGACGAGTGCAGACATATTGATATATAATTGGCGCTCATGGGGGATATGGGCGGTTTGGGTAAACAACATCGCCTGCTAGCAATAGAGAACTCGTATGGCCTCATTTGCCAATCAGAAGCATCAAATTATCTGTGTGAATTATTGGGCTCTTATAATATTTGTTGTATATAGGATCAATCTGATAGACCCAGCTCCGCTAGAATGGCTTCATTGTGTTCTCCAACCCGTGGAACCGAACCCATCTGAGCGCCATATCCACCTTTTTCGGTGGAATTGGTTGATCCAGGAGGCAAAAGAGCCGGGATGGCTCCCATGGGAGTTTTAACCCTGGTCCACCGCTCTCGTGCTTGAAGCTGAGCATGGTCCCAAACATTTTTCATGTCGTTGACACTAGCATTAGCGATTGACGCTTCGTCCAACCGAGCGATTGTTTCCTCTGCTGTAAACCTCGAGAACACGTCGTGGATAATAGATTTGAGCTCATCCCGATTTCGAGTTCGTTGTGAATTGCTCGAAAATCTAGGATCGATGGCTAAATTTGGTTGTGAGAGGACGCCGTTGCAGAAACTAACCCATTCCCTCTCATTCTGAACGCCCAACATGACCGACTGGCCATCACCAGCTTCGAACGGCCCATAAGGGTAGATAGCCGCATGCGAGGCACCTGCTGGCAGCGGTCCTGGAGCGTTGTCGTATGCGTAGTACATAGGGAATCCCATCCATTCTACCATACTCTCTAGCATGGAGATGTCAATATGGCAACCCTGGCCATCTTTACCACGTTGCAGTAGCGCCGAGAGAATGTTGCTGTAGGCGTACATTCCCGCGGAAATATCGGCGATAGAGATACCAACCTTCACCGGCTCTTTTCCAGTGCCCGTGACGGATAGCATTCCAGCCTCACTCTGAATAAGAAGGTCGTAGGCTTTCTTGTCACGATATGGACCATCTTGCCCATATCCTGATATATCGCACACGATCAAAGCAGGGTATTTCTCTTTTAATGCCTCGTGAGAAAGCCCCAGTCGCGCACTAGCACCGGGAGCCAAATTCTGAACGAGAACGTCAGCCTTTTCGAGGAGCTTCATCAGGACTGCATGGTCCTTGGAGCATTTGAGGTCCAGAGCCAAACTCTCCTTAGAGCGATTGGTCCATACAAAATGCGACGCTAGGCCATTGACTCGCGTGTCATAATGTCGTGCAAAGTCTCCAACACCTGGTCGTTCAACCTTGATGACTCGAGCTCCAAGATCGGCAAGTTGTCGCGTGCAAAAGGGCGCAGCAATAGCTTGCTCGAGGCTAACCACTGTAACTCCAGCAAGAGGCAGAGGCCTAGAGGGCGGGTTGGAATAATGACGCGATATGAGATGTGATTTTCTTGCATGTTGAACTACACCGGACAGGGCTTGTGATCGAGAAGTAAGTGAGAAGAATGCTTTCATTGTGGGCTGGGTATTAGAGCCTGTCGTTGCAATGCCAGCTAGTTGTCTTGTGCATTTAGAAGATTGATGCGAGGTCGAATTCCCGAATGCATAACTCCGTACTCCGTACTAGTCGGCGCGGAGATACCTCGGTCAGATTGCCGGGAGTCGGCTGTCGGCTATGGTCAGGTGAGCTGTGATTGGATATTGTTGCGCGGCAGTATCTTAGTCATCCACCCTCACAGTCTTGGAAGATTTCAAGGTCCCTTGTTGTATGTTGGTTGTATCTTTTAACTTGCCTATCATATTCAAAGCCCAAAAAATCAGCCTTTAAATTAATAAATAATATTCTACTGCGTACTAATGAAATGAATAAGAGAAGTTAGTACTCCGTACGGAGTACATGGTTCGTGAAGGCGGTGGTAGGGGCGGTAAGGTAGTATCCAATGAGAGAGTCATGAACCAGTGGCCTACTCGTCGCCCGAATGTCGAACACGAACTTTGAACTCCTATGTTGTACAACTCTCAAAGGAAAATCTCCCTTTTTTGGACAAGCTCCGATTCTGATAAACGCCAAGCACATCGAAACCCACGCGAGGCGCCCAATGCACCAATGCACACGGGAAAATTTGTACTTCGTACGGAGTACCCTGTCGGTGCAAGTTAAGTGCCAGGGACTCCCCTGGACAACCTCGTATTCTCGAAATGTGTCTCCTTTTCGCCTCATACCCATACGATAAATGTCATAACACACCGATCGCGATCAGATGAGAACCGATGGTTGGTGTTCCCCCCAGCAAAGGCTGCCTGGCATGTCTCCAACGGCGGGTTAAAGTAGGAAACCCCCAGTGGTAGGCTATTTTCTTTTTGCGGTAACACTCTAATTCAGTGTCCGGTGTGATGAAACCCAGCCAAGATGTCAATCATGCGAGAGAAGAGGGAACCCATGTCCTGGCTACATCAGGAACCGGAAATTCTACCGTTTCTCTGCATCAAGCAGTCATCACCAGCTCTCAAGAACCACTTTCCCCCGGGCACAATATTCAACATCAAATATGGCGCTGGTCACTGCAGAAGAAGCGCAGCAATGGGCCACGATTCCCCGTGCGTCTATGGATGAGGCTCTGATGACAGGATCGGTTTCGAAGGCGCTAGACCGGCAATACAGGAATGGCTTTTGTGATCTCGTGGATGCTATATTTCCGAACATTTATTACAGCTACAGCACTCACGTGGAACTACCTTGATTCGAGATCGCTCAGAACGACCGTGGCGCACGAATTGCAATGGAATAGGGGTTTCGCAGCCTTGGGAGCTTGCAGCTAGGCATAGTAAACGGCGATCAACGAAATATTCTTGCCAGTCGAGAAATATATGGCCGTGGACTGCGCTATCTTGTTCAAGCCATCAAGAATCCAGCTACAGTTGGCACGGATGACACCCCGGCTTTCTTGCCAAGACCAAAGCTCTAGTCGCCTCCTCCCGAACTACTAATGCGGAGAGAGACGATTCAATGAGTGCAATCAACAACAGCCGAGAGATTCTGGGCGATGTGAAAATCCAAATAATGGCTGGTGTGAGGGCTGATCACGAAGGGAATAAGAAAAAGTGTGAGGCTTTCTTTCTTTAAACTGATTCCGCGTTCTACCAAGAATGCATCGGTGGGATCCACTCTCGAGGGTGTTCATTCGACCATTGCACTTCTCCGATAGTTGTCGCTTGTACTAGTGTCCGATCGCAGTCGACAAAAAAAAAAGTAACACCGTGGTTAAAACTCAGTCCGTATAAGAATGAGTGGAAGGTCATCAAAAGCGCTACCATTGCACGCATTTCCCCCGCTCGGAATTATGACAAGACACCCAAGTGGCATTCAAGTGGCATTCCGAGGTTGAAGCGCCGCATCTAGCCCTTTGTGTGATTAACTCGCAAATTTTCCAGTTTATCCCGAAAGATCGACGGACTGAAAGCGACCGCACTGTCTTGAGAAACTGGGCAGTTATGGGGATGCGGTCATGTGCGACGATGCATCCCAGGATCATGACGGGAAATGACATTATCGCAGCCCACATGAGGGGGAAGGGGGCTGGGTCCCATCGTTACAAAGCAATCTGGAGAGAAGGAAATTAATGAATGTTCGACGTTGGGAATGCTGGGGATGTTTCAAATCCGGCGATCACCGGATCAAGAGAGGTTATGACATCGCAGTGAAGTAATAATAATGCATTACAAGCCATTATCATTCTATTCAATTGCTCCACTAGATCGAATTTTATTCTCTGATTATTATATTGATTGCGTAGCCTTTTCCCCAGCCTCGTTTCATACAAATTATGTACACTCTCAATCGCGGTCTTAGCGCAATCGCGGTATTCAGTGTAAGCTCAAAAAAAGCATCGTGATAATGTGACCATAACGACGAGATCGTCCTGAAACATTCTTTCCTAGCACTGCCCCGTAGAACCATGTGAGATCCAGATTGCACAAAGCACAAGGTGTCATTGATTGTTCCTGGAGGAAGAATGCTGGGGCGGTTTTGTCACATTTTCGAAACCGGCGATCATCCCCGGGGAAGGTAAGTTGTCGTACAATGGGGAATACTTGCATATGTACTATATCCTCCATACATGTGATTGATGTACAGTCTGCCCTCCTCAGCTCATGTCTCGCTAATGTATGCTTGCTCGAAAACGCAACACAACACGGGTACCTGGACTCTTTGCGGGTACTTGGGGCATCTCAAGATTCCAGCCCCCGGTGCTTGCGTGGCCCCTGCAGTGTTCATCCATTCGGATTGGTCACAACGCATGCTAAGCATTCTGCTGGACGCCATTAGAAGCTTGGCTAGCCATTGGGAGTGCTTCCGGTGGACCATTAACGTCATACGAATCTGGATTGTAGCGAGTCGCCTACAAGTGCCGATCAGAATCGGCCCAATCATCGTCTTAACCAATCCTCCACAGGTGTCGCCACAGCTTGCGTGATCTCGATTTTTGATGTTTCGAGAAGCAATCTATTCTTAGTTTACCAACGTCTGCAAATGACAAGAGCGACCGAGGGATATATATATAGAGGATCAAATTCGCCGCCTAGCTGGTTACCGCATTGCTAGACTTACCAACTAGGTTCACCATACTACTTTGATATACGTTGTGGACAAAATCAATTCTCACAATCAAAATTCATCTCATACATTCCCTGTCATGCCGTCCTCATTGGCTTCTAGCGAGCGCTCTGGCTCGGTCAAGTCGCACCACAGCCCCAAGACTTCTCTTCAGAGCAAGGCCGATCCTAACATGGCCCTACATGAATCAGAACCTAGTGTGTATTCCCGCCAAAATAGTTCATCTTACTATAGGACACCCACTGACAGGAAGTAGCCGCCGTGAACCTCCAACCTGGATCTCGGGATACATTCTCGCTCCGAAGCATCCAGCATAAGGACCGGGAAGGAAAGCTCATCAGTAAGTCACCGAGTACAATTATGTTCGATTAGAACTGCATTCTAACCTGGTGATAGCCGATCCCGATCTCTCCAACCCAACACGCAGCCGACTCGAGCGCCCGCTCGACACAATTCGATCGTTTGATGCAGCCATCGATGCACATCGCAAACAGCAACGAATATAAAGGAGGGATCAGGACCAAGTAATTACACCAGGACGAAACGAAGGAACGCTTCTTAATGCCAATCTCAATTCGAACACGAGGTGTCGATGTATAATTAATGTGTATAATGGAGTCACATGGAGATATCGAAATTCGAGTTAACTATTCTTTCATCTGTAGCGGGGTGTGGAAAATGAGCGGAAATGTAGTCTCTGGCCATTTATTGCGACATGTAAATTCTGGTTTTAAAACCACAAACCCATGAAGACCGCCCAGAAACATCTATGACAATTGCCGGTGTAGGCCTTTTAGTCCACTAGGATTATTTACAATTTCCAAAGCATGATTACTACTGAGGGGAATTTACAAAATATATATTGGAGGGAGTGAGATCCCCACAAAATCAACAGTCATGTATGTTGTATAAGATTCTCCACACATGCCCATTCGCAAAGGGTATTGTGCAACTCTCGACCGGAGTTTGCCGTTGTGAACTTATATAGAACGAAGTCGGTCGGCTATTGGAAGCTGGCATACATTGCAAGCATGGCCGAAGGAGCGTAGAATCGGAGAAAAGCCGACTTGATCTACATGTCGATCTTTTCTAGACTACGTTGGCCCGAAGTATACAGCAATTCCTAAAGATCCCCATCGTGGATTGTAACTAGGTTATTCTTAACTTGCTATTTCCCACATGAGCCCTCATAACCCTGAATCTCTGCGACAGTCTAATTACGCATATGAAAGGGAAGAATGACATGCATAAATACTTGTGCATAGATGAATCGGCCATATAGAGAAATCATCTCCGAGGTGATTCAAGATCTTGGACAGTTTTCTTTGGCCAATAATATTATTATTTCCTAGGGCCAAGCAATTCTGTAGACAGACTATAGCTTCAATCTACCTAGCGCCGAATTAAATTAGATCTTTTGAGGATAGAAAAAAGGAGAAAGCCACCCAATGTCGGCGCTATACCAAGAAGCCCCACCACGCACCGCGTCAGCTGAATTTTTTTTACCTTTTTTTTCATTTCAACTAGTGAGGGAATAACTGTTAATTTAAGATTACTTTTGATGGCTGCCTATTTCAATGGGGAAATGCATACGTGGTAGTGTCTTTGTTTGCAGATCGACAAAGAACTGCCAAAGCCAAGTCCAGTTAAGTACGTGGAGCCTATCCATCTCTCTATTATTATTCGTTCGGACTACATGAACCGATTCGCTCTCGAGCCCTAATAATGTTCTTTTTGAGAGACTATCTCCGGGAAAACTGCCATGGCGCCAGTGGCCTAAACCTATTGAACGATGGCTTCAAAGCACTTGACCATATTGGGCATGTTAGCTTGGCTATACGCGTCCTTTTCGTGGTTTTAGAGAGAGCAAATAGAATTGGACTATCTGACACTATTAATCTTACTATTAATGGATTTGAAGCCATGGATTCCCCCCGTCTTTGACCTTGCTCTCCCATTTCACCAGTCATTATTCACTCGTTTGATTCCTTGATTCCTTGATTCCTTAATTCTCTCTCTATCTTTTTCAATCCAATTATTCCAACTACATACATTCGCTATAAACTTTTGCGGCATCAGCTCCGCAAGACCATTCATCACCATGAAATTCTCCTTGGTGGCACTGGCAACCCTGGCTGGGGTTGCTGTTGCTGATTTGGATCCCATCATCATCAAGGTACTGTCTTTATACATGTTACATGTATTCAAACCGTGGTGTACTAAAACTGTCAATAGGGCTCCAAGTTCTTCTATTCTAGCAATGACACTCAGTTGTAAGTCCGAATGTATCGATGTATCTCAAATTCGGTGACTGACAAGAACAGCTTTATGCGTGGAGTCGCCTATCAACGTAGGTCGTTTATGCAGTCACCTCAACATCCCGACTAACCTGTTTGCAGAGGAAAGCACGAGTAGCAGCGGCTACACTGACCCTCTAGCCGATGCCACCGCGTGTGCGCGTGATGTTCCCATCATGGCTGAACTCCGCACCAATGTTATCCGTACCTATGCCATCAACGCCTCTGCTGACCACTCGGCATGTATGAAACTCTTGTCCGAGGCTGGTATTTACGTGATCTCCGATCTGTCAGACCCCGATCTATCGATCGATCGAAACGATCCTTCGTGGACAACCAATCTCTTTGCCCGATACACTAGTGTTGTTGATGAACTGGCCCAGTACAACAACACTATTGGTTTCTTTGCTGGAAATGAGGTTTCCAACACCATTGCTACTTCCGACGCCAGCGCTTTTGTCAAGGCTGCTGTTCGTGACACCAAGAAGTATATCAAGGAGAAGGGCTACCGATCTATGGGTGTTGGATATGCTACCGCCGATGTGTCCGACATCCGTGCGGACATGGCCGACTATTTCGACTGTGGAGATGCCGAAGATAGCATTGACTTCTGGGGATACAACATCTACTCGTGGTGCGGTAATTCGACCTACGCGAAATCTAAATACCAGGCTCGTACCGAAGAGTTCGCCAACTACTCCGTCCCTGTCTTCTTCGCCGAGTACGGTTGCAACGAGGTCACGCCCCGCGAGTTCACCGAGGTGAAGGCCCTCTATGGCGATACCATGGCGGAGGTCTGGTCTGGTGGTATTGTGTACATGTACTTCCAGGAGGCTAACAACTACGGTAAGGAAATGATTCCTTTCCCACATATATGTTCGGGTAACTGATCAGACTTTTAGGTCTGGTCTCTGTCGTCGATAGCACCAGTGTCAAGACCATGTCCGACTTCAAATACTATTCCAGTCAGATCGCCAACGCCAACCCCACTGGTGTCAACAAGGCCTCCTACACTCCCACCAACACCGCCCTGCAAAGCTGCCCTACCGTCGGAGCCAGTTGGGACGCCAAATCCTCCCCTCTGCCCCCTGCCGCCGATTCCCAGCTGTGCGAGTGCATGTACGATGCCTCCGCGTGCGTTGTCGCCGGATCCCTCGCCTCGACGAAGTACGCCAACCTCTTCAGCACTGTCTGCGGCTACACCGACTGCAGCGGATTGACAGCCAATGCTACCACCGGCGAGTACGGTGCTTATAGCATGTGTTCAACCAAGCAGCAGCTTGCCTTTGCCTTGAACAAGTACTATGTTGAGCAAGACCGTGCTGCGGATGCTTGCAGCTTCTCCGGGTCTGCAACCGTCAAGGCCTCTACCAAGGCCACTGGCACTTGCTCTACACAGATAAAAGAGGCTGGAACCGCTGGAACCGGAACTGTTACTACCGAAAACACTGCAACCGCCGACTCCAGCTCTGCTTCCTCGACAGCCTCGTCGTCCACGTCTAGCAGCGGCGCCATCAGGGTGCACCACAGCTCATCCTTTGGCTCTTTCCAGGTGGCTGCTTACATTGCCACTGCACTCCTGGCGGGTGTTGGAATGATCGCTCTGTAATTCAGTAGATCTTGATTTTTGTATTTTCTTCGCATTTGGACCGTGTGTCTGTTATTTCTTTTCGTTCCGACATCTCTGATCATGAAGCTCAAAGCAATTCATGTTCGAGCTAGCGAGAAGATAGCATTACTTGCACCTTTTCCTGATTGATTATCATTGCTCGAGAAAGAAATTGATAACCATCCTATTGAAGCGTGCAAATCGTTAAGATAGAATCTGATTTGTATACCATTTGTTAGCCATGTCTTTTTAGCAATTTCGGTTTTAGTTCTAGTCTTACAAGCCTCGGTCTCCTGTCTTTCTCGCATTCTTTTCTTCTAAATCACCAATATTTTGTGTGGCCATTCATTGACGGGTCGTCTTACTAGTGCGTACCCCCGACCTTCATTTGATGTTGTACATCGTGTTTTGAGCCCAGGATGCAGAAGCATATCACCCAAGCTCTTTGATGTCACCAACGTAAAATTATCATTACCTTCTCCCAGTCTCCCCATCCAAATGCAACATACCGATATGCTCACTGTTTATTCTTCTCGGAATTAATTTATATTTTGTCTGAAGTCACCCCGGGTTCGAGGCTGCTTCAAATAGAGATTATTTATATCATTTGCTGAAGTATTTATTTATATCCTCGAAAAGAGTCACCCCTGGATTCTTGCCATGTCATATACTGCTGAACTCGGATGGAATTCAATGGCACCTCATCCTCAGACCCATCGTCGGCATGGGACACCTCCAGCTGTGTTCTGGTTTTATTACGCGGCTCATTCGCCGGTCGTAGGGCAGAGTTATCCAACTCATAACCTTTAGATTGGTCGAGATCTGTAGTTCGTGATCTAGTCCCAGACCGGCTGGAGAACTTGGATGAAAATATCATGAACAGTGGGCGCAGGGTCGGCATGCAAGCGGAGATAATACCCGTTGAGGATTCAACGACACACCAGGTGCAGGATCTTCCAAGTGTCCAGGCAATGTCCGTCGGGTCGAATCCAAAAATGGTAGCGAAGCGATAGGCACTAGTGAAGACAACGCTAAGGGAGAGCAGCCCGGTTAGTCTATCGTCACAAAGTAGTAATATGTAGGAAATGGATATACGGACAAACTACCCAAGAGAAATATTCCAACCACGGACAGTCGATGCGTGAGGCTTGCGTGCAGTCCCCACACCACCTTGACCGGTAGAGACAGAATGAGAATGTCGGTGAGAATGTTGGGTACTGCGTTCCCGATGAACATGCCTTTAAGGTTGATACATTTACCAGGAATGCGCGTGTCCCAGGCTCGCGGGATCGGATTGCATTGGAAGACGCTCACGAGGATAATAGCGACAAGCCAGGAGAGTGTCATCCCACCCAATACCAAGGAGGCGATGCGGATTTCCCTCGTGGGGAAGATGCGACAGTACATGAGGAGGATAGAAATTTTGGTGGTTGCTACCGTTGTGACGTACATGATCTCAAATATCAGTAGAAGCTACTTGGATGTTAGCGGAGGTATCAACTGTATCCTCTGTAATTTGAATCGGACCTTTGCAATCATTATAATGTTTGCTAACGGCAAGACCTGAGAATGTAAACCCATGCCATAATTAGTTACTATCAACAATTAGCATGAGAATCAACAACCTTTAGGGGAAATGTGTCGTACAAGATAGCATCAATCCAACGAGTGCTAACAAAGGAAAGAGAGCGAGCACGATAAAAAAGTCGTCCAGGCCTGGCTTTAGTGATTTCTTCCACCGTGCGAGAAACCGTAAAATCACAAACAAGACGCCCAGGACAGTCATCGTGATCGTCCCGGCCCGATAGGACCCTTGGTAGCTATCCTGGGCATTGTATGCAGCCATCGTGTTGGGACGTTCGAAACAGGCCAAGATCAAGGTGCGGCAATGCTTACTTTAAAGAGAATTGATTCCTCTCATGCAGCCCCCGAAGCGGCAAAAGAGACTTGTCAGAGATGATCCACTTCAAGTGTCAGGATTCATGGTTATCCACTATTGAGCGACAAACGGTATGCCTAATGTGTGCACGATTAATATTGCGAGGATCAATCCGTATTTTAATACTCTCTGTGTTGCAACTAGTAAGAGGACTGCGGAATACTACGGAATGCCACCGCAACAAAATTCGATGTGCTTTGGTGCGTAACATTTTGAGACGAGGGGATCATGTTATTCCTCCAGTCGTATGATTTTCATTATTTCCTTCGTATAGGTTTAAGGTTCAGTCGGCCCTGACTAGATACAGGGTTTAGTACATTAGGCTTTGGGTCTGCTGGTACTTGTTATCATATGTAACACTTGGACACCAGTTCCTTTCGACTTTGCGCTGTTGCTGAATAAAATACAAGTTGATAGGAGAGAATACTGTTTTACAATGTTGTACGGAGTAGCACAGGAAAAGATATCCGCTGGGAACTCCGGGTATTCTGCATATCCCTGATGATCTGCATGTCAATATCCCACAGCAAATCAGAAGCACGAGAACAACGAACAGAAAAGGGTATGCTCCGTAAATAAGAACAATGGCAGGAACAACGGCCTTGTTCGATCCTGCGAATGTCCGCCTAGCCCGTTGTGGATCGAGGCCTCTGCCAAGATTGGAAATTCCGGCGACCACGTGGATACTGGTTCGAAGACCCCAATCGGGGCCCTTTGGTGCAATATCCGACCGGTCTAACGGTTTTGCTAGTGACGCCGGGAACCTATAACAAGGTGAATCTCAGTCGGGCTCCATCGTTGGCCCAAGCAGTCGGAATACTTCAAGGAAATTGATTATAACAATAGATCCAAAGAGCCAATCGTTCCACGTACCGAAGAATTGTGGGCCCGGTATAACCTGCCCAGTTCAGTATAAGGAGAGGGTGATCCTTTCGCCGGGGTTTGCTGATTCCCCAGACCCTGGTTGGGCGTAGATGTACGGAGTGTTTTCCCACCCCAATTACACGATGGCCATGTTTGAGAACCCGTTTTCGTCTTCGCACTAGGCGCATGACAGGCCGCTGACACAGTCGACGTCCTTCTAGATCTAAACGCACAAGCGCGGACTTATTTCGGCCCGTCTGTGGGCGCATCACAATTAACGTCTCTCAAAGAAATGGTAGAAGCTGGCTGCTAGATTTTGGTGGTAAACGACTCCTGTGGCGAAATCGTCGGCGCCGGGGTTGTTGGGGGCCTGGGTACACGCAGCGGTGCAAAGCCGGTCTTCCCGGCGTAATCATGGCTGCATTTGTGACGTCCCAGGGGAAAACGGTAAAGGACATGCTGGGCGGAAGCCTCCTTTCCTGGATGGTCATCCAGGCGCAGGGGGAGGGGTGTACACAGCATCGCCCTTGCTGCCGTTGTAGTGCGTGCTGCCATGGAGGTTGAGTAGTCGTAGGAATCATCACTAATTTGTAAAAATACTTGTCAGTCAAATGCAGACACCAGACGGGGTAACCACTAAATAGAGATATGAGGTATCACTTACTGGTGGGAGTAATGGTAATAGTTGAAGTTCAATCCCGCGGAGCCGTATGCTCTGAGTGTCAGTGAGAGTCGATTTGGAGTGTTTTCGGTTCTTGAAGATCAAATGTTGTGAATCTTTAATTTATTACCCGCTTTGCTCTATAGATATATATATGCCTCTACTCATCTGGTAAAAGGGTTCACCTCTAACTTGCAAGCACACGACTTGATATATATAACTTCCCTGCTGCTTTTGTAGTCCGTCAACCTATCATGATTAGGTCAAGTCGCATCTCTCGTTTTTATATTTCTACTTCATACAAGAAATGGCACTGCCAATTTAAATCCCCGTGCATCCTCGCCTACAGAAAAAGACTTCATTTGATTTTTCCAATGATGAATATGCAAGCTCGCTCTAAAAACGCAATGTCCGGAATTTATTGAGTTTCCATAGCCCATACTTCGCGATAGTGACCGTTCCAATTATACACGTTCCGACAAGAATTGCAAATGCCGAAGGACTGTCTTCAAAGAAGTTTGTCACGTTCATTCCAAACAGGCCCGCCACAAAAGTTGACACGGCAAATCCCAACATGCAGATCTCCAGTTGAGCCTCGAAAACTAGGATCTGATTTCGTCGTACATCCAAGATTGATTGAATGGTCTCCGTTGTGCGCTCCAAATCGCCTAGTAAAGCACTGGCAGACTCCGCAATAGCGTCCGTGCTCTTGTAATATGCCTCGAGGAGGTATTCCACTTCTTGGTGATCATCTACCTCATGCGGTTGACCTGCCTCCCGATCCGTTAAGAACATGGTCGCCATGTCTTCATCATTTTCAAGAATTTCCCGTAGCGCGGAGCGGAACTGGCGGGCGCGCTGCTGAATTGCCACGAGCCTTTTCTTATGATTCTGCAACCCGCGCAGAACAGAGTAAACAACATCTTCTCTTGTTGAATCCTGCAAGCTCTCTTCAGCTTCTCGACGGATAAGAATATGCTCGGCTTCAAGAGTCGCAATCACAGAGGCAAGCGCCGCATCCACTACTCGTAGCTCAAATGGGAGTTTGGATAAAAGACCAGAGCCAGGACAGGGTTGGAGCCTGCCCTGAAGGTCTGTCATAAAGACATCCTGCACCTTCACGTGGGAGTTTTCAATTGGGAGAAGAAATAGAAGCACTCCATTTGTGCGGACCAGGAGCCGTAAAGTAAACATGCTGATGAAGATAACAGACGGACGGACCAACAAATGCGGGATTCCTTCCGAGACAAGATCCACGTTGCGTAGATCGCGACCATCTAATCCCCACCGTTTAGCAATCTCATCTCTAGTTCCTCGAATTTCAGATTGTTTGACGGAGCCATCGACATCCAAGACCATGCCGCGTAACTCCGTCGCATCATTTATGCGGCTTTGCGACAGAGCAAGAGACAAGTTGAACACATCCTGATTGAAGGAGACTTCTTTTTTCATGTCAGGCTCCCGGATGACATGATGCGATTTATTGGGGAGCGTGATGATTCCCCGTTTGCGGTAGCCGGCCATGTTCTGGATCTTATGTTGTTTCATGCGGAGATTGCCGGAAAGATGATGGAATTGGCGTGGTGTATTTGTACATTTTGACAATCTTTCTCTTGGAACAAAGGATAAAAAAGTCCTTGGAGCACATCGATGCATGATATATATACCGTCTTTGCCGGTTGCCAGTGTGAACGGAATTGTGTCCTTGGGCAATTGTCGATGCACTAATCGGGTTATGTGACTTGGCGACTCGCGTGGCTTATCATGAGGTTACGTAGTTACGTAGTAGGTCATGGGCGAAATGGATATATGGCGAGGGCAAGTATCATTGATTATCATTGATAGTGTGATCTAAGAGAGCGAATGCTATGACCTGAGGTTCCCCCCTAGTGGAAGAACGTTCATCCGGCAATTCGGATGATCTGCCTCATGGCTATGCTTGTAGCTGACTACGCTGGTCTTTGTACTAGAGAAGCCACTAAACCAAAGCCGTGATTGAAGAACGAATACGAAGAAATACGCCACATTTTAAGCTGGTGGAATGATAGGGGAAACCTTCCAAAAATAGGAGATATTTTTGGAAACCAAAATACCTTTCACAACTCATGCACGATTCTGCAGCTTCTGCAGCTTCTGCAGCTTCTGCGTGATTCTCTTGGGGTCAATACTTCTTCACAATTGTGTCGATATAGTTGATATTCTTGTCTCCAAATGACTGCGGCGGCTTCTAGTTGGGACACGAGTCGTTGACAAAGCCGCTGTATGAAACGCCCTCGGATATAGTCCGGCGGAGCCAATTGTGAGGAGGAGCGAGCCATCCGTCGGTGGATAAAATGCGGAGGCATGAGAATTTTAAAGAATGGATCAAAAGATGTAGGTACACGACCGAGATACTGTACGGATTAGCTGGGACTGATCTGGAATCTCGGCATTGGTATTGATGTCGGCATCCAAAAGATAGGTTGCGAAGGCCGTAAGCACAGCGGGTGTATTGGCCACGGTATAGTTGCTTATCTTGTAGTATATATCGATGCCAGTGTTAGTGCTGAGGTCACATTTACGATTCCTGGGTGGTTGAACGATGATCTGGCGTCCTCGGGTCCACGGTCGGCCAAATGCTGAGTCACCCACCAATTCAACCGTCCGCTAAACACGCTGACGATAGCAGGGTAGCTTGTTACAGGCAAGGGAAACTTCAGTATGACTACGTCAATGCTTCCCTTCTATCATCCATTGTGCTCTTCAAGTTGGCGACACCAATCCACTCTGACACCCATCATGGGCAATATCATCTAGCCGAAAGTCGATCCCCTCCCTGTCTACGGACATGACCTGACGGGTAAGCTCATCGTCATTACCGGTGCCAGCGCTGGAATGGATCTCGAAACGACCAAATAGCTGCTGCGACTGTGCGCCTCGATTATGATTCTCGCCGTCCGCAATGTTGCCAGGGGTGAGGCCTACGCAACTTTTCTCCGCCAGGACCGCCGCATTCAAACATAACCCGGGGGCGATCATGAAGGTCATAGTTCTTGATATCGATGATTTTGACAGCGAATAACGGCTCACGAAGTAGCTCCGCGAGAGGTTTCGGTAGTCTATATCCTCGTTCTTAATGCGGCTATCGGTCTACCCAAGCTGGAACGCAGCGCGAGCGACCATAACCGAACCACTCAAGTCAATTACTACGCCAAAGTTTGTTTACTGCCGGGCTAATGCCGAATCTAGAGGGGAGTGCAGAGAAGACAGGCTCTTCTGTGCGTATTGCCTGGGTCGGCAATCGCGCGCACGAGGCCATAAGCCTGGATAAGAAACCTCCTACCAAGCCCGATGAAGGTCTACTTGCGCATATGGACAGCGAAGATGCCTGCATCCCGTTCCAGCGCTATGGGGACTTGAAGCAACCTTGCGCGACATTCATATACAGTTTAGCGCCGCGGCTGGACCCCAAGGAAGTCATTATCAACATGACGTGCCCGGGAATGGTGAATACCAACATGCGCGACGTTCTCCCCCTACATATGCGCTTGATTGTGAATCTTGTCATGTCCTTCCGCGCCAAGCCTATCCTGCATAGTGCATCCTGCATAGTGCACTGGTGGCGGGCCCCAAGTCACATGGCAAGTTCTTGAACGACAAGACCATATCTGAGTTGGTAATAGGCTTTGTCGTTCCATGTCAATCTCGTTTTAATGAAAGCTATCATCTGATTGGAATGTTGCAGGGTGAGGAAATTGCGTTATTGATATGCTCGTATGCGTGCTTATCCACGTGAGCTCTCGCTCAATGGCCGTGCCTCGTGGTGCAGCAGCACAGTCTCTAAATAGGAGAATGCCAATTCCTACTCTGTAAGCTCGCGAGAGATCTGGATAGCTGGTGGCATCATACTTTGGAGTTAGGGATGAAGCAGGCCTATCGGAGTTGCTCGTAGAACTGACATATATTTAATGGCGAGGATCACGCATCGAGATCAGAAATTATGGCATGGGAAGTCCATATCTAAGCCGAGTCAGTTCCCTTCATCATTGTACTCGGTGAAGTCGCTGTCCGGGCTGCGCCGTCAATATTAATTATGTAATCATGTAGATGTCCGATGTACAAGGCACAAACGGTAGACCACGTGACTAGACGTGAGTCTCGAATCTACGTTGTGATGTCATTTTGCCTTTACCCGTACTCCGTACGGAGTACAGAGACGGCGATTATGCTTTGATTGGGTCAATTAATATCTGAAGATCTCAAGCAGAACAAGCAATGAGTCACATTGGGCAAAGCTTGGCTTGGTTTATCGATCAGCATCTCTCGGACATAATCCCTCAATTACCGGAAAGAGTATCTCCGAGACCCGGATATTCTGTATCGAGTAAGCAGCTCAAGACTTACATTTACGTCAAATAAGCCTTCGTGTCACCGTTTCAAAGGCCGTCTGTCGATTGACAACTGTTACAGAGACGCATAACACATACGTTCGGAGACATTGTGGTATACCCAGATAATCTGGAAAGGCACATCTCCGACAAGGCAGCAACGTCTCACCCATGTCTAGCGCCGTCGCAAGGACTTCCTGCGACGAACAAAGGAAAATCAATCCGAAATCACAGTCCCTTGGCAACCCTGAAAATGGAAAATCATCAAGACAACCTCTCTCCAGATCATGACGAGGTTGAAAATTCTCGCGCTCCACAGCGCCGCCGCCGACCGCCCCTGTCTTGCACGGTCTGCCGCAAGCGCAAATTAAAATGTGACCGCTCTCTGCCCTGCGGGCAATGCGTGCGCTCGAAGACAACAGCCCAATGCGTCTTTATCGGAGCTCAGCCAGATCCGACATCTGATCAGCGACGCATGTCGCCCCCGCAATTACCACACGGTGGCGTAGAAGACCAGGCCGGCCGGAAAAGCGGAATGTTCGTCTTTGACTCGAAGTTGGGGCCGAATTCGACTTCAAATCGCGTTTCAAAGCGTGCTCGTTCCGATGAGCTACATGAGCTCCGGAGTCGTCTGCGTGTTTTAGAAAATTCGCTCGGCAAGTCGTCTCATCTTCAGACGCCTGAGACCTCGGTTTGTGATATATTTTCTGAAGTAGATACGGCCAATAGTTCTGAGAATGTTGGTGTTGATGACCGCGTACGATTCTTGCCAGATTCAAGTTTCCGCGGGAAGAAGACCAAGACTCGGTATTTCGGTCGCAGTCATTATACCACCACTGTTTCCTTTGTGAGTATCCTTTATTGCGTTGTTTGGTTGATTTGCTAATTAGATGTAGTTCAAAGATATTGGTACCTTTATGCGCCGTGGTCGTTGCCGCGGAGGAGCAAAGGATAAAGAGTACACTGATATGAAACAGTTCAAGACCGAGCTTTGGTCGCGTGAGATACAAAAACATCAGCGCGACTTTCGCGAGCAGCCTTTCATGCTTAATGAACTGGTTCCCCGGCGAAACGTTGCAGACCGTCTGCTTCAGCTTTATCTCGACACTTTTGAGACCACGTATCGAATCTTGCACATACCAACCTTCTTGAGACAGTACGCTGATTACTGGGCCAACACCCAGCCAACCGACATGGCCTTCGTCGCTCAATTACTCGCTGTGATGGCTGCAGGCAGTTGCTTCTATGTCCCATCTCCAGGTCAAGAGGACCGAGACATATTCCAAAAACCGGCCATGAAGTGGATCATGGCTGTTCAGTCATATATCTCGTGCACATTTCTGAGCCCAGAAATCGACTTCCGAATGCTCCAGACACAGACTCTTCTTTTAGTAGCTCGCCTGGGAGTCGCCAGTGATGCGGATGTAGCCTGGGCCTCAGCCGGGTCGTTGATTCGGTCTGCGACGATAATGGGTCTGCATCGCGATCCGGCTCGTTTCCACAAGGCCAGGCCATTCTACTCTGAACTGCGCCGTCGTCTTTGGACAACTATCGTCGAGCTGGATCTCAAGTTCTCCCTCGACCGCGGGGCTCCACCCTCGGTTGATCTAGACGAATGCGACTGCGATCCACCGTCCAATTGGGACGATGCGGACTTGATACCAGACATGGAGGATAATCCAGCTCCGCTCAGTACTGCCCTTTATACCCAAAGCTTCTACCAAACCCTCCTCGCTAAGACCCTCCCACTACGATACCGAATCGCGAAGAAAATTAATAGCCTCCGATTTAATCTATCATACGACGATGCCCTGCGAATGGGTGATGAACTCTCCCGCTCCATGCAACATGCATCCTCCCTTTTCGAAGATAATTCCCCGAGTATTGCTCTGGGAGAATCAGGACGTCACCGATTCGCCCAATCCCTACATCTCTTCATCGTGCGCAAATTCCTTCTCGCCCTCCATCGCCCCTTCTCGCTTAGTGTCGTACGCCTACCCAAATGCTCCTATTCCCGCAAAATCTGCCTCGAAGAATCCCTCGGCATTCTCTCTCAGATGGAACTCCCCCTTGCGACAGAGAACATCATTTACCCGAACATTACTCAACTGGGAAGCGGTATGTTCCGTGATGAAACCTTCCACGCCGCAATCACCGCCTGTGTGGAGCTGTCCCTTCAAGCCAATGAAATGAGTATGTCTACTACATCCGGGATGGATGGTGTCAACTCCAGCGTGCTCATGAGCATGATCCAGTCCCAACAGGGCGTGATGCTCCAGGCTGTCGAGCGCACCGCTGATAATTTCGGGAGACGCATTGGGCCCGGTGGGACGGGGTGCAAGCCTTTCTTCTTTTTGAATATCATCCTTGCTTCGGTCAAATCGCGCGTCAAGGGGGAGGATCCTTTGTGTAATGTTGATACGGCCTCGAAGAGGTCCGTTCGCATCTGCAGGGCGATCTTGAATGGTCTTACCTACGAGGAAGCTAAGATTAGTGTTGATAATTGCCCCGCTCAGGTTGGTATCTCCACTTATAGCTGTCTGTCTGCCACACCTAACCTTCCTGTTCAGACTTCTATTCCTTCGGGGACGAATCCTGCCCCAGCTACACCACGTGATATTGACCCTACGTCGCTTCTATCGAACGACTTTGGTGACTTCACGGTAAGTTGGCGCTCCTTGGATGCTGTTTGGGGCTCTGCTGACCTTTTTCAGCCAACGGATCTAGGAGGCTGGTTTGATGGATTAGATTACACTGGCCCAGAGTTGTGGGATTGGGATGCCGACTTGTCTGGAAACCTTCCAACATTCTCATGACTTATGGAGCTACTCCCTAATATTAATGACTGATGCCCGGTGATATTGCTTCTGTTCAATGTCATTCTCAAACTCTACTCTCATCTAGTCAAAGAATGACTTTCGTCACAGTAAATTGTTAGAATAATAAATATGCATATCCTTTTGGCTTCCAGGAAAGAGATAAAAATTGCAGGAAGAAGATTAACAATCCCACTTCCTCAAGACACCACACCCCGGAAGATATAGAGAAGTATCAACAGAAATGAGATGCTCAATATTCTCTTAAGTGAACTCTGTCCGATATAACAAAGGTGAAGATAACATTAGTAAAAGGAATGGAAGCCTTTTCCTCAAATACAAATCTCATTCTGACGAGCTCTCTTAAAAGACTTAATTAGAAATACAAGAAAACATCTAAACATCTAACTAAAACATCTAAAACATCTAGAACCTAACTCTATAGAACGACAAGCCAATCAAACCCTCAAAGCCTCACAACTTCTCTATCTCTTTCCCCATTTCTTGACCGCGAACAAGCCCGATCAACACAATTCTTCTTCGAAATCGCAACATAACTCTGAACCAATCTATCCAATAACAAAGATTAGCAGAAATCCCAGATCAAGTCCAGAAGAAGAAAACTCACGCCTGATACCGCTGAATGTTCTGGATCTCCAAACCCGCTAGAGCCCCCAATGAATCCTGCACATCCTGCACCAAACTCACACACCGTCCCATACTGAAATCCGTCCTGACAACAACCCTCATCATCCCCATTGTCTCGCAATCCGCAGCCATGGTATAAGCAGGCACAATCCACCCCTTCTCGCGCAGTTTACGCGCAAGCGCCCATTCATCCAAGAAGACGTTTTGCGCCGAACTCAACCTGAACGCCACGACCGGTAGGCCATGGCCACCACCTTCACTCATGATTATGAACCCCATTTCTTGCAGCTGGCTGGTGAGGTAGTCGGCTGTTGCCGTGAGATTTCTCATGATGCTTGTGTACCCACTTCGGCCCAGTCGGATGAGTTGGTAGTACTGTGCGATGATATGGGATGCTGGTTTGGAGAAGTTCATTGTGAAGTTCACTTGCTCGGCACCTAGGTAGTCGATGTTGAAAACTAGCTCCGCGGGAAGGTACTCTGGTGATCGCCAGAGGGCCCAGCCGATACCGGGGTAGACCTGTGGAAATTAGCATATTGAGTTTATTAGAGTTGGACGATCAAGGGATACTTACCAGTCCGTACTTATGCCCAGAGACATTGATCGAGACGACGTTGGGTAATTTGAAATCCCATACTAGATCCGGGTTCACAAACGGGGCCACGAATCCACCGCTGGCGGCATCCACGTGGATGGGTGTGTCCAGTCCTCTCTCAAGGAGAAGTTCACTGATAGCTCGTACATCTTCGTACTGCCCCGTGTATGTCGTGCCGAGAATCGCGCAGATCCCAATGGTGTTCTCATCGACCATGTCGACGGCTTGAACTGGGTCAATCACGTATCTCGTCTCAGTACATGGGACTAGCTTCTCGGTGATATCGAAGTATCTGGTTGCCTTTTCCCAGCATACTTGTACGCCGCTACTCATGATGATGTTTGGGTTGGAGGCATCTTTCCCCTGGGCTTGGCGGTTGATTTGCCAGCGCTTCTTCATCGCTAGAATTGCAAGCATGATGGCTTCGGAAGATCCAATACATGATGTGCCAAAGGCGGTTGGAGTTCCGTCAGAAACCGGGGAATGGAATAGGTCGGCGAGGATGTTCAGACAGCGGTGTTCGATATCGACAGATTTGGGGTATTCTTCGTGATCGATGATATTCTTGTTCGAGGATTCGGCGAGTAGTTTGAGAGCTTCGTCTTCCTGTTACAGTGTTAGTATGCGTCAAAAATATGACGAGAAGCTGAAATACCATGTATGTGGTCACAAAACTGGCGAGGCTATATTGAGCAATAACGTTAGTTGAGTTTTCAAAATTTTGACAAATAGACTCACTTCAAGATTGGCTGACCATCCAGGGCCAAGTCATCTTTGATCAGCTGGTAGGCCACATCTTTCGGCATCCCTTCATCTGGAAGCCGATGCGATGGCATAGGTTTGGCAACGAACCGGGAGCCATAGACGTAAGAGCAGTCGCTCGTCTGGTCAGAAAGCTGCTTGGATAATTCCTCGATAGAACCCATTATGTAATGAAAAATGTAGATTCAAATTGGAATACTGATAAACTAGCAAGACGTTCTTGACTTTATATTATTTCTCGCAAGTCAATTGTTGCGTACTGGAAAAATATCTCATAGCGAAATCGTGTGATAGGGTTATGAGGCATTTACACGAGATATCATGATCAAAGCTATAGTCAAAAGGAGGTTTGAGCGCCGTTTCAAGTTGGGTTTTGCGTTCGTGTCTGTAGTTTGAGGTATATAGACATGACAACGTGATGATCGAAGCTTATCTATATCTGAGTATTCCATGTAAGACAAGCCAAGACCTTCTAGAAAACATCAGAATAGACTATTAATACAACAGTTTAACTAACTCCTTGTTACAAAGTAGAATTGGGAGTGATCCCTGCCATCCCTTGTTCTAAAATTGGAAACATTCTAACCCTACGGAGTAGATTACGGACAGAGCTAATACTGGACAATGCAAATACCAAACATGCGATTTACTCCCTTTGCCACATTTATAAATGAGGCTTAGAAGCATCTTTGGCTTCATGGTTAATTAGCCCCTGACTCGCAAGGGAACGTTCAACCTTCCCACCTCCGCGGGTGCGGCGGGCCGAAAATAGGGGTGGCGCAGCCACAATATGTAGTGTTTCTCACATGCATTATCTCGTATTATTATTACAGGCAGCAGGATATTGATTTGTGGAGATGAGACGATAAGGTCGTCAAGCTGATAGTCCTGGAGTGGTATAGTTATTCTACTGTTTTGACTTTACATTCATATCTATTGTAGGAGTCGCGAGCATATATCGTGTTATCCCTATTTGTCCTAACATTTTGAAAGTGGAACTTCCAATATTTATTCGACGCAGTTTGACATGCTAAGCAATTGCTCCCTATATGTACGGAGTATATGACACGTAAACAGAGCACCCCCTTGCTCCGGGGTTCATGCAAGTCGTGGATGAGGTCAACAAGATTAGGCTCAGACACGAAGAAGGGAGCATTCTTCAATAATGGAATCGTCGTGTCGGCATTCGTGTGATTTACAAAAGCCCGTATCGCCATTCTGTATCCTGTTCATAACATCAGTTTTTCGCTTGCGGGAACAGGATGCTGCATCCAATTCTGGATGTTAGTAGTGTTAATGTTATCCTCTCATTATCGGGTAAGACTTGAACTGGCATGTCTAGGATGTTCTCTAATTGATAGTTTTAGGAATATACGTCTTGGTCTTCGGGTTTATCGCTGTGAAAATCAAGCAAAGATGGTATCTCGGTGAAGCTTGTATGGTGTCCCTCAATCTCACTAGATATCGGTCGCTGATATTATTCAGTACCCTCTTTCATAATCGGAGCTGTCCTAGGACCATTCGGTGCGAAGTTGGTCAATGTCGGCCAGTGGGGAGGATACACTGACAGCGGTAGTGGTGATATTGCCTATGTAGGTCCTCTCGCCACGAAAGAAAACACTAAGCTAATTATACTAGGGATTGACCCGAGTCGTGATTGGCATCGCTATGGTCAAAGTCGGCTATGAGCTACCAAAACGATACATTCGGCTTCATCTGGTCGAACTAACCATTTGCCTATTGCCATTGATGACGATCCAGTGGCTGATGACGTCGGCATGTATCAAATTAATGATCCCTAATCTATCGTTTGTGTGTTCATCTTATCATATTTGACATGAGAACACACTCCCACTAACCTTGATGCAGTTGACTTCCCTCATCATCGGATCATGTGTCATATGTATCGACCCCGTTCTCTCACAGGCTATCGCCAAGGGTCCTTTCGCAGATCAATATGTCCGACGACATCTTCGTGAATTTATTTCAGCCGAGGCAGGTGGAAATGATGGACTCGGTTTCCCATTTTTGCTTCTCTCAATTGCCCTTCTTCGTTATGCTGATGCTCCGGGTATGGAGACAGTAAAAGTTGGTCCTAGGAAACAGAGTCGAGATTGGATTAGTGAGCCGAGTACGGGTCGGTTTGGTGGAGATGTCGGCCGAGCTTTGGCCCATTGGGCTGTTGAGGGAGTGCTATATATGCTTGTCATGGGCGCTGGGTATGGTGTGCTGGTCGGGTTCCTGAGCCGGAAAGCCTTGAACTTGGCCTCGAAAAGGTATGCACATATATACTATCAGTTTAACAAACTAGCTATTGACATGAGCAGGCGTTGGATTGACAAGGAGAGCTTCTTCTCATATCCTGTTGCGATGGGTGTAAGTTATTCTTGAGAAAGATTTGGAGTTTATGCTAAGAAGGCTTGCAGTTGTTTATCGTCGGTACCTGCGGCTGCTTTGGCTCCGACGAAACTCTTGCCTGCTTTGTTGCCGGCTGTGCATTGAACTGGGATGGGTCTTACCACTTCGAAGTCGAAGAGAGACATGACTCTTTCAACTCAACAATCGAAAACATTTTGAACGTTGGGACCTTCATCTTCCTCGGCGCTATCATGCCATGGGATCAACTTCACATGTCCAGTCAGAATGGAATCACTATCGCTCGACTATTCGGGCTCGGATTTTTGATTCTGTTATTCCGTCGGATCCCAGCGATCATGATGGGATATCGATTCATGCCCAAAGTCTGCGATAATTGGAAAGAGGCCCTGTTCATGGGGTATTTTGGCCCAATTGGTATGCTATCCAACCAAGATGTTGAGTTTTTATGTTGAAGTGCAGTGCTTACCGGTTTTAGGAGTTGGCGCTATCTCCTATGTCGAGTATGCGCGACGATTGTTACCGGACCCTGGAGAGAGTGATACAGAGATCAACAACTTGACTGCAGCCATGATACCGGGTATGATATACTTCTACTTCAAGATAATGTAAACTGACCTTTGATTTAGTGGTATATTGGCTTGTTTTCTTCTCTATCGTCATTCACGGGCTCTCTATCCCCATCCTGAGCTGCCTTTATAAGTGGTTCAAAATCCCTACTATCCGAGACTACCCGGTAGAAATCATTCTTCTGTCCGAAAATGAGCCTGTTCCTAACAATAGCGTGGTGAATCGCCGTAACCACTCTGTTATATTAAACAACCGGTTTTCATGTAACTCAAACCAGCACCCCTATTCTGATCATGGTGAGGATCATGGCGAGGGAACAGACACGATGGTATTGCGTCGTCGCAGTGGGGAAGCTAGCTACAGGGGCTCGCTAGAAAGGACATTGACGAAAGGTTCGTCGAGCGAACTGGAGCAGACTGTATCTGCTAGAAATGTAGTCTGAGTGGCCGAGACCGGGGATTGTATATTAAGTGAATATCCTTTGACATCCTTATTTGGATTTTAGCATGAGATAGACGCATTTCCTACCTTGAAATGATTGAATGATATTGTCAGCAGGAACTAATTCCAAGGTTAATCGAATTGCATTAACTAGATTATCTATTTCTCGCTGGGATGAATATGTCATGGTATTTTACCCTACTCCGTATATATATCCCAACCTAATAAAAATGCCAACGAACATGGGACAAGGCCATGTGTGCCATATTTATGCGCCTCTTTTATAATAAATTGCCTCCTCCATCCCTCCTTCCCTTCCACATCAATAATATTGCCTCTTTCACAGCGACCGCAATCATCATCTACATGTTCCTATCTTCTTACAGCGGGTCAGGGAAGAGTTTCTCATCACCTAAACTTTAATTTCGATTCGAAACTCCGCAGACTTTGAAGAAAACAGGTCCTTGTCCGATTCATTACGAATTGAACTTAAGGGGTCGCTTGATTTCCAGGGTGGACCCCTTACAAGCCTGTAAGAAGATCGGGAGGCGATGATTTCATGCCTCGGCCCCTCGAAACTGACACGGACATAAAAAAGGTCGAAGGGCAATAGCTCAAGGATTTCGATTCTACAAATCTCTGATAATCAAAAATGTCGTGAGTGCCCATATACTTCCATGAGGGGGAAACACTCCCCAGACTAACCCTCATAGTGCCTTTGTAACAACTCTCGGGCTCCGCGCCGCCCCTGGCCAGGCACCTGCGAACCACGCATCAGCCTTGCTAATGGCGAACTGGTTTTTCGCGTATATTCTGACGAGCCCCCGCGGCGCAAAGATACGCCTGGGTCTTGATCACAATGTCAGCCCGCGTGAGGACTTGACTACGTACGGTGAGGCGGCCGTGCAGTCGGGAAAGATTACCCGTCGCGCCCTTGACAAGCTCAAGCGACAGACGTCGGCGCATGCCAATGTGCAGGAGGGATACACTTTGTTCGTTGCGGCGAGTATGTGGAACTCCTTTGGCCTTTCCTTTTTCGCACGATGAACTTGCATCTTGTAAAATTGCTGCACTGTACTGACCTTGCCCTCTAGTGCTCGTCTCCTTATACGCCGGTCTCCCCAATGAAACTATCAATACCGTCGGTGCTTGGTATTCGGTTTCCCGGGTCGCGTACCACCTATTCTACTGCAACATTGAATCTTACTCTTTGAGCTTTCTGCGATCGGCGGCTTGGTGGTCCGGGAACATCAGCTGTCTTTATGCGCTGGTGCAGGCCAGCAAGAAGTTGTAGAATAGACGGAGGCGCTCTTTGATTTCTCTGTAATCCGATAATACATAAGAACAATACAATGCAAGTACATCTATTATCCGAGTACGAATTGTCAAAACGGACAACTTACTCCACCTAAGACTGGGTGTTGAGGTCTTGGAAGTCCTCCATGCCTCGAAAAACCACAACACGATTCTCATGAGAACCTTGCATGACAAAAGGTTCCGCTGATTGGTGGAAGAACCCAACCCTCCAGTCTCCATCCCCAGACGGGGGAATGAATCCCGGCCACAACGATGAATTGCACAGTTTCGAACAACAATGTCCAAGTTCGCGTAGTCTCGTCCGACACTCTCTCCGCATCCCCGCTTGTGAATATCCTTGGCGACCCGAGGAGAAATGACTCCATTTACTATTAGCGACACCCGCGGACTTGTTCTATTGCCGCATTCCATAGGCCCTGCCGATCCAGCACGCGGTGGAATTGTTTTGACAGGCGGAGAAATCTCTTTCCTCTGCCCGTGCCATTCTCCGGATATTGCTAATCTGGGGAAAGGCACAAGCTCCATTTTGCTATGGCCAATACTCCGGGGTATTCTTATAAATTAGCAGGACTTCCAGCATGACTCTCCTACCCCGGATCAACCGACAGCAGTATCAATTGATTTCATTGACCTTGTGATAATGAAGTTCATCGCTATTGGTGCGGTCCTGTTCAGCGCAGTTGGTGCTTTTGCGACAGAACGTATTATTAAAGGCGCCCAGATCATCCCGGCCAACGACAAATTGGGGCTGAAGAAGATCGGTGCTTACGGACATCACAAGCACGACGACCGTCGGACAGTGACAATTCGATCATCGAAGAGTGACACCGACGACATTTCATATGATTTCCTTTGGGGTATCAAGGCTGCCAATCATGGCGGTAGACTTCTCTTGCAAAAGGGGAAGACGTATGTCATTGGCAAAAAGCTTGACCTCAGCTTCTTGAATAATATCGAGGTGCAGCTAGAGGGCGAAGTGAAGGTACATAACCCTAGTACTGTGATTGATTGAGCCGCTCTGACATGAATAGTTCACCGATGATATCGACTATTGGCAGGCAAACCATTTCTACTACTCCTTTCAAAAGTCTATCACTTTCTGGGTCTGGGGTGGTCAGGATATCAAGATCTTCGGAAAGGGTATTCTCAATGGCAATGGTCAGGAGTGGTACAATGCCTTTTCTGGCCTAGAAGTTTTGGTGAGCATGAAAAGAGTCGGGAATGACTTGTGCTAATAGATAATTCAGGACCCGGACAATACCTTTTACCGTCCCATTCTCTTTGTGACTGACAACGCTACCCGCGTGTCCGTTGAGGGTATCACCCAACTCAACTCTCCCTGTTGGACCAACTTCTTCGTCCGCACCAAGGACGTCTCTTTCGACGATGTCTTTATAAACGCGTTTTCCACTAACGCATCTGTGGGTTGTGAATCTGGTTATATTATCAATCAATTCTAATCCTTCCGCAGGCTTTGCCCAAGAATACCGACGGGTTTGACTCCTTCAACGTGGATGGTCTCAGTGTGACCAACACCCGCGTCGATATCGGCGATGACTGCTTCTCCCCTAAGCCTAACACAACCAACATTTTCGTGCAGAACCTGTGGTGCAACAATACCCACGGCGTTAGCATGGGAAGTATTGGACAGTACTCGGGAGTCGAGGACATCATCGAGAATGCCTGGGTTGAGAATGTTACTCTGTTGAACGGCCAGGTAAGACCTCCGTATATCGATTTTATCGGCGAGCCTAATAGGAATTTAAGAACGGCGTCCGTCTCAAGGCTTGGGCTGGACCGGACATCGGCTTTGGTCGCATTAACAACATCACGTACAAGGACATTCACATCGAAAACACCGACGCCCCTATTGTGTTGGATCAGTGCTACTTCGACGTCAACGCCACCACGTGTGCCAAGTACCCGTCATCAGTCAATTTCACCAACATTACCTTCGAGAATATCTATGGCACTTCGTCGGGCAAGAATGGCAAGGTTATCGGTGACTTGACTTGTTCGCCTAATGCTGTGTGCTCGGGGATTCATCTCTCTGATATCGATATCGTCAGCCCGGCTGGGGGTCCCCCGGTCGTGACCTGCGATGGAATTGATGGAGATATTGGCGTGGAATGCCAGTCGAGCTCGGCTTAGATTGTGAGTATGATAATAGTTTGAGAGAAGAATGATTTGAAAATAGTCACCAATTGAAAGTTCCGACTGGCACAAAATTGAATAGCAGTCTGTGGTGGCGGGGATGTTGAATATTGCTTAACTTGCTCGGAAGAGTAGTCCGAGGAGCCGTAGAGGTGTATGTCCGAGAAGAGTAGTCATCTCCGAGATAACATCCATCCAATAACACTCCCACATCATTACCAGCAAGTTTTCTACGGCAGATTGCTCGTAACTAGTCGCTTATTCTACACTCGTTCTACATCTATTCTGCACATAGCCACACGAAGCTTTGACCACTTTTTCGTCTCAACATGAACGGTCAAACAGATAGGCAGCAAATTTGGAGAGTTGAGACTCCTCGTGATCTTTCTTCCCCAGAGAAAATAGAGGTTGATATCCGGGCCCGACATTTCTCAAAAGCCAAAGCAGAAGAGACTCAAAACCAAGCCGTCACCCTCAATGACAACTCGTCATGATGAGTAGGACCGCCCTCATACTGGGCTATTCTCTCTCCACACCCCACACCATCCCACAATCCGAGTGGTACACCGGCTGAGACTATATCCACCCCCTGTCTTTAGCCAGGATGTATCGTGCCTTGTTGGGAATGGCCTATGATTCGGTATTCTAGGCTCCTACATGCAAACGCGTACAGTACTTGCAAATCACTCCAATCCGGGGAGATGCATCCACACTATCCTCCTTTGCCCCACCCCCAGATTCCCATAAAGGTGGAGTATGGGGAAAGGATGGGATACATAGCAGATGTTACGGGGTATCTGCTATAAGAACGTGGGCGTATAGATACTCTGCTTTTTTCCCCCTTCTCTTCGTCCGTGCTATTATATTCCCACAGACCCTGGCCTTCATATTCAACGGAGAAAATGGATAGGAGGCATCATTATATTAAGGGTGCAAATACCCGTGAAGGAGATGAGTCTGGAAAGCCATGTGCATTCTACGTCGAAGACCCAGTCGCTCATCTATCCGAGGAACATCGCCAATATCTTCTTTCGAAGCATGGAACACTCGATTTGGAACCTATCCCTGACATGACCGATACCGATCCATACAATTGGCCGCGATGGAGGGTGAGAGGCCATAACTCCTGCCATCCATTCACATTTTGACCATGTTTCTAACATTTTTCCTTGATAGAAAAATTTCAACTTGACCCTAGTCGCCTTCCACGCTATGATGGCCACATTCACTGCCTCGTCGATCCAATCTGCATTCGAAAATATCTCCGAGGACCTCGACGTCAGTATGCAGCGAACCAGCTATCTTGTCTCTCTCTTCATCGCCGTGCTAGGCGGCGCGCCTCTCTTCTGGCGCCCGCTGTGTAATCGATATGGTCGTCGCCCCATATTTCTGATTTCTTTGATCTGCAGCTTGATTGGGAATATTGGCTGTGCGAAGAGTACTTCCTATGCAACCATGGGTCTCTCCCGTGCTATTACTGCCTTCTTCATCAGCCCTGCAGCTGCTATCGGTAGCGCAGTTGTCGCGGAGACTTTCTTCCGGAAAGATCGTGCTCGCTGCATGGGTGGGTGGACGCTAATGGTGACTCTGGGTGTGCCTTCTGCTCCATTTATCTTTGGTTTCGTTGCTTCGCGTGTGGGTTACCGTTGGATTTACTATATCCTTGCAATTGTGAGATTCCTTAACCCCAACCTCTAGGATGTACTCGTCTAACTATTCATTCACTCCGAACAGGTCAACGCAACCCAATTCCTCCTCTACTTCTTCTTCGGATCGGAATCACTTTACGTCCGCGGGAATATCCCTACCAACACCGTCATCGCCGCCAAGCAGAGTCTTTTCAAATTCCGCCGGATCGACCCTACACCGTTAGAATTCTGGGACTTCTTCCAACCTCTAAGCTATGTGATGAAACCATGCGTGGTCATCCCAGCCGTTGCCTATGCAATGATCTTCCTTTGGGGCAGTGTCATGCTTACAATTGAGATCTCCCAGATCTACCCTGCCAAGTTCGGCCTGAACACCCAGCAGGTCGGTCTGCAATTCCTCGGTATTATCATTGGGTCTGTGATTGGTGAACAGATAGGCGGGTTCATTTCCGATCGCTGGATGCTGATGCGTCAGAAGCGGACCGGAGAACCATCCCCGCCGGAATACCGTCTTTGGTTAAGTTATATTGGCCATGCTTTGACGATCTGTGGTATTGTCGTTTTCGCTATCGAAATCCGGGACTCTGGCGGTGTATGGAATATCGCCCCCGTTATTGGCGCTGCTATTGCCGCTGGTGGTAATCAAATCGTTACTACCGTGGACATTACTTATGCGGTTGACTGTTACCGTGAGGATGCTGCTAGTGTGGGTGTTTTTATTACTTTGGTTCGGCAGACTTGGGGTTTCATTGGTCCTTTTTGGTTCCCTGAGATGTTTGAGGTTGTTGGTTGGGCTGGTGGCGCTGGTATCGCCGTTGCTCTTGTGGTTGGTGTGAGTGTTATTCCGACTGTCTTGGTTCAGTGGAGAGGAGCTTCGTGGCGTTGATTGACATGGCCGAGGAAATATAATTTCTCTTTTTGTCAACTAAATGAGAGAATGCAGATGTTTTACGCAGTAGAAGACGGTGCTATCCACATTTTGATTTACACAATAGTATTGGGATTTGGATCATGGAGTTCTCTGTATTCGTGGCACAACAGGATATGGAATTGATACTGGTGTGTAATACGATTCCGGTATAATCCTTCTACTGAACTCGAACCCACTGCATATTAATACCGCCGAGAAAAAGTCCCCTTTACCCGTGAGTAGCTTAGCAATGACTGCCAATTTTCTATCTAATATTTCTCACTTCTGTTCGGCGCTGCGTCGGGAATTGTGTATAAGTTCATTAGCAATTGCCATATTATTATGTCGTAGACGGCTTTTAGCACGATGCTTACTCCCAGACTCCCAGTGCGCTGAACTGAATACTTGGAAAGTGTGCGTTGGAGGAAAGATGCCTTGGCAAGGGTGAATGCACTCATTGCCGATATACTGTCGCCAATTACCACGTTCATTCGAACTGGGTTAAGAGAGAAAAGCCTCGGATTCATTCAATGCTCATCTTTCTATCGGATATGCCCCGCAGGGATCAGTCCCGGTTTGCGTGGCCAATGCCAAACCTCGGCTCAATGAACTGCCATTATTTGGATACACGCTAGTGTTTCATAATTGCCATAGAGAGGGGTGCTCCTGAGGGAACTTTGGTCCATTCCAGTATCTGGTGACGGAGGCTTCGGCCAGTACTAGTTAGGGCTGGGGTCAGGTGATAATCTACAACGCGGGGATGCCAAGAGACATGTGAAAATACAATGGTCAAACGAAATGAATGCTGTGAAATGAAGATGACATAAGTGTCGATCTATCGTCGATCCCTGTGGGGAAGTCTATCGCAGTGGATTTCCTTTAGTGCGGAAGGTCGAAAATGTGAAGCCTCGGTTAGAATGGGATATCCTAAATGTGCTAAACGCTGTTGATGAACTATATAATCCGGGAATCACCCCTTTACCCTCCGACATAAAATATCCCCTCACATCATCCAATTCCTCCCAAACAGCAACAATGTCTACCCTTAACCTCATCGCCGATTACTCCCAAATGGTTCTATCTCACCTTCCAGGACCCACCCGACATCTCTTCCGCAACCCAACAGCCCAAAAGGCCGTCGGAATTCTCGCCGCCCTCACCTTCCTCCGCGCCACAAACGACTTCTTTTCAAGACGCACCCTACAAAACTGGACTTCCAACCAACCATGGATCCCGGCACGCGAGCTCATCCTACTAACGGGTGGCTGCAGCGGAATCGGCAAGCAGGTCATGGAAGACCTCGCGCGCACAGGCGTGCGCGTCATCATCCTCGATATTAATGAGCCAACTTTCACACTGCCGGCTAACGTCACCTTCTACAAGGCGAATGTCAGTTCCTCGGCGGATATCGCGAATGTCGCGAGCACGATCCGTGACAATCACGGCGAGCCCACGGTCTTGATTAATAACGCTGGCGTTGGACACGAGGGGGCAATCCTCGATGAATCCGAGGAGAATATCCGGCAGACTTTCGAGGTCAATACCCTCTCCCATTTCCTTATGGTTAAGGAGTTCTTGCCGGCTATGGTGAAGGCGAATCATGGTCATGTTGTCACTATTGCTAGTATGGCGAGCTTCGTGGCTCTCGGTGAGATGGTGGATTATTGTTGCACCAAGGCCAGTGCGCTTGCTTTCCATGAGGGACTGCGGCAGGAATTGAAGTATTGGTATAATGCGCCCAGTGTGCGCACTAGGTGAGTTATTCTCGGGTATGTATCTGTAGATTTTGCTAATTATTGCTTTAGTATTATTCACCCTGCGTGGGTACGTACGCCTATGATCAAGATGCTCACAGACAACGAGGCGCACTTCAGAGAGTCTATCATGACCACCCAGGTCGTGTCTGACGCTATCTGTAAGCAAATCTTGACTCAGACTAGTGGCCAGGTTCTTCTGCCTGCCAGTAAGTCGGTGGCTACTTTGGTGCGCGCTATGCCAACCTGGATGCAGGAGGGTGTGCGCAATTTCGCGTCGGGTTCCTTGAAGAAGATGTGTGTTCTGCAGACAGAGGAGAAGGCCCAGGCGCAGTAGATATTCAGCTTTGGAAATGACTGGAGATGTGATTATGTCACCATTTTGAATTTTATGTAACTAACTAGGAGATGGATAACTATACGCTATCTCATCGAGCGATAATACATTGATATATAATATTGAAGTTATTTCAAAACGCCGACGGCTCCTATCTTGATATTTATGGGCTACAGAAGTCACCATCGAGACACGGAATATGTGTGTAAAACACTCTCACTATTCCATGTGTACCCAATTCATGTATGTACAGACAGCGTTCCTTCATACAATCACACCATTAACTCGGCCAAAACCGCCTCAACCTTCTTCCCCTGCTCCGTCTTTGTAACATCGCCCAGCTCTAAGTGATAAATCGGTGCAACATGACACTCACGATACCCAACAAACAATTCAACATTCTCAAAGCCCTCCTTGAACTTTGCCGCGAAGTCTTGAATCAGAGGCAACATGATCTCATTCCCGCCTGCGGTAATCAATACCGAGTTCACCGGGAACGCCGTAAACCAATCTGCCGGCGCAGTCGATAAATCCGTGTAATAGTCACGCTTGCCAGCACCAATATAGGCTGTCACCCACGGTCCCGCAACCGCCATCGTAATGATATCGCCATCGCTATAGACCTCCATTTCCGGGAATTCCTTCTCGAGAAGGGTCCACGGTGCAATCATCACTGCGCCGCCGAGGTTTCCGCGAAAAGGCAGGGGATCGATCTCTGCGTGTGGGTGGGCCAGATGAGAGAGAACTCCACCAACCAGGTTGCCGCCTGCGGAGTCGCCGCCCAGGAAAATCGTGGACGGGTCGCGGTTTGGTTGCGAAAGAATGTATCGTAGGCAATTCACGGCCTGTCGGAGTTGAGTCGGGTAGACTGCGATTGGCGCCAGCGTATAGGTCAGACTGAAGACAGCGACGCTTTTGCCTAATGCTTCAAGGTCGTGAATGAGCTGCGCGTAGAATTTGAAATAACCCATGTTGGCGGGGAGTCCGAAGCCACCTCCTGAATGATGGTTAGTGGTGGTCAATTGAATAGGGGTCTTTCTTTGCTGGCTGTACACATACCGTGGATCCAGACTACCACATTGTCAGCATTCGAATCACCCATCCAGTGGCCTAATGCTCCGTCGCCCAAGTCTACGGACTCGGGTAGCCCACCGGTCTCCTTGGAGTGTTGCTCATAGATCTTGTGGGATGGCGGTAGGATGTACTGCATCTGAGTGGCGGTCAGCCGCGAGCTCGCCTTGCGGAACAGTGCATATCCCAAATGCAGGGACAAAGATTTGGCTTGGCGTTCGGTGCGTCGAAGGCCCGTCAAGAGAGCATAGACATAGGCAACCACGATGGAAGCCACGGCTGGGAGGAAGTCCAGTTTCTCTTTTATGGAGAGGTTGACTTTGGTTACTTTAGTGACAGACATGATTGGAATCTCCCGCTCATGACTTGAGGCCCTAAGTATATTTTAGCCCGTACAAGTGTGAAAGTGAAGTGTTGATCCTCTCGCAAGCCTACCCCGTTTAGGAAGGTGCCGAGGTTTGGAAAATTCCTCGGTCTCCATATCCTTGAGATTAGCTGTATCTCCTACGGAGTAGTATTTTTGCATCTTTAGATCTCTAGTTCTCTATACCCAGGGGTATCGGGGCATAGATCTACATATCGATATCTGTGTAGATCTCACATTCACATCTCGGAGAACGATCTGTGTAACTTCCAAGGTCACTTGTATATACTAACTTCAAGAATCATCACGTCTTACACGAGATAAACACGTACAGAGTACCACTACGAATCCCATGCAACTCCCCGATCTCCCCGTGTACATTTTAAGGTTTTGCGTGTTGTTTACCCCAAAGTCGACGGTGTCGATCTGCCGAATAAAGGATTGTGAAACCGAGGCATGTCAACTTTTTTCTTAAATAACCTCAATGCTATTCGCTTTTCAGTAACTGTTCATTTGATCCCATTCATCCATCATGAGTGGACTCGATGAAACAAACGAAGCTAGGCACTTCGATGTCATCATCGTCGGCGCGGGTATCTCCGGCGTCAATGCCGCCTACCGCGTCCAAGACCAACTCCCCGGCTACAGCTACACCATCCTAGAAGCTCGCGCCGATCTAGGTGGCACCTGGGATCTCTTTAATTATCCTGGTATCCGTTCCGACTCCGACCTTTTCACCTTCGGCTTCCAATTCAATCCCTGGACCCTCGATAACCCCATCGCAGAGGGTTCTGCCATCAAGCAGTACGTGCGCGATACCGCGACCAAATTTGGCATCGACAAACACATCCTCTACAACCATCGTGTGTCATCGGCAGACTGGTCCTCCGATAAAAACATCTGGTCGCTCGCCGTCGACCACAATGACTCCGAACACACATACACCGCCCGCTATGTCATCTTTGGCACGGGTTACTACAACTACAAGGATCCCCTGAAAGCTGACATTCCCGGCCTGGACGCCTTCCAGGGCCAGGTCATCCACCCACAGTTCTGGCCCGAAGACTTGCAGTATAAGGACAAGACGATCGTTATCATCGGCTCGGGCGCGACCGCCATCACCCTCCTCCCCAATCTCGCCGACGATGCCGCCCGTGTCACAATGCTCCAGCGCAGCCCTACCTACATCCTCTCCGTCCCAAACCGCTCCAGCAACCGATGGCTCTCCTACATCCTCTCCAATGCCCTGTATCTCAGGTTGCAACGCATGATCTCGATCTATACAACCCGCTATTTCTTCCTCTTCTGCCAGCGCTTCCCGAATTTCTCCCGCTGGTTGCTCAAGTTGAATGTGCGCAAGCAACTGCCCAGCCATATCCCCTATGACCCGCATTTCAAGCCCAAATACAACCCCTGGGACCAACGATTGTGTGTTTGTCCCGATGGGGATCTGTTCCGCAGTCTCCGGCAGGGCAAGGCGGATGTCAAGACCGATACTATTCGAGAGGTTACGAAGAATGGTATTATCTTGAATTCGGGTGAGCAGCTTGACGCAGATATTATTATTACTGCTACTGGCTTGCGATTGCAGATTGTAGGTGGCGCGGCGCTGTCTGTGGACGGGAAGAAGATCGACGTGGGTGGTAAATATCTGTGGAATGGAGTCATGCTCCAGGATATGCCTAATGCCGCTTTCGTTATTGGGTATACCAATGCCTCATGGACACTCGGTGCGGATGCTACGGCGCATTTGGTTTGTCGCCTGCTCAAGGAGCTTGAGTCGCGAAAGTTGGTCGCTGCTGTTCCTCGGCTGAAGGAGAAGGATGCAGCTACGATCCAGGATCGTCCTCTCTTGAACATCAAGGCGACTTATGTGTCGCTTGCTGATCGGATTTTACCCAGGGCTGCGGACCGTGGTCCGTGGCGCCCGCGTGATAACTACTTGAGCGACTTGAAGTTCGCTCAGAGTGGTGATATTGAGACCGGAATGGAGTTCGTGCAAGGACCGAATCTGCGGTTACGTCCGAAGATGTCGTGATTGATGCATGTTTATGATATGATACCTACCCATGCATTATGATTGAGGTTCTTTGATTCAGTGTAAATATGGTGTTTGATGAGGCTCAGTAACAATATGTTCATTCCTATTCTTCAGCTGCGCAATCTCCCTTGGTGTCCGTTGGACTATGCATGCTGCACTTTCGCACAGCGTCACCCTTATCAACTAATGCCTATGATGTTGCATCTATCGGATTCGCACATACACTCATATTCCCAAAATACCACCCATGATTAGGATTGGGCCACCTCAAATCTCGATCCGAACCAGCATTCCCCACCTTGCTATTGATCCCTTCAATATACTCCACCCCGTCAGTAGTGACCTGCACCCCAGTCTTCTGGGTGATCCAGTATTCGGGCGAAGGCTGGCTCCAATCAAAGAATGGCAGATTGAGCGGCACTTTCGGTATGGGGTCTGTAGTATGTGTGGCTCGGTATATGCTGTTTGGCGCTTGTTGGTTGCTGATAAACTCGGCCAGCTTCAAATTTCCTGGTTTAGGGCCTCCGAATGTCCACTGGTGGTTTGTATGCGTTAGCTGGAATCTACACTGCTTGCTTGTTTTCCAACTTGACTTACAATATCCAGACTGAACCCTTTTGTTCGAAGAACAGTCCCCGCTAACGCCGCAATACCTCCACCTAGACTGTGTCCTACGACACTCAGCCTATAGCTCGGATACGCGTTCATTGCATTGTGAAGCTGGGATGTTGCCTGAGCCGCTACGGCGCTCCAGTAAGCCCAGAACCCATGATGGGCTTTGCATCCGGTGCACACGTCGCTAACCGAGGTGAGAGCGATATCGAGATCTGTGTTGCCATCGCTTTTGGATACCGTTCCGCGGAATGTTAGGACGATCAGTTTCCGCGTGTGGTCTAGGGCGATGTAACCTGTCGGGCCGTGATCACTGTGGAATGTGTCGATTACGGTTGTGTTGTCGGCTGCTACGAGTGGACAGTTGCCATAGTCGCAGGTCAAACTTTGGCCTGTGTGATTGATGTTCTGGTCGCAGGCCGATAGGGTGGCGAACTGTGAGAATAGGGTGAATCTTTCTAATAGCTCCGTTGAGATTGCTGGTACATTTGATCGTCAGATTGGAATTTGGAAAATTTGCTTTGTCCATGTGAGGCTTACCCCGGCGAGCTAGTTGAACAGGAGATGCAATGGATGTCACGCTCAATGATAGCAGTGCAAGAATCATTGACCCAACCATATTGGATGATACTTCGCAAGTACAGCCAATCTATCAAAGGCGCCTGTTCTTTTGATCTCTGGGAAATGAGCTTATATTTATAGGTTTCTTTTCCCACCGTCAACAACAGCCCACCTATGGAATGTTGCCTAATAGAGAAGGAGTAATGGCCGCAGGATTCAATCCCACGATGCACCGTGATGACTGTATAACAGCTGAGTTATTGGCGGCACTAACCTTGCACCCGGAGGATGATTCGATTCTAGAGCTGAGAGAACAAATGATTATATGCCATTGAAACGATCAAAATTCTATAATATGATACATACATTCCACTCGTACATATCCTATAAACCAAAACATTCAAAATATGTCACACAGTGGGAACAACTCACAGCGTCCTCAATATGCATACCAGATGAGATTTTCTCCTTTCCTTCTTAGCCTGCTCCCCTCTTGTCCATTTTAGGCAAATACATGAATTTGTGATTGGTATGTTCTTCAGCTGGCATGTTGCATATTTGCCATCAATAGCACGACTACCACATGTGGGCTCAAAGTGGGTAATTTCTCGAGGCTAGATCCTTGGCGAGGTAGGGATCATTCTCCAATAGGTGAAGATTTACATGCAGGACTCCTATATCGAGAATCATGTGAAGATTACTCTGTAGATGTCTCACAGTGATGCGGCCCGCAGATCGTACGCTAATGCATCTACAACCGATAGATCGTCGGCTCCACCTTGCATTTCAATACTACTGTAGTATTCAGGTGGATTCGCGCATGATATGAGTTTGATCCACCCCGACCTCCAGCATGGTAAAGACGAACCCTCCTAGTACAGATCGCCTAGGGCATGTAAGAGAAGGAATTGTGACTGGACACTGGAACATCAAGAAAGGGAAGAGGCCTTGGATGCTGGGCATCTTTCCGTTCATGTATGTTGCATCATAGCCATATTGCTCCGTATAATGTTTCCGTATAATCTTCCAGCAAGAAATAGAATTTGACTTTCGGAAAAGATTTAAGGTTAAACCACAGCGGGGTTGATTTCATCAATTCAACCAGGGAACAGTACAACCTAACATTCCGGGATGATGTAACTCGATGACACCATTTGATATGTCAGGATTTGAGGAGTAGCTAACTATAAGGCGTTGACTTAGCCAGTCGCTTTCTCGTTTTACTTTCACTACACCACACTTCACCACCAATTTAAATCCCTCAGCTGTCTCGATGCCCCCCAAAGAGAAATATACCGATCCCGAACTCAGGGATGAAATCAAAAAAGAAGTCCACAATAGCGACAAAGGTGGGAAACCAGGACAATGGTCTGCACGAAAGGTATCCAACACGATTACACTCCCATTACGTATAGTCTCTAACACACATGCAGGCACAAATGATGGCATCGGAATATAAAAAGCGCGGTGGCGGTTACAATACCACAAAGGAAGAAGGCCAGACGGAGTCTCAGAAACACCTCGATAATTGGACAAAAGAGGAGTGGCAGACGAAGGAGGGATCAGGTACGGCGCGACAGGATGATGATTCGCGTAAACGGTACCTGCCTAAGAAGGCGTGGGAGAATCTGAGCGAAAAGGAAAAGGACGAGACAGACGAGAAGAAGGTTGAGGAGTCACAGGGTGGGAAGCAGTTTGTTAGCAACACCGCGAAGGCAAAGGAGGCGAGACGGAGGGCCAGTTCTGATGTTGAGGATGAGAGTTAGAGGGAGATTCGAAGAAAACCGACGACGAGAAAGGTGGGGCGAGAACCAAACACAATGCGAAACAGGATGCAACACCAAAACAGAAACAGGATGCAAAGTCTACAGAAGATAAAGCAATTCCTCAACTAAGCTCGGTTGGCTCCTCTAAATGCGCATTTGGTCGATGCTATTGACGAAACAGGAGCGAGAAATCCAAAGGGTAAATAGCAAAGTCCCAAGTAAGAAAGACCTACGAATGAACGAAATCGATTCAATGAAATATCATTTCACTTGGGATCCATGGTCTTGAAGCTATACTTGTTTTATGTTCATATTTGGCCAATCACGCCAGGATATTAATCCCAAATCATCCATATATACCATTACATCATCTTGACATATCTCTTCGATACAAAAATAATCTTTTCACTTACGTTCCTCATCCACAACCGTGTGGGGAGTGAATTCGCTATCTGGCAACATGTTCATGCTGTCCTCCTCTGCGTCCAATTTGTAATTGGTGGCCCAGAATCCAATACCGCCCACGAAGGCGAGGATGGCAACCACGGTGTAGTTCCAAGTCAAGAGAGGATCCTCAGCCAGACCAATGAAAGCCTGACCAATAGCAGACGAGAACGCGTTCATCAGGAGGGACACGGCCTGCACGAGGGATCGCATGTTCTTTGGGGCCTTGGTGTAGGCATACTCAAGAGAAGTCACGGATGCAAGGATCTCAGAAATACCACCCATGATGTAGGTCAGGGCCTGGACCCAAACGGAGATGTTGGTGTATTCGTGTTTCACCTCCAGGCAGTAGTTGGCCTCGTTACCGCAGGGTCCCAGCTTGTAGATGTAGTATTGGGTGACCGCGGCAACGACCATACTGAGGGAGGCCACGATAAAACCAGCCGTGATACGCTTCAAGGGGGTGAAGTTGAACCCCATCTTGCGCAGACAAGGGTAAACGAGCTGGTCGAAGATGGGAATGAAGATGATCAGCGAAATAGGGTTGAGGTTGTTGATGATGTCGTTGGGCACTCCTCCAAGTTTCATGGTGGCCGCTTGAGACGTCAGGTTGTTCATCATCTGGTTATAGGCGAGCCCTAAAGATGGTCAGCTTGTGTGAATATAGTAGATAAGAAGTGTCCACGTACAGTAAAGGGGGTACCACAAAAACACTCTGCAGGCGAGCAGTCCTCGTCGAACTTCATCAACCCACGCATCATCAAAGTCCATCCACGCGGGCTTGTTGGCCCCGAAGTTGCTGGGCTTGGCGGCGGCCCACATATCGGTATCAGAGCTCCGGAACCTACAAGGAATCAAGGTCAGTAGGTGTAACATTCGGAGCTGACAGGATGCGGCTTACCATCGCACGGGGTTCAGGGTCCAGTGGCCCTTCATTGCCAATTTCCACACCTTGAAAGCTTTGGGGTAGATTGAACCACTGGGAGGAGTGAGGATATATTGCTTCTTGCATATGATCAACACCGCAGGGCAGACGCAGAACATGGCAGTGGGGAGAAGGTAAGAGAGCCAGAAACCAACATATCGCTCGGCGTAGACCATGGCGACCTGACCCACAAAAGAACCGATGTTGATCATCATGTAGAAGTACAGGTAGATACGGGAAACGGTGGCGGACGGGTCAACGATGACACGCTCACCGGTAGCAAGTGTCGTGACATAGGGTTTGTCTTCGCGATATTGTTCGGCGATCAGGGGGGAGATGTTGGACTTGAAACCACCCGTTCCTACACCCATGATAATAAGACCAATTGAAAAGCATGCAATGGCTCCATTGGGGCTTGCAATCACGTTGGGAATGGCGGAAATGATGAGAATGGTGTGTCCAAGAAGTGCGCAGGCAATCGCGGACAGGATGGTACGGTAACGACCCCAATATTGATCAGCCACCATGGCACCGAAGAGGGGCATAACGTAGGACCAGAACGAGTTGACTGTGCAGGTCACACATATTAGCAATGAACTGAACTCTCGAGACCATATTACTTACACAATGTCAATCCGGTCGAGGCCTGTTGGCCCATTCCCAGAGCTCCGGGTGAATCATTGCTCCAGTTGGAGACACCTGGAACGAGGGCACCGGTGGTGGATCCCGTGGGCAAAGGTCGCTGAATGAAGTTGACGACTAATTCAAGTTAGCCATTTATCCCCTCTCTCTAAGATTGGTAGTCCATACAAACAGCAGTGGTACCGTAGTACGAGAAACGTTCGCACAGTTCCACAAAGGCAACACTGTATGCTGCTATGGGTAGTTTGCCGGCAACACGGCGCAAAGTGGCTAGTTCCTCATCTGTAGGAGAGGTTTTATCCAGGGAATAATCGCCTTCGATTGACGCATCTCGCAGAGGAGGGGCACTGTCGATGGTCAACTCATCAACTACAGGGCCCTTCTCGTTGATACCGATAGTGTGTGAGACTGCCTTGGACTTAGCAACCTCAGCCACATCGACAGGATCGCTGGCATTCATCGTGGCGGTTTTGGGATCCAGATATAGAGTGAAACACTGAAAAGAAAGAAGGAGAAACCTGCGGCAGGGCGAGGTGAAGCACTTATATAACCCATGGCGTGATTAGCATAACGGTTTAGCTCGAGGTCTCCAAGCGTCTCATTCACGTTCCCCCCTTCTAGGCATTCTAGAATCCCGGAGCAATAGCTGCATTGGGAGATGGCGGACGGTAAAAACCGTCAATAGCCGGAAGAGACCCTGCGTCGAGGACTTTTCTTAGATTACGCCTGTCAGGACGATGGGTGGCTCTCACGCTGAGATTCGGCCTCATCCGGTCTGAGCGCCTGGGACGATAAGCAAAGTCCGGCTTTTGTTGGAAAGCGCAAGAGATCCCGGAAGCCTAATGGACGCCAGAACTTGGATCAGCCAATCACCGAGCCGGTCAGGGGCTTTGACCCCCCGGCTTTGGGATCCACTTGGTACTACCCGTTGGACCTAGCGCAAACCTAGTTTGTCTTGGCATGGGGCTTGGCACGGCTTGGCCGAGTATCTCCCCGCTTGGCTGGCAACTTCCATTGTAACCCTGTAGTCTTGGCTATTCCATCTGCCCTATCACAAGCAAGACACGGCTGATAACCGAGGTGACATAGCTGATATCCGAGATATCGTTGTCCAAGATTGATATCGCCTGGTCTGGGACCCAATCATACTTATGTACGGAGTACCTAGGCAGGAAAGCAACATGGCGAAAATGCGGGGCTTGTGTTGATTAGGCTCAAGGTGAAATTGCCACTACTTTCCCCCTGGAGAAGTGAGACATGGTGTGATTGGCCCCATGTTATGGCAACATCAATTACCCGACTCTTTTACAAACTGCTTTCGCGCATTGCCTCTTGGACCGTCTCTTGGGCCGTCTCTTGGGCCGTCGGTGTCCGAGAACCCTATGAACCTCATGACTATCGAGCTGACTACCTGTTTAATTGTTGGAAACTATTGGTCTTTCTCGCTGGGCTCACGCGATGCAGTCTTTTGATTGCCCTGCCACTTTCTCAGCCCGGGCATCGTCAGATATTCTAGGGATAATGGCATGTCTCTTTCACCACCGTGTAATAAGTTGTAATATCCGAAATCGCTAGAGTCTTGCAAAGATCCAGTGTGTTATCCGTCAGAACCCTTGTATTTGATGTGAACGGGCGATCACCCGGCCGATCTCACCACGTACATGGTGTCTAGTCGTACGGTGGAGTGTTACTCGCACTCGAACTGCACGGGTAACTCCTTGATCATTGGGGCGTTCATCTGGCTCCTTGCTCACTTCCACTTTCGTACCCTCAAACTCATGAACCCCATGTTTGGCAGATATGTTCACCGCTTCGTGGGTGGCGGGCGACATTCCAACCTTGCCCGCTTACTCTGCATTGACCACTACTACCTCGGTGTTCGTGCGTGTTCCACTGGCAGTTGATTGGACGATAATATCACTCCGGCGGTACAAATGTCTGCGTCTGCTGAACTGCACGTAGCCAAGTTATCTTGGCCTGCCTTGTTTTGAGCCCATATCCATCCCCGTCGCGTGACCATATACCTGCGTCCTTGCATTGTCAGATTGTATTCAAATGTCTGCTTTGGGGAGGCTAAAATCGAAGGCAGCATGGATAACCCGGTAAAGCATCTTAGAATTTTCTTTGAACTGCTAACCCCTGTTTATCGCATTGGACTAACTGAACATGGGGGCATTGTGTAAACAAAGGTCGGCTCTAGTTGCGATATACCTCGGTTTACCGAGATCTATATCATCATTTTCATTTTTTTCATTTTTTTTTTTTTTTTATATATAATATATCTCAATATCTCCCCCTGCGCCTATTTTGGATCCTTCATCGAATCTCTCGAGCTGACAACGATCTAGTCGACCAAAACCCCTGTCGATGCTAAACTCGAGGACGGCCATTGCCCGCCATGTCTGTGAAACAACCGAGAAAGCCCTTCCCCCCAACAATCGTATCACCTCCCAGGAAGACTTCCTCCCCATCTTCGGAACTGTACTCCTGTCTCGCTGAGCAATCATCCCAGGGGTACCATAGCCGCTGGCCAACTGAGAAATCCTCCATCGCCTCTTCTCTTACATACTTTCTTGTGAGATCCCGACAAAGTGCCCTCAGTCAGCACAATTTCTCGGTACTACCTCGAATCACATCAACTCATTTACGAGGGAGAAATATCGGAAGGAAGCCCGATCGCTCTGATCACGAGATCCCAGCCCCGCTCCGATACCAGTTCGCCTCGACGACCCCGTCCAAATATCACTCGAAGCACCACGATCATCAAGATGCTAACTAGTCCCATCCCTGATCGCAAAGATGCCTCTTGAATAGGGGCTTCTACACCGAACAATGAGCCTTGTATCACTCTAACTAAGACCTCCACGATCGCACCTTTCTTAGGTCCACGCTGATGACTTTGGTATATAACTTCTTAGACAATTAGATCAAGTTGGTCTCATCATCCCACCCCAATCGCACCGGCATTCCTTCCGATAAATCGGCTTCGGAAGGGAACTACATCTTATCTGACCAAAACCAAGGTCCTGATTCTCTTCGAGATGGGACCGACAACCCTGATAAAGGCCAAGATCCTTCCCTTGATCCCAACCCAACTCCGAAAGGCAATCACACACTTCCTTCCCAGAAAGAACCTAGATTAGATTACTAGACTAGGGCTGATCCCACCCCGATCGCGCCGACGGACACTGCATCTTTTTTAAACAGTCACACCGATGGACCGTAGCCTCTTAGAAATCTAGAAGATTCTACCCTCATTCCAGTCTAGATCCCTAAATCTCTGACGAGTTTCCACTGGGATAATCCCCCTCTTATCCATCAGTTAGAGGCGGTATCATCCCGTCCAGCGACGTAACATGTCCTCGGTTGTGTTTGCATACGGAACTAACTCTGATAAGTGCTATGTATTGCCCTAGTCCGTCTGATATCTACTTGTTCTGGCATCAGCATATAGCGCAACTTTTCAATGCCCAGTCCAGACTGTGCTCGAAAAGAAACTGATAATTCCCCACTTGCAAAGCCATCGACACAATGGAATTGTTCGATCATAGCAACCCGACGAGAATGCCACCTCTGTCTTACCTTGAGTCGACCATGAGCGGTATGTTCGTGTATATATATCTCTAATAGGGACGTATCGATGAATGTGATGTTCGATTTTACTGGAAGAGAATGACTTTCCGTGGTCCGACGAACAGTTCATAATGCAAGCTATGAAGAACTCCACTGGTGGGTTGAATAGTAAACAAAGCGAGGCGAAAGTTCCTTCGACTCGAAAAATAATCTCAAATGTCATGATGCAATTCAGCCTTTCAGCCACTCTTTAGTTCGTCACCTGTCGGTTAACCCCCTTCTATTTGGACCGATCAGAGACACCATCTTAGGTCTCGAATACACGGGTAATGAATTACGCTTTCAAATTTATCAACGGGGTAAATCACTACCTCGATAATCCCGATATCCAATTCATCTACTTTGACTCCGAGAATGCGGAAAAGGTCAAGCATCTCAGCGGGTGCCTTTCGCCGCACTTTCGATTGTATCACTCAGTCAAAAAAATCACGAGTGGTTTTCCTGCTGAATGTGAAGGCGTAATTAATCTGCCTTAGTCGCGAGAATCCTTTCAGACGTTGTGGCAAGAGAAGGAGGGGCTGGTAATTGAATCTAGATTCCATGAGAACCATCCTTTCAATGTATTGCAGGGCAATTCGATTGTCATTGCCGACGAAGATGGGCATACTTTGCCAATTCTTCTTTTCCATTGGCAGGATGGCGAAAGTCTTCATCTGAAAAAACGACGGCTTGCCCAACAAGCTGAATCTTTTATATATCCTTGACACGAACTTCCAGTCTTGAAGATGGCGAATTTGGCTTTGGTTCCATCGCCATGACCAGTTATTCACAGTGGGACGCATGAAATGGTGCTCGACAGTCCACTCTTCGTGCAGCAGTTTCCGCAAAGATAATGGCCTGTTTAACATAGATATTGCACGCTTCCCCTGAGACTTCATGCGTGTTCTCACGCAATACTGTAAACAGAAAGGAATGTCGTTGTTTGAAAAGAAAAAAACTCATAATCATTCGGAGAACTTCGTACGGGAGACGATCCATTTTGGCAGTGAGTGATAGAACTAATAGAATCGGGATACACATAGGCCGCGCCTATATAAGTTCAATAAGCACATGTAATATGCACGTAATGACACCTGAGTTTCCGAAAAAGCCAGTCATTGACTGCAAGCGCTCATCATGAATAGTTCACACTGACCTGAATAATGCAGTATATTCGATATTTGTTGGTCAACGTGAATAAACTCAATCTTGCCCAAGAAACGAGCCGTCATGACCACTCAGGCACATCCTCGTGGCTATGACGGGATTGGGGATGAGCAACCTATATGTATGATGGATTTCTCTCGATACATCGCAGGTATGGGGGTTTCCTAGGGCCACGTTCTCTTTTCATGTCTCTCATATCACGCAGACCTGCTGATACAGAGTGTGATACAGAAGCCATCAAAATGTCAAAACCAACCTATTGAGTTCATTTGGTGAGAGAGCTCTTCCAACCTCATGTGCCATTGGCCTATTTGCCTAGAAAAGCAGGGTATTCGAAAAAGTACCTTTCAACTCACACAGTGTCATGGTGGAAAATGGATATGCCCCGTAGGCCCGGTCGGAACATTATTTGTCCGACGTGCATTCCTCTCGGCGGCCACCTACAAATCTTCTGGACAGATTGTACTATCCAAGCACTGCTACACATGGTATACATGAGAAAGATTATTTGCGCCCATTATCATCGCATGGCTAGTGCACTGGCCGATCTGCCGCTTGAATTTGCGGCTATGTTTCTTCCACTGCACCTCAGTTGCCAGCAGCACAGAGTGCCGAAGGTACTATCTTTGCTCTATATCAGAACAATTTGACGACTACCGATCGTATCCTCGACTATCTACAGAACCTATTTTTCTTCGACGCCTCGCGGCAACAGCTTACAGATTTCGTCGCCACCTACCAAGATAACGAAGAAGACGGCTCACCCTTCCGCACAGGATTCGCTTACAACTGGTACATATAAACGACTGGCCGCCATCCTGGGCGATCTTTCTTTCACCCTCATGCGCCAGGCGTTCATAAACTACGCCCCCAAAGCGAAACAAGTCGTGGTCATATCTATCATCGTATTATCATGGTCTTCCCTTCCTAGGGACTTTTCACGGATCCGATATTGTGCAGATGTTCTATGGGGTCCTACCAAACTACGGATCCAAATCTCTACACTCATACTGCTTGTCGTTTGTCTATGAGCAGGACCCCAATGCAAAGGCTGGAGATTATATGCATTGGCCACAATGGGGTAATAACCAGTCGCTGATGAATTCTTCCATCGACCGTGGTGCCCTCATGCCGGATGACTTTCATCAGGATAGTTATGAACAGATCATGGCGATCCTGCCGCGTTCTATATGGGAATACAAGGGAGCACAAGGGAATATATTAGGAGCTTCACGAATTATGTTTATATTATCCTAGGATCTGATCTGGGATTTGGTCTGCACGGTTGTGCTCATAAAATTTAGGCAAGAATTAATGACATTCGCAAAATTCAGGGATGGATCCATCGATCTCTAAGCAAAATCTGTGTTCAGAACTAACGCCCAATTCAGTTCCAGCTCGCCGTCACAGTGGCTGTACTTCCAGAACACCCATTCGGCACCGTATAAGACCGATTATGATCGCTTTCCCACGTTGCAGCTGCAGATCCGGCTGTCTTGAGGAATTTGTGCTAGATGGTCATTCCGACGAGGCGTGTGATACTTGTACATCTCCATCAGCTGGGTGCCAGATGAATACCCGCTCCAACTTGTTGACCATGTGTAGGAGGATCCGGATAACCCGGCCTTGGAAAGCACTGTAGTGACCGGCGAGCTGCCCGCCTTATTTGTTTGTGGCCATGAACAAAGCGAGACATGTGCGTTGGCGAAGCTCTTAGGTGAATCAACGGAGTTAGCAGCCAGACCCGATTTATACCTTCGACTTGTATTACCGTTATCTCATCTAGGTCAGCACAAGACGAGCTTTTGTTCGCGGTAATATACACCGATGTAAGCTTTGCCTAGTTCAAACCCAATCGGTTAATTAGAGCAGACGAAAAAGTTCCAAATTCCTTTCAGAGCACCATGGAAGCCAAGAAACGTCGCGTCCAGCTCACATGTAAGCCACCTTTCACCAAAGTGCTAGTTCCGAGGCAGATCTGGCGGGCTGGCGACGGGGATAATTTAACCTGGTGATTGGTGGATATCAGCCACCACCCCGGATTATGCCGTAAAAATAACAAGGGGCGGAGATTCAACGGAATCAAATATTGGTGAAGTTGATTCTAACGTGGTTGATCTAAGCGATTGGGATGAAGATCAATGGTCGGACAGTAAGACCTCCATCTGTCTCGGAAGATATTCGACCCACCTGAAGAGAGCAATGATGGGCCGGACATTTGAAGAGTTAACAATGAAGCCCTCGAGTAGCGCTGGGATTATATTCCAAGCTGACGGTGGTGTAGCGGGGAATTATTGGACCTCTGATTGACGGCATTTCTCTCGCCCCGGAGCTCATTGTCTCTGAAACAATGTGCTGTCATGCAAGTCCCACACAAGTGCATTGATCTGCCTTGGAATTCCAAGTGCGTTGAATCCACTTGCCTGTCCCCGCTATAAAAGCAGGTGTCGCCCCCACAATCATCCCAAACCAACTTACCTTCTGACACCATGATGGCTTCTCACTTTTGGGCTGCTCTTTGGGTGCTCACACTTGGCTACGCTGTTGTAGTTGCACCACAGATATTGGTCCCTCGTGCGACTGGCAGTCTGGACGCCTGGTTGGTGTCTGAGACAGCAGTGGCAAAACAGGGTATCCTCGATAACATTGGATCTGCTGGTGCCTATGCTGCGACTGCAAAGCCTGGCATTGTAGTCGCCAGCCCGAGTACCTCTGACCCTGACTGTAAGTATTGGATAGCTATTTGTGGCAGCGGAAAACTAACTTAACTGGCCTACAGACTACTATACTTGGACTCGTGACTCGGCTCTGGTGTTCAAAACTCTGGTCGATATGTTCAAGAACGGTGACAGCGGCTTGTTAAATATTATTGAAGAATACATCGATGCACAGGCCTATATCCAGACGGTATCCAATCCATCTGGAGATCTTTCTGGTGGCAGTGGATTGGGGGAGCCTAAGTTCAACGTCGACGAGACAGCCTTCACTGACTCTTGGGGTCGTCCTCAGCGTGATGGACCGGCCTTGCGAGCCACTGCATTGGTCTCGTTTGGCCAATGGCTCATTGTATAAACCCCGAATCTGTTGGCTTTTGCATTGCTAACCCATTTAGGATAATGGGTACACCACTTACGCGACCAACATTGTCTGGCCCGTTGTGCGCAACGATCTCTCCTATGTTGCCCAATACTGGAATCAGACTGGATTTGGTTATTACACCTCAAATTTTAGTTGCGCACATTTCTAATGCCCTATAGATCTCTGGGAAGAAGTTTCTGGCTCATCGTTCTTTACTGTCGCAGCTCAGCATCGCGCCTTGGTGGAGGGAAGCACATTCGCAAGCCAGGTTGGTTCCTCGTGTTCGTACTGTGACTCTCAGGCTCCACAGGTCTTGTGCTTCTTACAGTCTTTCTGGACTGGGTCTTATATCCTGGCCAACTTTGGTGGTGGCCGCTCTGGAAAAGATGCCAACACGCTACTCGCCACCATCCAAACTTTCGACCCAGAGGCCGGATGCGATGACACCACATTCCAGCCTTGCTCAGCTAGAGCACTCGCAAATCACAAAGTTGTGACTGATTCATTCCGGGCGATCTATCCTGTCAACTCTGGTATTGCTGCGGGCAAGGCTGTTTCTGTTGGTCGATACCCGGAGGACACATATTACAATGGTAACCCTTGGTACCTATGCACATTGGCTGCGGCTGAGCAGTTGTACGATGCGATATATACGTGGAATCGTATCGGTTCTTTGACAATCACCTCTGTCTCTCTCGGCTTCTTCCAGGATCTGTACAGCTCCGCTGCGACCGGTACCTACTCCTCGTCCAGTGATACATACACCTCGATTCTGAGCGCTGTCACGGCATATGCGGATGGATATCTCAGTAATGTGGTATGTTGCATGCTATCGACTATTGACCACCTCAACTGACAGATATCCTAGGAACAATACGCTGCATCGAATGGCTCCTTGTTTGAGCAATTCTCCAAGTCAGATGGCTCACAACTCTCGGCTCGTGACCTGACTTGGTCCTACGCAGCCCTGCTTACTGCCAATGACCGTCGGAATGCGATAGTTCCTGCACCATGGGGTGAGACATCTGCCAGCAGTGTACCTGGCCAATGCCAGTACACTTCGGATGTTGGGACTTTCAGCAGTGCAACAAACACCGCCTGGCCGACCACGTTGACTAGTAGATCAGGCAGCGGAACTACTACCACTACGTCTGCGAAGACAACCTCGACTACAGCACCATGCACTACTCCAACAGCCGTTGCAGTGACATTCAACGTGATTGCCACTACTGTATATGGCCAGAACATCAAGCTTGCTGGATCTATCTCCGAGCTTGGCTCCTGGTCCCCAAGCAGTGCTATTGCGCTGAGCTCTTCTTTGTACACTACGAGCAACCCTTTGTGGTTTGTGACTGTGACACTTCCGGTGGGCACTGGGTTTACCTACAAGTATATCCAGGTGGCGAGTGATGGCACTATTACATGGGAGAGTGACCCGAACCTGTCATACACCGTTCCCACCACGTGTGGTACCACAGCTGTCACGATTAGTGATACCTGGAGGTGATAACTGAAGTTTTGGATACCTCAATTGAAGATTGTGCATGCTTTATTCTTCTATCGTCGTAGAATAGCACCATGATAATGATTGTTTATCTGAGTATTAGCTGTCCGAACACAACCACCGCCTGTCCATTGTGTAGGCGCTGCCGTTTGAACTATTACCTGATCGGGCTAACCTTACCGATAGGCTGGTACGGTGATGCGGCCGTCACATCATAATTATATCAAAGTAGTGAATAAATCGCCGCAGGATGTAATGACGGAGGGATGATGTGTGAGGACTCCATATAAGATCAAATTGAGAGCCGATGAAACCTGAAATCAAGTTCTTTATTGTCACTTCGTTAAAAACGTCTTAGTCAAACCAACATGTCGACAACAGAGGAAAGAGTGAACGAGATGCGTGGGTACAAGGCGTAAGTACTCACTTTTGTGATACTCATGAGCATATCTAATTAGCAAGTTTATCTTTCATAGCACGCTGAGCAACCCGAGAGTTTCAGAACGGGCAAAGCAGCATGCACACGACAGGCTTAATGAGCTTGGCGGTGATAAGCCTCGCGAGGAACTATTTCAGGCAAGAGGCGATCGGAAGAAAGACCCAACGAGGGTCGCAGCTGGGTATAAGGCGTGAGTATAAATAAGTCTTGGGATGTTCTTCGCATATGCTAATTGGCCTATATAGCGCGCAGCACAATCCTAACGTGACTGAGGCCGGGAAGAAGAAAGCTACCGAGGAGCTACACGAAACTGTTCCGGAGGAGTAGAGACCTTTTGGTTGGTTTTACCTGATATGTGAAACTAAGTGTGAAAGTATATGTTGGCGTCACAATATTATATACGTTCCAATGTTATAGGGCAGTGATCTGCACAGAAGAGACGATGCGTTACTGTAGGAGACTAACACACTTTGTAGCAGGCTTATATTGCATACAGTAGTGAAGTTCCGATGAACAAAATCTAAATTTGATGGCGCGTAATAAACAGCCCGCCGAATGACGCCAAAAGCGAAAAGCCAAGGGAAACAACTATAGCACGTCAGTGGAAGATACCAAACGCGTTAGAATCCATCAACTCACGATATGTATGCTTAAGTCCCAAAACATAGCAAGCCACCACCGTCTCCCGCAGATGGCCACTTAGGTGCGCGATATAATTTGTATCAGCCATCGCACGTTGAATAACCTAGAGCAATTAACATCAGACCAAATGAGCTTCGCCAAGAAAGTGCGTACCTTCTCCGAGCCAGGTCCGTGGAGATTAAGTCTCAACTGCCGCTGGAACTCCATCCCTAGAACAGAATTGGACGTAGTTACACCCGCCGTCATGGAAAATCCCACAATAAGCATATATCCCGCCGTCGCCATAGCAATTTCCTCAACTGGCAGCATGGCAGACATGGCAATAAACGATGAGGCCGATGCGATTCCCGTGCCAAGTCCACCGGGAAGAATAAATAGTGACTCCCAGAAGCCGCTGTGTCCATCCCAGCGGAGGTAAAGGAGCAGGTAGGAAATGGCGGCAACTAGACCGCCGATGACGAGCAGAATTTTGAATTGTCCCGTGCGCCGAATGAATATGCCCGCTACTAATCCGCCGAGAGTATTTCCTATCACTGCTGGAATGAGATGCACGCCCGCCATTGTGGTCGATGCGCGCTGTGTCACTTGAAAATATAGTGGGACAGAGAACATCATTCCCAGCTGCGCGGAGATCTGAAGAGCGCCGATTATGTATGCCAATGATACGTTCGTACGCCGGAGAATACGGAGATTGAAGATCGGTTCGGGGGCTACGTAGGCTTCCACGAGCACAAAGGTGATCAGGAGTAATGCCCCCCCGCCTGCTAGGAGGACTGTCCACCATGAGCTCCACGGGAAGGACTTCCCGCCCTGGTCGAGGAGTGTGGTCATTGCGATAATGGATGAGCCTAGCAGCGCGGTTCCGAGGAAATCGACCTGGGCGAGTTTGTTCACTTTGGTGGAGTTTGCTTTCTCACCGACGTTCAGTTTAACAACCACGAGAGCTGCAGCCAGAGCGAGGAACGGAGCTTGTAGGATGAACAACCTGGGATGTGGTCAGAAAATACATACAGCTATCGGATAAGTGGAAACTCACCATCTCCATCCGATGGTATCGCTCAGCCAACCACCCAACGGACCTCCCAGACTACGTCCAAGCGTCATGGCAATGTTCACATATGCTCTCCAAGTAGCGACCTCGCGCTTTGGAACAATATCTGTGATGATAATGGAGCTGATGGTCATGATTCCGGCACCGCCCATTCCGCTGATCGCGCGACCGAAAACCACCACCCACATTCGGGTTCCGATACCGCTATACATGATCAGATTTGCATTTCGGCTGTTGGGTCAGGATTTTGCCTACCTCAATATACAGCCAACTGCAAATAACAGATATGAGAGCAGCAACATTGGCTTGCGACCGTAGATGTCACTCAATTTTCCATACTGGGCGATAATCAGACCTTGACATGTCTCCGGTGCTGGTCACGCCCACTCACCATTGGCTGTGCAGCACAAAGACCCAACGTATAGCCCGTTGAGAGCCAACTAGCATCGCGCAGACGATTGAATTCGGAGGAGATCCGGCCTGCCGCCGCCATGACAAGTGTTGCATCGGCATTGGAAACGAATTCGCCTATTTTCGATTAGCTCTCCGGTCTTCGTATATCGCCAATTTTCGTACCGAGCAGAAGCACTGCGATAATTGTCCCAACACCTGCCAATGCTTTGAGCTTAGGCTCTGTGTTAGATGGCGGGAGTAATGGACTTTCTTCGTCTTGGGCATGGCTATTGGCATCAATGCCTTGGGGTCCTATGACACCCGAAGGCCCCGGCTCGACCGTGTCGCTTTCGATATGGGCCATGTTGGGAATTCAAGAGCGTCGAACTAGAAAATAGCATTGAGGGGGTGTCACCTGCGGATAAATATTATGCAATGTTTAGCTAAGTTGTGCTCATCGGAGTGATAAAGCACGCCATATATAAGGTCCACTACGCGTACTTCACGAAAGAATACATACGATGTTTTATAAAATGGATGTAGTCTTTTATCTAGTCAACGTATTCCGTACGATCATGGCTGGCGTGTTAACTCACCCCCAGTCGACCCCACAATGAGAATCAAGTGGTTAGTGCCCCCTCAAGGATAAGAATTGTCGAGCTTCCGGAGAAGGTTGAGAAGATTCCCATACGCATGCGGATGAACTTTGAAACTAAATTGATTGGAATAAACCAATGCTATCCTATTCTTGCTAGATGACTACCAGACTGCATAATTCAGTCCATCTTCTCCGCGACATGCAGTCGATTACGGTAAGGGACAAGTAACGATCCGAGGAACCGATGGTATCCCGATCGAGCTAGATACCGTACTTGCTCCAATCGAGTGTTTAGAAGAAGAGCTGCCAGTGATATACGTTGATGAAGAAGGAGTGGACGAGATCCTTCAACGAGTGATCGATGATCCAGAGGATATCGAGGAGCTCTCCGATCAGGAGGGTTTCTAGGAGCCCCGATGTCCCACCCTCGATCGGACGGGGCAGACGTTCGAAATATCCGAGGGACCCTCGCTTGTCCTGATACAAGAGAAAAGTTGCTTCTGCAAAATCACCAGAACCCAAATTCCTACAGAAGACCAGAGACATCGATAAGACAACACGAAGATCCATACAAGAAGGGTGCGAAAAATCGAAAAATCATGAAAAGGAAGACATTCTCAAAGAAACGCTCGACCTCTGAGCCTCCTTCGCCCTCGCCTTCCCATTCTGCCTCGGGGCATAGAACAAGAGGCCCAAACAATCGCTCATCACAATGCCTATGACGACCCAAATCTCCCATGTCTGCTGCACTATTCAAGAACCATGACCCGTACTGTCTCATTTTCAAGAAAATTATCCTTGTGCAAGCGAGAAGGGAGCTTGCTCTTCAGCCACCTAAGGTAGGTGGCATCACATGTTGCTATGTTGATAGATAGCCCAATGCCATCCTGAGCGATAACGAAATGACTATATTTTATATTGTTAGCATTTCTAGCCTAGGCCAGTTGATGGTATATGAGCCCCATTGATCTTGTTGGTTTGGATGTTGGTCGTTCCCTGAAAGTAGACCCATGCTTGAGGGACTCGGGAGAAAATGGTCGTCGGCGGCATCTTGACTATAGTGGATCCAATTGTGTTAATAACAGAAAATACAGAGGAATGCAGGGTAATAATACCTAACAAGATAGACAGAGAAAGTTAGATGGAAGTTGGATAGGGAACTTCTCGACCGATGGAAGAAAATCAAGCATAGTGTAGAAGTGACAAATAGTGCACGTCACCCATCATTCCAGGTTTTATCTTCAAGTTAACTTGTATGCTTTTATCTCTCTCTCTCTCTCCCCCCCAGTAGCCTCAATATACCCTGGTACTATAGTTACTCTCACTTCAAGTTCACTTCATCACCAACCATCAACCATCAACCATCAACCACCATCCACCATCCACCACTTCGAACTCCCCGTCACAGACTCTCTTCGGACCTACTCATCCACTAATTTATGGCTACTCCAACATACTGGCCACGGAGTAGCCAACAATCGGAGCAAAAACGAAACGGACAAGGGACAATGAAATTTGAAGATTGGCTAGACAATCAGACAAGTGAACACCCTTATTTGCCTAGTTGACCATTGAATGGGTTCGAACATGAAAGGAATCCCTACAACCATAGTGGCTGGGTTTCTAGCAATATTAAGAGTATAGTAGTATGTGCACTCATAGTCGTAGTTGAAAAGTGACGCCGTATTCCATAAAATATGACAGTGCATATTCATTTGAACGTCTCGACTTATTAAATTTAACATTATTTCAAGTAGAGGCCTTGGGGTTCATACTATCACACAGAACTGAATAAAAAACATCTCAGCGACGACGCGAGCCTTGCATTTTATCCAGCTTTGCCAGAATTCCCACTGCACCTACAGCCCCATATCCACCCTCCCTCCAGCAGGTCTCGATGATATCCCGGGCCCAGATTTGCTTGCCCAGGGCGGGAAGCATATCCCGGGATGGAAACCTGGCGACAGAGTCATCACTGCCACTGTGGTGATAGAGACTGACACTAGTCCGTCTCCCAGTGGCAATCTCGTAGAACACGATGCCTAGCTGGCAGAGATCCGTCCATATGGAACAATTATAATCATCCACCGCATCTGCCAGGACGGCGTCGATGGGCATGATACTCGACGCACCAAGGTCACAAATTGCGACGTTCAATGAACCATCCAGCAGGATGTTACGGCTGAGAATATCACTGTGAATGACGCAAGATTGGTGGAGGTTATGAAGGCCGATGGCAAGCTGGCGAAACCAGCGCTTCTGAAGCTCGATGCTGGGTCGTGCCCTGTGCCGCAGCCACTTTGACAACGTACCTCCGGACATGTATCTCATCTCTATGGTATCTCCGGGGAGGTCGAGGCAATGAACGATCCCTTCCACTGGGGTATTGAAGTCGGGCTGAAGACGCCGCCAGACTTCTTGCTCTCGTCGGATCTTGCTTCGGTTCTGTTCCACTTCCTCCAGCGTATTATTCTTGTACACCACTGCCATTTTGATTGCCACATCCTCTCGTTGGACAACAACTGCTGCATCGCCGGTCGCAAGTATTGTATGAGGCTTGATGTAGTGACCCTCATCGTCGATGAGGTGATACAGAGCCCTCATTTGGGTGATGTGAAAGCGATTTGGGGGAATTGCTGCCGGTGGTCAATGTCTTCGATGGGAGTAGAATTTCTGGGGAACTGTTTATTTTTGTTTAGATGATCTAGCTAGCAAATGATTAGTTAGTTATGATGTATAATTCTGTCAGAAGGAGAGGTCCTACCTGAAGTCAATGTATGTATTTGGTCTTGCTTTCGACGAATAGCCAAAGTCCAGGGACTCGCTCTCAGAGGCCCGCGGAGTGAATTCTCTGATTTGAAGGGAAGGACCGTGGAACCTGCACAGCTGGGATTTGACCCTGTGCGATTGCTTAGACTGGGATCATGGCCTCTTGGGGATGCTTGAATAGAGAGATAAAGTCAAGAAACCGCCAAAGGATGTTTGGTTGAAACTGGAATTGGTGGTGCTGATTTGATGGCGACAAAGAATGAAAGCGAGATGAATGAAAGGGAGATCAATGAGAGATGGTGCCTTTGACAAGATGAAGTCGCAGTCCATTCATCGCCGTTTCATAAAAAAGCCATGTTCTCCTTTCCTTTTTCAGAAAGGATTGAGGGTGAACTGCCCAGGCAAGGCATATTTTGATGCTTGAAACTGGACAAGATTGCACTGGAAACACATCGTAGTTGAACCTGGAAAATGGTCAGCGGGAATCATCTTAATACGTGAAATCGCAAAGTATTGAACAATATTCAAATTGAACCCTGCTCACTTGATGTATAATAACATGTAGTTGTATCAAGACGAGGAGAGCTTTGCTGCCAGTATATGTATTCATAGAGGATAAAGAAAGGATAAAGAAAGGTAGAGCCCCTCAGGTAGAGAGTCAAAGCAAACAGGCAAGCGATGGATCGAGGACCTTGGCAGCAAAAAGACAGATGTATAAATTATTACTGCTTTCCACTTCCTTCATGATCACAATATGCATATATACAGCGTTGGTTGCTGTTCTCATCTATTTTAATCTAACTGCTTCTATAAATTGCCTCAAAACGCCCATCACTTAAACTGAACTTGGCGCACATATTCATCACTTATTCATAATTGATCGATTCACTGCTCGTGCGTGAGAACATAGCGGTATCGAGCATCACCATTCTCCATATCGACGATGGCCTGGTTCGCATCCGTCATTGGGCGCTCCTGGATCCAAGGCTTGACGCCCTTGGCAACAGCCAACTCTAGCATCTCCCGGATCTCACTAGGACTGCCGATAAACGAGCCACCAAGCTTGAGGCCCTTGCTGATGAGCAGGGATGCCGGGATCTCAAGAGCGCCATCCTCGGGGACTCCGAGCTGAATAAAGGTGCCGTGGAGACGGAGAAGTCCACAGTACTGGACAATAGGCATCTTGGAAGAGGAAGCAGTGGAGATGATCAAGTCGAGAGAGCTAGCGTTGCGGGTATCCCAATCCTTATCCTCAGCGGTAGCGATGAAGTCATCCGCACCGAGCTCGATCGCATCGGCCTTCTTATCGGATTTGCGGGAGATAGCGACGACGCGATCAGCACCGAGTGCCTTGGCTAACATAATAGCAAAGTGACCGAGACCACCAATACCAATGACACCAACGGACTTTCCGGGGCCGCATCCATTTCGCTTCAGAGGCGAGTAGGTAGTAATACCACCGCAGAGCATAGGTGCCGCATCGGCGGAGGAGATGCCATCCGGGATCTTGATAACGAAGTGCGAAGGAGAGCGGTTGTATGTGGAATAGCCGCCGTACGATGTCCCACCGTTGGCATAGGTACCGTTGTAAGTCATGACCATATTATCGCAGTGTTGTTCGAGGCCATTCGCACAAGGCCCACACTTCCCGTCCTTGTTCTCGCATGAGCCGCTCTGCGCGCCAACACCGACACGGTCACCGATCTTGAGATCTCCCTCGGCATGTGATCCGACGCGGACAACTGTTCCGACGACTTCGTGGCCGACACAGCAAGGGTAGTTGGTGGCACCCTGTGAAGGCCGGTGTTAGCAACTGTATTCGATGCGAATATGTTCAAAATGAATGTGCCATACCCATCCATCCGCCCATCCACTGCGCAGAGTGTGCAAATCCGAGCCACAGATACCACAGTGAGTGACCTTGATATCGATATCATTCTCCTCCCATGGCTTCGGCTCGAATTCCTGCCAAACCATCTTTCCTTCGGCGGCTTCAGGGCCAAGGCCTACCCAGCCTTCGAACTTGTAATCGGTGGAAGACATAATAAAAATGTCTATTTGGGTTCAACGGTTTCTGAATTCAATGGATGAGATCGACAAACCATTCCTACAGGGTCCTCCACTATTTAAACCACCTACACGGAGAGATCAGGGTCCGTCTCGGAGCGTTATTATGTGGCGACGTGGTCAGCAAGTGAAGAAAAGGTCCACTCGACCCGTCGAGTGGATTGTTAGTGGATTTTCATGCGTGGGTTGTCACCACGGTCTTGAATTATTTGCGCTATATCCGGCGAAGAGATTTCATTTGAACGCAAATATGTTGTAAATCCCCGGCAGCGGGAGAGGGAAGGTAGAGTGAGGCATACCGTAGACAATATCACATCAAACCTACACCCGAGGACGTTTTCCCACCCGTATATCCTCCATGTTTACCTTCCCTGAGGAGTTGCTGCTTTACTTCCAAGTATGCATGACGTCAGACATAAACCCACTAAGCCCCTGGCTTACGCCGACTTATACCCGACAAGCTTATCTTGTACTGGTCGGGTCCATTAGGTGCCTAGTTTCAGAAAAGAATGAAAAATGCTTTTGATTCGACATGATTCTGTTTTAGTGGAGAATCTTCGCAGGTTTTCATAGCCAATTCTATCAAGCTTTCGCATCCACTCCATCCGAAGGAACCGCTTTTTGCCGGCGGAAATAATATTGGACACAAAGGACAAGAGCAATGACCCATGAGGCACCAGCAAGGGAGCAAATTGCGGTCAGACCATGCAAGTACTTCGGCGCGTCGGAAGTGCGGAAGATCTGCGAGCCAGAAATACCAGCACAGTTGGCAGCCATTATCACCAACGCCATCGCAACACTTCGTTCCTGGGGTGTCCGGCAGTAGAATGACAGCCAACCGACATTCAAAATACTAATGTCTGGTCAGCTTGGGTTATAGACACGAGGGGTATGGAACTCACTGCATGCTGCAGTAGGAAATATTAGCGATAGCAATAACGCCGTACCGGTGCCATAGCGAAGCGTGGGTATTACTTGTACGAAGACAAGCATAGGAAATTACATTCCAAGTGATAGCTAGGAGCACAAAGGGTCCACGGTGTCTCGTTTTGTCTCTGTCGGCAGTTAGAATCCATCTCGTGGACATAATGGTCATATTAAGCACTCACGCAGCAAGAGACAGAGCAATTAGCCAGATCATGCTGCAGTAGACAGGAACCGAAGCTAAAGCGTTCGCCTTAACGGCACCGAAACCCAGGGCTTTGATCATGCTGGGTGTGTATTGTGTCAGACCAGAGAAGCCGGACATGGACACCAAAGTCAGGAGAACGTGCTGCATGATTCGTGGCTGTTTGACTGTCTGCCAGATATCTGCGCCCGAAATCTGGATATGGCCCTTGGCTTTGAGGGGATCATTTAGTAGAACGCGGTTACGAATGATGTGCGACTCGCGCTCAGTGAAATAACTCCAGCGGCCGAAGGTGATCAAGGCACGGCCGTCTCCGGCTGATGGAGGTACGAGGAGGGTGAAGACAATTGCGATGAAGAGGGTCATTAAGCCCTGGACTGGATGATTGGTCAGAAGAGCTCGGGCTGTATAAGATCGATCTACACTTACCCAGGAAGATCCATCTCCACCCCTCCATGCCATGGGTACCACTCAGCTGAAGCAGACCGGCGGATATCAAGCTCGCTGTAGCCGATGCGAACATCTGCCCGTAGAAGAAGAGACTGGTGCGAACGCTCGTCTCCTCCTTCTTATACCAGGTAGAGAGGTAGTATAGGGCACCTGTGGGTTATTAGCCGATTATCCAGTGCGAAGATAACGATTGCCATACCAGGAATAAAACCACCCTCACAGAATCCCAACAGAATCCTGGTAACCAGGTACGCAGGATATGATTGAACAAAGGCCTGGAACGTGGCAACCAACCCCCAAGCGAACAATTGACCCGACAACCAGACGCGAGGTCCAATTCGCTGCATAATGATATTCGATGGGATCTCGGAGAGAACGATGCCAGCGGAGAGCAGTTGGGATCCGACATTGATTTGATTCGTTGTGATATTGAGGTCTTTTGTGATAGTCGATGTCAAAACGGCGCTTATATTTCCGCGATCCATTTGCAAGGCGAAGAAAGCAGCTGCAAGAATGGGAATGATGATGAAGTCGATTCTGAAAGACACTTATTAGTGAAATGTTCATAGTTGGTATAGGGACAAGAACTATATGTACTTCCGTCGAACGGCCGGTTCTTCTCCATCCCAATCTTTTACAATACCCTGGTCAAGCTCACTTGGAGATGAGTCGATGACCTGCTCCCCTATTTTGTTCTTCTCGTCGAAGATGCCTTGATCTGCCATCTTGCAATTTGAAGGAGCTTAAACCCCCAAAAATGAACAAAACTGGAAATATGTGTGGACGTTCAATTCCTATGGAGGGCTTTACAGGAACACTGTTCTTATAGGAAAAGGAGAAGCACAAGATAAAGGATTGCGTAAGTCAATTTAGTTAAAATGTGCTAAACAGCACCAACTCCGTCGAGTGCGTTTTGACGCGACGACTTCTTGATGTCGCGAGATGGGGAGATATGGCGCAATCACGGATTTGGGATTTGCCAAGGATCTGGGGATCTGGGGGTTATTGGCCTCTAGATAGTGATGTGGACATTGAATAACAGGAATACTTGAATATAATTGATTGGCATCGTTATCTACAATGTAAAATTAGCAAATTAACTACTTCTTTACACCCACACATCCCAAGACACCCCGTGTCGACTAGTCAACGGCACCTGTGGCCCCTCAGCTTCAACAATGTATCCCGCATCACACCAGTCAAATGAGACATGGGGCTGTGCGCTATAGAAGCCATCATACTCCTCATTTAGAGCATCCTGGAGAGTACTAACCGGGTCTACCGGTTGAAGGACATCCCACGGATGGATGCAAGTCACACCCTGGCATGACTTGAGGACCATCAATAGAGCGTCGAGTCGATTGATAGCCTGGGTCAAGTTGCGACCGAGAATGCGCGGTTCATTGAGATCCTCCTGGGAGGAAGTCGGGTACAGATTATTCAACTGGTATGGATCGGTCTGCAAAAGGGTTAGTCGTTGTGATAAAGAACCAAGGTACTATCTACTCACCGACATATCATACAGTTCATGTTCATTGTTGCACCAGACTGAGTAATACAGACTGTATCCGTCTCCATGTAAGCGGACGGATTTGTAGGTGTTATTTGGGATCAGGGTTGAGCCTCCGGGACCTGCCTTGGAATTAGTACTTATCCCACAATGGCCATGAAAACGTTGGACTGACCAATGCCGCTATAAATACCCTCAACAACAGCAGAACCCCAATACTCCACTGTAACATGTTCATGGCGCTCACCCTCAAACTCGGGCGTCATGGGAATAGCGGTACCATCGAAATCATCCCTCGGCGGTATACCCGCAAGATGGAACAAAGTCGGCGCCAAGTCCACATGCGTAGTGACAGCATCCTGCACATATCCTTTAGCCACGCCAGGTCCACGGATGAACAAGGGAACGCGGATATCCTCCTCAAACCCGCAAGTCTTCCCGGGCGGCAGTCTGTGCTGGCCAATATGGAACCCATTATCGGAGGTATAGATAATATAAGTATTATCTAGCTGACCACTCTGCTCCAGCCGGGTGACAAGCCCATCAACTAATTCATCAACACCCTGCAGGGCGCGCAGACGTGAACGATAAAAGTGATCGTTGTAGTCGACGACCGATTGGTTCTGCAGGGGTAGGTCGTGAACCCAGCTGACTCCACTTGGCTACGCAAGCAAATCAAATCCGTCAGAATTTGCGAACACAAACACGTTAATTTGAATCAGGGCCGCGCTTACCTGGTCCGGATTGAAATTCGCCGTCCGGGGCACTGTGACACCCTGGAACAAATGCTGATGTCGTTCGAGGGGGACGGGCGCGGACATGTAAAAGTTTCCCGACGTGATATCGCCAGGATCGACATTCGAATGTGGCGCGACAGGCGACACTGCTAGGAAGAAGGGCCTCTCCCCGGCCAGTGCATCATCGAGGAAACCCAGTGCTTTTCCCGTGATCACATCGATGGTATGTTCACCCTCGTGGCTGACCGGTGGTTCATGGTTTCGCTGGTAAGTCGAATTGAGATAAGAATAGGTGTAAGGATCGAGAAGGAAATCCGATCCATTGAATCCATTGATGTGTGGGCTGTCGTAGTTATACACGGTATGTGCGTTGAACATTTTCCCGGTGTAATACGTATCATAACCCGCCCCTTGGAGCCACAGCGGGAGGAAATCATCGTTGAAGCCACGCTCAACGAATTTGGGATATCCGCCGTATGGTGGATGGACATCGGTCACATTTGTATTGTGTGCCTGGCGACCGGTCCATAGACTCACGCGCGACGGGCAGCATAGCGCTGTTGTAACAAAATGGTTGCGGAAAAAGGTGCCCTGGTCGCGGATGTGTTTGGAGATTAGGGGGGTATAGGAGATTGAGTCGAGTTGCAAGTCTTGGTCGTCAGTGATGACGAAGAGGATATTTGGCTTGCGCAATTGTCCTTCGTTGGGTTTCAGTACCGATTGGAGGACTGATTGCAGGTTGGATTGGAAATTGAGGGCTGCAACGCCTTCGACGGCGACGAGGCCGGCGATGGCAGTGATTAATTTCATTGTGTTTGAGAAAGATCGCGGAGTAGTACAAGTTGTATTTGTATGCAATTTATAAAGAAGCTATCCAATGTGGAGAAATGTGGAGATAACGATGATGCCATAAATGGCCCCAATGGCGGGAGATAAAGTGAAGTTATTCAGAGTCTTCACTTTGTACAACATCGGACAGTTTATTTTCACTTCTATACAATGCAGGGGCTCCTTGATGCTTTTCCCACCTCCGATTGATTTTAGCCAAGCCGGACAAGGTGGGAAGTATCTAAACACTCGTTCATACTACTCCAAGTGCCATCAAGACAGCATTTTTGACTGGCTATGTGTATGTAATATAATCGGGAATAGATACAGTAGCCTGATCAATCATCGAGAAAACAGTGTAGTTATTCAGTCGTGAATGGACAGAGGGAGAGGCTCTATCCCGTGTGATGCCTTGGTAACAAGGCATCTAGCCAATTTACATGTGGCTAATGGTGGCTAAAGTCACGTGTATATTAGCTGGCCAAGAAGCGCCTTACCCGAAGTAGTTTAGACCGCGTAGGATAAGCATAGTTACCAAGAATATCAGAGGCTGGCTTCCAAGTAGGATCATCATGCTTAGTTCAACCTCTTTTCGCTTAGTTGCATTTCGGGAATCATTCAAATCAATCAAACCCAATACATTGTGCAATCTACAGTTCCCTTCCCTCGGATCAATTCCATGAATATGTGCAATAAACTCTAGCTAGCTACGGGGGAAATTGTTGAGCTATGGGCCCTGGGTATTGCGAGATAGAATTTCAATATGTCTACAATTAGTTTGCTTGTGCCTTGAGCACCTCGTTCTTTGTGTTCATTTTCTCTAGGTGTAGTACCCATGATTACCGCCATTCACATCAGTTTGAAGTAGTATCCTCGTTCATATTACATTAGTAGTAGTGCATTCTGTATTTAGTACAGGCCCGACACACTAATATAAATCTAGATGATATTTTATGATACGAAAGGGCCCGTGTTAGATTGGAGGATAGGTCAACTTGAAGATAGAACTTTAAATAACATATAACTTCAGAGGCTAAGAGTTATCTAAGATTTATGTGAAAGTTATGTGAGTGTCAATGGTGTAAGAAGTACAAGGTTGTAGTTCAGGTACACTCTCCTGTATGATTGCTTTTCTTTCATCAGTATATAAGTCCTCTCCTACATATCCGACGAGATATTATTCCTCTCCATTTCTCCGCTGTATCTGTTAGTCGATCATCCCCATATCTAGGTCCAGCCCTAAATATCTGACAGGGCAAGAAACTAACAATATCAGATTCAGAGAAGGTTGGGCGGGTGGCCAACTCTAATATATCGAGTAAGGTGACCAGAATATCTGAGTATGGCATGTTGGATCAACGGTTAGAAATCCGGACCTTAGGCTCGAAAAACTGGAGACAAGAGAGGTGGTTAGTCTTGTGGTTCACTTGTCACTATGACGTGCTAGTAGTTGTGAGGTGCCAGGTCGATCTTGGAGAGGGAGGAGTGCATTCAACTAAATGACTGAGATGAAGAAAGATGAAGCAAGTTGCAAAGCAGGGAACATAATTATCTTTCTACGCATGTTCACGACCGCAGTGAATATTGTGTCGTCGAATTGTATTGTTCGCTAGATTGCTAAGCGAGAAGGTTCGAAGTTTGCAACGTTTGCAAAGGGTAAGCTATATCAAAAGGCTGTCTGGGGCCGTGATAATAATGCCCTGTACTACGAAGGGTCGCTTTCACTGTAAAAACAAAATGTCAATATTCATAGTATTCAAATGACAAGCTTCACTTTTAATATATACGCAACGCTATGCCGAATGTACATCCAAATCAAAGAGAAAAGCTACTTTGACAGCCAAAGCGGCTTCATAATAGACCGCAAATAAACCAGTAAAAAGACCAGCAAGTAGTTCGTAACGGTAAAAGCAAGAAAGATACCGAAATACGGCCAGATCTTGGAAGAATCCAGACCAATTCCAGACAAATACTGCCAACGCAGATTAGCATCTATTCCGGATAAGACAAAACATATTCCAGGAAACAAACTCACATCATCACCAAAGCTATATTCACAATATCCACATTCGCCCATTCCATCCGGGTTGGAGAGATACCCAACACCTTTCGCATCAAGCCATGGGCCCGCGTACTCACTGCAAGTAGTGTTGGGTGGACTCTCGAAGATAGTCAATTCAGTCTGAGAGCAAACGACAGCAGTACCACGGAGAACGGAGGTGAGCACCCCACCAATCCAGTACGTGAACGGTGTGATGTAATACATTGTATATTTCCAAAAGGCAGGCATCTGAGATTGCGGACGGAGGATACCGTTGAAGAGCTCACACATGATAATGAAGAAGGGCATGAGGGTAGCGGCGATCATTGAGTCGGCGCTATCGATTGGCAGGATGTGTTAGTTGATTAAGTCACTGCGGACAAGAAACGGTGCTTGGTTATATTAAACTCACCTCAGAGCGGCAATCCACTGACCCCACGAGGTCGCAAATAGGAAGAAAAGGAAGAACATCAGGAAACAGTAGCCGGCTGCGAAGCCGAGTGGTAATCCCACCATAAAATAGTATAGGACGAAGAAGACGACGGCACCCAGAACGGAATAGGGGATCTCGGAGATGATCTGCGCTGTGCAGAATGCTACCCAGCCGTATACACCACTCGGGCCTTCTCTTGCTAACCAGATATCGCGGTTCATGATGAAGCGCATAGATATAGCGTTGATAAACTCGGGAACCAGCATCAGGACAAGGAAGCAAGAGAACGCCTTTGACTGGAGGTCCGTCGTACTATTGCCGATCTGGAGGTAGGTGAGGCCGTTGATAAGAGCGTGGAGGAAGGAAGAGTAAAGACGCGAGTATGGGTACTCGGCGGTGCGCCAAAACTGGCGACAGGTCCGTTGAGTGAGGAGTATGATCTGCTGGCTGAGAGGGGGTAGGGTTGGGGGCAGGGAAGGGGGACGGGTATTCTTGTCGGAGCGAATTGAAGCGATCTCGTTCTTGACCTCGGCGAATTCTTCTGAGTTGCGCCAGATGGCTGCCCAATTCGTAGGGTTTCCCGAGGCTTTCATGCCGCCGACGACTACTTCGATGAGGAAATCGGCTGCGTTGGTGACTTTTTCCGGAATGTTGCCGTGTCTTGCGAAATACTCGAAGATTGCGTGGCCAGATTCACCGACTGGGCCAAAGTAGTATGTGCTTCCGCCAGGGCTCAGGGCTAAGACGCGGTCAAACTGGTCTTGTTAATATTGATTCGTAAGAAGGGTGTTTAATGCTTACCTCTTCGAATTGCTGCTGATTAGCCTGATGGATAGTGCAGAGGACCGCCAGTCCCTGGTTGGCGAGACGTCGTAGCAGAGCGACGATACTAGTTGCGCCCTGGCTGTCGAGTCCACTTGTCGGTTCATCTAAGAAAAGAAGCAAGTTTGGCCGAGCGCACAGCTCCACTCCAATAGTGACCCGCTTTTTTTTTTCAATGTCCAAAGACCCGATCACTGCATCTTGTAATTCAACCAAGTCCAATGTGTGAATCACCGTTTCCACGTATGCCAGCTTTTCCGCCGTTGGAACTTCGTGGCTTTGTCGTAGCAGGGCAGAGAACTCGAAAGCTTCCTTGATCGTGCTGCTTTCGTCGTGGATGTCCATTTGCTGGCAATATCCGATCTGTCGGTTGAAGGACTGGTCAATTGACCGGTTGTCCACGAATAGAGACCCGGACAAGATGCCGGGACTCTCTCTTTGAGTGAGTGCAGTCAACACTAAAGGTTGTCAGAAATCAAGCGATGGATTCATTTCATTGTGATCTTACATGTAGACTTGCCTGCTCCCGAGGCACCAACGAGAGCAGTCAAAGACCCTGGTTTGCAGTATCCACAAACCCCATCCAAAATCTTCCTGGTCTCCTTGCCAATCTGCACATTCAGCTCCAAGTCAGACCAGGAGAAAGTAGACTCGGTAGCTGTAAGAGTCTGGTCATGCTTTGTTTCATGACCAACAGGTGGCGCTGCAGAATCAATCGAGACAGGCGATTCCTCTTCATCAGACTTAACTTTCTTCTCCCGCTTGGACAGCTTCCGCGAGCCCTTGTATTGGATAGGGCCAGCACTATCCAGCTCCCACTCAAGCACCTCACTCAGCCAACAGGTCATCCCAATAAAGGCGACTGTGAAAAGACAGAGAATCCCGAAATTACGCCAGACGTTGCTGTAGTAGAATCCATATCTCGCAGCCAAGTAGTCATCGCCATTCACGACAGTGCTGCCAATTTGACTACCAGCATAGGCACAGGTCTGATATGCGAGGTCGGTATATTCCGAACCGGATGGGATAATGGAGGCTGCCGCGCAGGGGAAGTTAACATTGTGGAATTCGGCGGCCATGACTGCTTCATAGGTATACAGAGCAGGAGTTGTATATGCAATCCATCCAACCCAAGGAACATCTTGAATCATTTTGTCGACGGAGAGAACGTAGCCGCCAAACACGATGCAAAACATAACAGAAACCCCACAGTAGCGAAGAGCAACTTCAAAGTTCTGCGATAGAGCGGCAAAGACACGGAATTGCGCCGTGAGGCAAAGCGTACTCGTGTAAATGAAGAGGCCGTCGATGAAGAAGGGACCGGCCTGGAAGAGTCAGCGTCTATACTGTGCCAAGATTCCGAGATTACTCACATCAGACCGTAGACCGGACAGGAAGTACATGACAATCAAATACAAAAAAGTCAAAAGCACAGTTATCACCATATCTGAGAGCACTCGGGCCAGACATACAGCGCTGGGCCGCACGAAGGCGAATTTCTTCTGTCGGCTCAGGATATCGCGACCCTGCATAGCTTCTTCCAACTCCGACATCTGCAGCCAGGCAAGCAAAATAGAAGAGTAGAAGAGCACACCTCCACGTGAATACATACCCTCGGTAGTCTGAGGCTGATCGTAGAACATAGACCCAATCAACAACCCATAGACCACGCAAGAAATTAATTTGATGTATAGCGGGCCCATATGCCCTTTCAACTGCCACATCTGACGCTTGGCGCAAAGAACGACCTGTCGGAAGAGCGAAATCGTATATGGCGACTTAGACGAGACAAAGCGCGACTTGTCATTTTGCACAGTCTTCTTGAATACCTCCACGCTGTCGCACTCCGAATCCGCCGGATACGCACTGGAAGACCTACCGGACTTCTGATCTTCGTATCTTTCGACGGCCGTCTCGATGTTAGCGAACGCAGCACTCTGGCGAAAAGCGGCTTCGAGTTCAATGGGGCCCTTCGGCGCACGGTTTTCCCATCCGGCACGGAAGCGCCGTCTTTCGGGCAGGGTGATACTGGTCAGGAAATCCGAAGTAGTCTGCATATCAGCGCACTCATAGCCCAGATCTTCGAAGTAACGCTTCGCCTCGTTTGCAGGCCCTTGGTACAGCATGCGGCCTTCATCAATGAGCAGCACCTTATCCACCAGCTCGTAGATGGCATCCGAGGCCTGGTATAAAGTAAGCAAGGTTGCTTTGCCACATGTATCGGTCATAATACGCAGACTGCGTGCATAATCGAGTGCAGAGGATGCGTCCAATCCTCTCGTGGAATTATCCCAACATGCTACTGATGAATCGGTAGCGAGAGATTCAATGATAGAGATACGCTTGCGTTCTCCTCCAGACACTCCGCGGATATACTCATTCCCCACCAACGTGTTCATGGTATGTGACATGCCAAAAACCCGCCCATAGATCTCCAGGTACCGGGGAATCCTCTCCCGGTAGCGTTTGGGAGTCTTGCTCTGCAGTGCAAACTCGAGCGTTTGACGCACGGTCAGGGTGGGGAAATGCACATCGTCCTCGGGGATGTAGGCCACGGCGCCACGGTAGTGCTTCCTAACTTCATCCGAGCTGAGACCGGAGTAATCGATTGAGCCCGTGACACCCAGAAAGGAAGAGTGGTGGCCAGCGATAGTTCGCAGAAAGGTCGAACAGCCGGCACCAGGACGGCCCAGAACGCTATATATTTCAATTAGACCAAGTTCGGTAAGGATGAGATGGCGTTTGATTTCCTGCTTACAGCATGATCTCTCCGCTCTGCACGACTCCGGAAAAATCGCGTATCAGCGGACGCCCATGCTCGGGCATCTTCTTCACGATCCATGGCTGGATCGTCCATTCATAGACATCCTGTAGGGTGAGGGTCCGCCACAGGGCTGTGGCGAAGGTCTTTACATCTGCGTGGGAGTCTCCGTCGCCCCATGTTGAGAGGGATTGAAAACAGACGCCGAGGTTGGCAGGTTTCTTGCCCTGGACTTGTTCCTCGAGGAACTTGTCGAAGGAGGAGTGCGGTTCCGGGTACTTGGGATCCGGGTGGCTTTGAGCGGTTAATGTGTGATGAATATCGGCGAGGGCATCTTCGTCCTCGTATGAGACCTGCACTCTCGGCGGTTCATTGTTGTGTTTCTCCTTGGCAAAGGAAGAGCTATGCTTCAAGTGGGGATGAAGAGGAGCGGGCATATTGATCCTTCGATGGTCGTTCGGAAAATCCAGACCTCATTGTACTATACATGAAGAAATTGCACAATCTTATAAAGAATAAGACCAAGAATAAGAATTTAATTCAATCAAGAAAAAAAGGTACGACCACATGTCCCGAAAAAGAAGCCAAGGCTCATGATGATGAACCTGGATACGACCAGCCAATCCGGTGGTCGATGAGAAAGTCAAGATGTTGCTGATGGGGTCCAGGCGTTATCTGACCATCTCGGTATACAGCCAATGACAGTGGCAAGGTGGGTGCAACGAAAGGCGGTTCGTTCTTTTCACCAATTCTGGCGAAGGCCTTGAATATAATACAAGCGGAGTCCGCGGCCACCGCGCGATTGTTTTGCAGAAAAGGGAAGCCAAGGCGAGAAGGATCCACCGAACCATTCGAGAGCCACCGAGGAACATTGGAAATGAGGATTTTCTATTAACCGTATATTCTGGCATATTATGTAGACGAGCCTAGTTAGGTCTATGTATACTCTCTGATCGAGATATAGTATCTTCCAGTCTCGAGTAATTTCACAGGGGCATTGTATCATGTCAACCCCCACACTTTCCTGCAGAATGACATTTACACCGGAGAATTTCTCACGTGGCGGGCTTACTAATATATGCACTTCTGCCTCAGGTGTCGAGGTCCTTATCTAATTCCCAATCCGGTCTAGCGCCACCGAGCTCCAAGTTCCCCGTCTCCAAACTCCATACTCTCCCCCTCACTACCCCAAAATGCAAACTCTCTACAACGCTCTAATCCGCACCCATCACATAACCTCCCGCAAAAAAGTAGCCGCGCTCAAACGAGCCGCAGACACACACCAATGCGCCGTACTCCTGCGCTCCGGCGGGTGTCCGGGGATCATGTACGTGGAGGGCGGAAAGGAGCCGGTGGAGAGCTGGGTGGATGTTGTGCGCCGGTTACGATATAAGGATTTTCAATTGGTTACGCGACCCGGCGTTGTGGAGGAGGAGGATGGATATGGGACTGGGAATGGAAACAATGAGAAGAGAAATGAGAGAGAGTTGGATCTCCCGTTGGGACTGGATGAGGTAGAGAGTGTCAAGGAGTTTGGAGGCATTATGGCGAGGAGGGGGGTATGGAATTGGTGGAGGAGAGGCATGGGGTATGCTTAATGTCTTCATGTGGATTTGCATTCATGTACTGCTTTCTGAGATATCCAGTTGAATTTTTGGTTTCTAATACAGTGATCGTCGTTGATTCATGTCTTCCCTTGAAAGAAATATATCCCAAACGCCATAATCTACCTATACTACATATGTATACAATTAATCAAGGTGCGTTTTTCACTCAAACCGGCGCCGGATAACTGAGCAGCTTGCAGATATCCTACGACAGTTAGCAACGAGCCAATATTCCCCCATGACTAAACATACCTTTCGTTGTCTCCGATACTTATCATATATCATCTTCCAGATCTCTCGATCCCGACACCCACTCTCCTGCGGCGTGCCAGGATTGTTATCACACTTCGGCTGCTCAGCCGCCAACATGTCCTGCGACCACATAATCCACGGCTTCGGCAGCGGCCAATCGGAAAAGTGCACAAACTTAGCCTGCGCCAGGACATGATCAGGGTCCCAGACCTCATCATCATTCCCCAGGAACTTGCGATGATCCTTCGTCCGGAACTCGCCGCTCAATAGCCCATACTGCCGATGTGGGAGGACCATTGCTGAGTCCCCATATCGCCGATTCAACAGCTCCATATCATACCGATGGTCCGTCAGGTTTATATCGACTTGACCGTTCTGGGTGGGTGCGGTAACGTCGGTCAATGCAAGATATTCGCGGAGGGAGGGCTCAATGACGACCATCAGTGACGAGAGCAGTTTGTCCGGAAGAAGCCAGTAAGCACGTGGCATGGCGACAGTGGTAGGCGGGAGGAAGAAGAGCTCGTCCATTGTCTGGAGGAGGATAACGTCGGAGTCGAGATGGATGACACGGTCGTATTCGTGCTCGCCGAAGGCCATGAGCTTGGCTGTGCTAGTATCCCACGAAGCCCTGGAATCGGAGTCTATAAAGCGAGTGACATGTCAGTGGGTATCTTCAAGAAGCTAGAATCGGTTCCAACAGCGGCAGCCGAACTCACTGGATCCATCCTGAACTCCCTCGATCTTGATCGGGATCAGCATTACATTATACTTGAGTTTCGCCTCAAGCAGCAACTGGCTGACGCGGTCAAACTCATCCTCGACAATGAGGTCCCACTCCTCTGGGTAAAACAAGACACGTTCCGCCCTACTGCCGAGTCTGTGCAAAGCCTCGAAGACCATCAGGCAATTGCACATGTAGACCTCATTGGTTGCATACTGAGTATAGGCAAAGCGCGACCAGTCGACTTCGTCGTAGTGGATATGTGGTAGGGGCAGCGGCGGGGGGCGTTCACGCCGTTGCCACAGAATAAACAGGACGATCAGGGCGACTGTGGCCCATGTTCGGACGCGTCGTAGCTGGCGCTTGGCTATGGAGAGACAGGGTTCATCGGGGATATCGAAGAAGTCATCCTCCGAGGCATTGGAGCTCCGTCGATAGGGGAGGGCGTAATTTTTGGGCGGCATTGTTAGAGGCTGAAGCTATTGACAGCGCAGTGGTGATTTGGATAGATGCACGTGATGGTTATGTAATCGTTATTGTGAATGCATTCTGATGCTAAATTGGATTTGATATCGAAGGCTGAGACCAGCTTGCAGGCTTGAGATTGAACATTCAAAGTTGCGGGGAGGGCCCACCTCTTTTCAAAGTTGGAGCAACCGTGGAAGATCGCATGCCTTCCAAGGTTGTATATACTACTCTGTACAAACTATTTTCTATTTTCTCCATCTGTCCAGGCATGACATACAACCACTTCGTATACATTACTGGTGGTGATGAGATCCTCAATCGTTGGTAGCATGGAGTAACAGTTCCAGTTTATAACCTTCTAGTCGGGTGTTTGCCTACGATGGTACTCGAACGAATTTCTTTATTCTAATCATATTAACCAGCAGCTTGGAGTGACGGAGAAAAAGGTCCATTGGTGATAACTCGAAAAAAAGCGAAGTCACCGCGATTTCCGCAAAAAGACAAAAATAGTTTCCCTGGGAATCGAACCCAGAACCTTTCCGGAACATTTGCGAATCGCATTTGTTAACGGAAAATCATAACCGCTAGACCAGGAAACTGCTCGACCACTTGGGCCAATTGATGAATGGGCAGGCGAAAAATGGCATTATGTCTAATCTTTGAGGTATAACGTACGAACAGTATATTTTTGTCTCTAATCTCATGTATATCGGTCGCATTTTAATTTCATTTCTCCTACTGTGCCTATTCTCTGTCAGTTTCAGTCACTATATAACCCAGCTTAATTGGGGACTGCCATATACACCGAGTTAGTTGTTCATTGAGCAACTTGTATGGTAGTCCACGCTAGATATATATAGAACGCATAAATAAAGCAGCTGCCACATTCAACTCTCCGCTCTTTCTCGTTTGCCACTAAGGAGGGACGTAGTAGGAGAAAATAATTATAATCCAAGTGCTTATTATATACCAGAGATCTATATACCGTAAATCAATGAAATCCCCCAAAATGAGATTCACCCCCATTAGGCAACAACCTCGTCCCACCCGAAGAGATCGACCTCCCATCATCAACTTGAACAACAATATCTGTCTTAATAGTAACACATCCATCATCATGATGGTCCGGCATCTCCGCCTTCGAAATCTGACTGACAGAGCGCTCATGCCCATGTCCATTCCAGTGATCCTCCTCATCCTTAATATAAGTATTGGTCATATTAGTCACTGTAGCCGAATCCAGCCACTGGTCCTGAACATTAACGCGGCGCTTCATCTCTGTGTCTGGCTCATTATGTGCGGTTGACCGAGAGCGAGACCAGTAGCCGTGATACCGGCCCTCGCGTCTGTGGTCAATGAAGGACCGGAGGAAGAGGCGGGCTACTGGGGCACAGGAGGCGAGGAGGATGCTGTAGTTCTCAATCCTGGGAGTGTTGGTTAATAATACTGGGATTGGGAGATGGTAGTTGTACTTACTTTACCCAGAGAACGAACGTCACGATATTATAGGTGAAGTCTTGTCTGTCACCAAGCGATTTGAGTTTCTAGTGAATGATATTAGCGCTGCTGTGTAAGTCGAGAAAAGATATTATACTCACATAGGTCTTTACAATAGAAGCACAGCCAGAGAGCAAGAGTGGTCCACTGAGCGTGATGGTCTGCCAGATCCGGCGGGATCGAACGGTGCCATTAATTTTGCGGAATTGAGACCAGAATGAGGTGTTTGGATTACGGTGGAGGGTTCGCAGGAAGAATTGCCAGAGTTCGACTGCAGCAAGCACGGCAAGGAAGAAATCGATCACGGTGTTGAATCCTGTGCGAATTGCAATTAGCTTTGAGCTGAGCTGCTGAAGTATATAATTTTCCATACCTCCTTGTACAAAGCCTACAGTCGTTTGGACAACCGGTGATTGGCACTTGACGGAACCATCTTCAGGGAGTGGTGTCCACATATAGTGAAAGTATTGTACTCGATCAGTCTGCTCTGAGATTAGAATGGACCAAGCACTAAGAAGGAGGATACTAACCGTTTGATACGGGTTCGGTCCGCACTGGACAATAATCTGGACGATTGTAACCATATTGACGACAACCTGAACAACGGCGCAGACGATAATAGATTGTCGAATCTTCTTGTCGCTGGCTGCAAAGCAAGTCAAAAGAAACCACATCATGCCTGCGCGTGACACCATTGCCGAAGTGACAGCCATCGGCTGTGAAAGAAAGTCCCATTTCATAGCATAAAGACGCTCTTCCCCAGTTAAGTAGAAGAAATGTCTCCCAAGGCCCGAGTTGGCACTAGACAGAGTTAATGGCTGACCTGGGAGGAATGACACTAGTCGACCTCACCTCATTTGAATAAGTACCATATGAGTGATATCAAAACCCCAAGCCACGAGGAAGAATAAGTCCTCTGTACCCCAAATTCGACCAGGTGCAGTGACCTGCGGTAAAGCCCAACGCACCCAGATCTTGATAGCATAGCGGAACAACAATGCTACGCCGACAATGGATGTGAGGACCTGCTCGAGGATTAGTATACATATATCCAGAGGCAATTTATAAGATCAAGATCATACCCAGCAAGCCTGAAATGTGCCGGTTCCTGTTAAACATGTCAATCCACGATCCTCTAGGTCCATTTGCTTGGCATTTGCCAGGTAAACATACCGATATCAACATCGCCCTCACTAGGTTTCGGAATATCCATAATGAAGATAAAACACAATAACCAGACCTCTCGGTTATAGGCAGGGATCCAATTCAAATACTCATTGGCATATATACGAGACGAGAACGATGCGCGGGGTCGGTCAGATGGATCAAATGCGAAAGAATATAAACCAAATCCAATCCAGCACCAAGGGATAGTAGAGGAGAGCTTTTAAGTTGCCTTTAAAGGTTATTAGAAATGGAGATCCTGTCAAAAGTCTCGCGCGAACCGGTTTACAGGTCAGAAACTTGTCTAGACTCGTTTCCAACGGGTGGAAGGGCGCATAAACGTAAAATGATCGAGAGGAAACAAGGGATGCAGGGCAAATCCCTTGATTTACAATGAAAATATAATCGGGTCAAGCGAAGCGAGTTGTATGATATGGCAGAGTATTGAACCTTGATGTACGGGGTCAGAAACGTCCAGTTTTGACTTATGACAGGAGTTAAGCTCGTGTGGCCAATCTGCGTGTCAGAAAATATCCCATCCTTTTGATCGTGGCAATGGACACTTCGCATTGCCAGGACCATGTGGATCAAGCACAGGCGACATTCCGGAGAGGGATGGAAATCATGCAATGGCCATGTGAGATGCAGTAAGGGATGTGACGGAGAATGAGAAAAAGAAATACATCAAATACACATCCACATGGGATTGATGGATTCGATACACCCCTAGATCGGATCTGCAAAGATCTGCTGAGTTCGAGAGATAAAAACTATATGCACGTAAGCGAAACTATTGATTGAAGGGATGTGATGAGTATACATCAAGAAATGATATATCATATTGACAAAGAACGATTAACAATGAACTAGTATCAACAACCAACCATTAACCAATTGAATTAACCAGTGAATTATATCGCTCAACCCTGAACTACCGATCCGCCCTCCTCATCTCCACCAATGACTCTCCAGCCCTAACATAAACCTCAAAAGTCACCTCTAGCCCACACAATCCCGCCACCTGCCTCCACTCCACCGAACTCCTTTCTCGCCCCCCATACATCGCAATCATACTCGCATGAAGCGCAGTATAAGTCAAATTCTTGGCGTACTCAATAATCAAAACTCGCGAACCAGGTGTCATAGCACGCGAAATCTTCTGCAGCAACGCTACAGCATCCAAATCAGGCAAATTATGCAAGATATGTTGCAGCGCGTAAACACACGCACCCCGAACGGGCTGCTCAGCCTCATTTTTGTAATTCCACTCCATAAGACGCACGCCAGGCACATCATCGATATCCGCATTGAACTCCTGCACGATTAGATCATCCACACCGAGATGCGGATATACGGCCTGAACCTCAAGGAGGAGTTCGCCACGACCGCCGCCGATGTCGACCATAGTAGCGGAGCCAGCGAGGGTGCCAGTGGTAGTGTCACCTGCCAAAGCACCATCTAGATCATAGCCCATCGATTTGACGCGCTCGGGGAATGTTCCGAACTTCAGGAACTTGCCGACCATGAAATGGTTGAAACTATCCATGCGACCCTGAGCCTCCATAATTGAGTACGTGTGCTGCTTTGCCAGCTCAGACTGACCCATTAGCTGATAGGCGTATTGCAAGGGGCCGTCTGCTTCAGCAAAAGGGTATGCGAATTGGGTGTCTCGGAGCTTTTTCATCAAAAATGCGCCGGCCATTAGACCCTCGGTGGTGCTGGATGGGGTTAGTGCGTGCTTGGCTGGTTATATTGATCTCATTATAGAAACAGGACATGCATGGGGGAACTGACAAGTGCAGTGCGCCATGCTGGGCGGAAGGCATGGCGACCATGTGGTTTGTGATGGCATTTGCTGTGAAGCAGTCCTCGGCCACGCGTTCAACTAGGCCGAGTCCGGCCATAATGTAGAGTGTGTCCGCTGCAGGAATGCATTAGCATATCATTGGGATACTGCTTGTACCTATACCTGTACAAGGGTGTGCTTACAGGCTAATCTGGTACCTATATCCATTGTCAGCATAACATCTACAACAGCCATGATAACAAGCCATTATCCATTCAAACTGAAACACGTACTCAGCTCGGGTTCATCTCCCCCTCGGGCTTTGATGCGTGCATTGCAGGTAGCCGAGACTTCGTCGGCCGTCGCAGGTCCCCCGTGACCCACGAGGATATTGAAGAGATCAAAGTGAATCGCGACCGGGACAAATCCCAACGATGCAGGCTGTAACTGAATTAGATAGAAGAATTATCTGACAGATTCATCAGACTCACTACTGTGACGGTTGCTGCGAGTGCGGCGCCTGGGGGTGCAACGGGGGCCGAAGATGACAAGCCCAGTAGGCTGGCCAAGCGGGTGAGGAAGGACATTGCGTTCGTGAAGATTTTTGAGTATGAGAATGACGGGGGAAGTATATTCTGATTATACTCTAAATACATCATCTACAAGTACAACATACGGTGGGATCCGGCAGCAATTCCGATACTAGGGTGAGAATACAAACGGTGTATATATTCAATTTACCATGCCTGGAATACTACAGATTATAACACATCAACTCCTGATTCGTTATTATCATGGGATTGTTGCGCTCCGTGGAAGATCATTGGTTCAATGTGACCAAGTTGGGTATGCGCAAGGGATACCACACCAATACTCCGTAGGAACAAAGAACTAAAGCCTAGAAAATAAACCCGCGAATAGGAATGTCCAATAGCGAATTACCCTAAGGCGAAGGATCTACTAGCCCCGATCTAGCTTTATGATACATCCACTACACGTACGGAGTACATTCCGGAGACTTTTCAACATATCCAAATCTGAAACCGATTAGGGTTCCCCTCTGATGTCTCTGAATTGATAAAGACTAGATTCTAGAATCTCCCTGTGCAAAAAAAGCCACGCGAGAATCTCCATGTGTATTCGAAAAACCCGCCGTGCATAAAACCTACGGTGTCCCGTCACGCAGAAAAGAAAAAGATCTTCATTTACCTCCTTACCTGACCAAAGTACGTTGTCTTGGGGTTGAGCTTTTACACTGCACAGAATACAGGCACCAAGAAGTGCGAGCATACCTACCATGGAGAAACCCTCCCCTGTTTACTTTACGCAGGAGATGGCAGCTAGTGCGTCGTCGTCGCTTGAGACACATGAACTGGAGGAATGCGATTTCGATTCGGACCTCGAGGTCAAGGATCCCTTGAACCCGAGAAATTGGTCATCGGCGCGGAAGACCATGCTCTTTGTGTCGCTGATGACGAGCTCGTTGTTGGCAGATGGGTAAGTATACCCGGTCGATTGTGAAACCCATCGCGGCTACCGGCTGAGATGTGTATGCATAATAACTTTCTGACTAAATCTTGCAGGGCTATGGTATGGGGTGGAACCCTGGTCACGGAGCAGGCCATGGATTGGAATATTACCATCGCTCATTCGGCGACTAGTATGAATTATGGCATCCTGCTGCAGGGGTTTGGCGGAATTTTTGCTGTTCCGCTCATTGAGGCGTATGGGCGGTGAGTTGGGTCTTTTTCGCCCACGTTGGCTGTCACACTGACAGCTGAATGTAGTTTGCCGATCTGGCTGTGGCCTCAGGTGATCACTATGTTTATGGTGCTGGGTGCCACCCTCTCCAATGATTGGTCTACCTTCACGACCTTCCGCTCTTTGCAGGGTCTATTTGGCACAGTGCCTCAGGTAATTGGGCTCCCGATCATTCATGATATGTATACCTCGGCTGGTAAGTATTTTCTGTGGGATTGTCTCGAGTACCTTATGCTGATCTGACAACAGAATGGCCGCGGATGATCAATATTTGGTAGGAGACTTGCCACTCAAATTTAGGGTAGCACTGACTTGAGCATAGGGGCACCGCCTTCCTCGTCGGGCCATTCCTTGGTCCTGCGATAGCTGGATACATTGGTGCCGGGTCAGACTGGCGTATTTCCTTCGGGGTCCTGACAGCCATCTATGGCCTGTCCACTGTCATGGTGATTCTCTTCGGCTATGAGACATATTACAAGCCTGGACGAATGAACAATCAGTCACGACTCGCGTCTTATTTTGGCATTGGAAATACCCTGCTTCCCAAGGTATCGACGTTGATATATTGGAGCCGAACAGTCGTGGTCTATGTGTTCAAGTTCCCGTTGCTGATGACTGGTGCGTATGGTCGACCTAGCTTGCTATGACATTCACTAACCAAGCCTTTGTCGATAGGAATCGCTATCTTGGTAACATTCACTTGGCCGATTGGTAAGTAACCACCATCACACCGTTCTTTCACCTGCTGACTGTGCAGGAATCACAACCACCATCGATAGCTTCCTGCACAGCCCTCCATATTTGTTTGACACGATCGAGGCATCATCAATGCGATTCGCCGGTGTGATTGGAGCTTTATGTGGTATGCATCTTCAAAGCACCTCTCTCTCTCTCTCTCTCTCCGGATTCTTACCATCTCACAGGCTGGGCATTTGGCCACTTCTTCAACGGCTGGATCTTCAAGCGTCATAGCTCAAACTGGCGAACCGAGCTCCGCCTCCACGGTGTCTGGTTCCCGATAGGTAGTATGGCAAGCGGTCTCCTCACCTACGGACTAACCATGCACTTTGGCAAGCACTGGATTGGGATAGCCATTGGGTGGATCATGGTGAACATCGGCATGGTAGCCACGGTTGTGTAAGTTCCAAATCCACTCTCCTGAGTACTGTCGTATGTCTAACATCCATTGCTCAGTGCCATCTCGGCCTATACATTGGAAAAATACCCGGAGCAGGCGACCTGTGTCTCGGCCATTCTGAATATGTGGCGCACCTGCGGCGGGTTCGCAGTGGGATACTTCCAACCTGCATGGATTCAGCGCGATGGCCTCGGACTGGTCTTTGGCATTCAGGCTGCTATTCTGTGTGTGGCTGTTGCTTTGACTATCACTCCTGTGTTGTTGTGGGAGCGGAAAAGGCGGCTGCGAGTTGATGCTGAAGCTGATCCTTGAATTCTAATGGTGTAAATAACTGTATATGTGTGATGATAGGATTGCATTTGGAATATTTTGTATTTATTTTTGCTCAGACAATAGAATACGAGTTGTGCAATAAGGATAGTTGATCAAGAGGGACCTCGCGTCCAACCCTGAAACACACGTGACTGGTGCCTAATCCATCAGGCCACAATCCCGTTGCCGACCCGAACACGTCCGTGCCGTGTCCGTCGACGCCAGTTTCATGCTTAATCTATTCAACGCCATGGCTGGCTGCTGTACTCCCTACTACAGATTAATTGACATCAATCTCAAACTTGAGACATGATTTACCCCTGATCTTCAGCTCCTGAATCTTTCCCACTAACCAACACTCCTACTCTGTACGGGGTATACACAGTCGATCATTGCCTCGCTATGCAAAGTCCCGCAAGCGATGACGCTTCCCGTGGGGCAGCGGTCTGAAAGACGCCACCGTTTATTTGGCTTATGTGCCGCGTGGTTGCTGATCAGTCCCCAATGAACCTGTTGCTTGGCCTATCAAAGATCCCTCGTTCACCTCGTTCAGAGGTTCAACCATTTCTGCCTGCCTATGGATTATCCACTGTTGCCGAGGCAGTGTCAAACTCGTTTGACTCAGGGACTCAGGGACAGCGATCCCTGACCCTTTTTTTCCCTTCCGTGCTGTGAAACATTTGTTACAACCTTTTCTGTCTTTTCCCACCTTATTCTCGTTAGCTAAATGACATCGGTTCCTATTTAATCTTTAGATTGTCCTTGAGCACCAACCCGACTATGTCTAGTTCTCCGCGACGATGGCTCTTCGTGGTCTTTCCGATCCTTATATTCTGCATCATATACTACCTCTTTCGATTGCCTGAATCCAACCCGACAATCGTGAACAACCCAGAACAAATTCCTCAAGCGGGAGGAGAAACAATTGTGGTAGGGGAGGGGACAAGTCCTCCTCTAATTTCCCCTCCTAAAGAGGAGACAGTGGAGGAGAAATGTGGCCATTTACTACACGCACTCGACGATGTCATGGTCATCATCAAAACCGGTGCGACCGAATCCCTTGAAAAGGTCCCCATCCACCTCCGCACCACGCTGAAATGCGTCCCGCACTTTGCCATATTCTCCGACTACGAAGAAACTATCGATGGTGTCCGCACGTATGACGTCCTCCGCAACATCAGCGAGGCAACAATGAATAATGAACCCGAATTCGGCATCTACCGCCGTCTTCAAGAGGTCGGACGTGAAGGCTTGACGGACGCAGAATGGGGCGACGACACAAACGGCCCACTAGGCAAGGTCAATAACCCAGGATGGAAGCTCGATAAATGGAAGTTCCTCCCAATGATCGACAATGCACTAGAAGTCATGCCCGATGCCAAGTGGTACGTCTTCCTCGAAGCCGACACCTACATGGTGTGGCCGAACCTGATCGGCTGGCTGGCACACCTCAACCCAGATCGACATTACTACCTAGGAAGCCCCATGCAAATCGGCGAAACACTCTTCGGCTACGGCGGGGCGGGCATTGTCCTCTCACGCTGGACGATGAGCCTCCTGCACGAATACCAGATGCGGGCAAAGGAAGATCTCGAAGCGATGACGGCACACGAGTGGGCTGGCGACTGCGCGCTGGCGCGAGCGCTCCACGACGTGCACGTCGATCTGGTTTGGGCCTGGCCGATGATGATGACGTCACGGCCGTGGGAAATCGACCATTTCTCCGAGGGATACGGGCGGCAACCGTGGTGTTACCCTGCTATCTCATACCACCACATGGCGCCCAAGGATATCGAGAAGATGTGGGAGTTTGACCAGGCGTTCTTTGCTAGTGGGAAGAACGCGCTCATGCTGCATGCAGACGTTTACCAGAAACTTGTCTACGATGGGACTTGCTCGGCGCGCGACGATTGGGACAACCTCTCAGGGATCAAGATTGATTTTGCAGCTGGCACGATTCCTACGTTGGATGCTTGTGCAGAGGTCTGTGGGCACAACAACGACTGCTTACAGTATTCGTTTAATCACGCCGAGGGTGTTTGTAAACACGCGTCTACTACCTTTGCGGGTGTTGCTACCAATGGCACGCAGTCTGGTTGGATTACACCTCGTGTGAACAAACTCCTCAAGGCATTCCAGTCTTCATGCAATGAGGTGCAATATGTATTGGATTGATTTTTCTTTCGTTCCTCGGGCATTTTATTTTTCGTTGTCTGTACATTATCAACTTCCTTTTCTTTCCCCCTCTTCCTACTCGACCATCAATTCTCACATCAGAGGACAAGGTGATCCCATGCTTTCAAAAAAAGTCCTTGGCGAGGCGTTTTGCTATGGCGCTATATTGGCATTGTCTGCCGGTCAGATGAAGACTTATTTTTGGTCGCTGGAACCGTTTTCCGTTTCATTCTTTGTTTTCATTACATACATTTACTGATCGTTTCTAGTGATACCAATTTTTCCATCATATCAAATCAATTTAAAGACTCATTTACAGGTGCGGGGTTGGAGATGCTGTAATCTGGATGAAACTCCGATACACCGTAGAGTGTCCGAGTTATATGACTATCCTAAGTGATAAGCTATGATTCATTGAAGTTGGTTCACTCAACATGTCTTTGAAATTTACGGTACTTGAAGCTTACAATGACCATATAACAGCACCGTCCTTGATAAAAGTAAATGATTTCTCAATTCTTTTCTCTAAATCTTCTGAGTATTTTCCTGAACTTAGCTAGGTTATGAGATTTTCAGAATTATTAGATCCCCATGGACAGTCAAGAAATCGTCACGGTCTTTCCACCGGATGTGGTGATTTAGGCAGGCAACTGAATGCCGTACGGTATATCGAGGATTCTAGGTAAGAAAGTACAAGATATGTGTATAAAACGCAGAGTGATAGTCACCTGACATTTTTGCCCTATCTCTCTCTTTGACGTCAAACAAAGAAGTAAATCCAAATGTGGCCTGGCCTATTTCAGCTTGAGTGAAGTTCGCTGACAGATTAAGAGTGTAGGTTCCGATAAGACCTAATCAGCACTGTAGTATGTGTTGGAATATCCAACTTCACGCCATACTGATGATCACGAGCAACAGGCACAAGACTCGAGTTCAGTGTCTCTAGTTATATTGATTGAAGCATCAATATGTGAATTGAAGATGCGGCAGATGCGGGTGGATAATTGTGACCAGACCAGGTGGAAGGAGTCAGCTGTGGTTGTTTTGTTTTTGTTTCTCAACTTTGTGAAGCCACTCAGGCTGTTGTGACAATTACCATGACCATGAAAATTTTTAGTGGAGAGATTTGCGGCTGTATGTATGGTTGTGACCCGGCAAGGATTGTGGAATTGTCGTCAATCAATAACTTCCAAAAGAAAAATCCAGGTTGCGGATCTTGGTTATCGCAGTTGGTGCAGATATGTCTGCAGTTGCCAGCTTCTGGGGGAATGTTTGAGCATAGAGAGTTGAAAGTGTGGAAAGTGAAGTGGGAGGTGGGAAAAATGAGAAGATGGGGGAAATTCTGGGGGATGAGTCAAGATCGTTCATGACAGCTGGCGAAAAGCTGCCGACCGGGTCTCTTTGCGAGGTCACGCCTGGTTGTTGGTCTGCCTCGAAGCAACTTATAGTGAGTAGCATTTAAACTACCGGCCGGAGTGCTTCCACTGCAAGCCTGTCGACCAGAACCGTTTCTGGCTGCTGAATTGTTTTGAGATGAGGTGAGGGAATGGGGGATAGGAAGGGGAGATATGAGGGTTCCTAGAAACGAGTCAGTAAGTTAATCTTTATACAATGAAGGAATAAATACCATAAGAAATGGTTATAGGGAAACATGTCATGGAAGGTCCATGGAGGCAGGTTCATAAGAAGTAGGTCTTGGAGGATGTGATAAAGACGAAGGAAGGAGGGATGTGTAGGAGAAAGAAAAAAAGAAGAGACAGGAATGGGCAAAGGGGGGTATTTATACCCTGTAGCTTAAGGACCTAGAGAAACTCGGGTTGGTGACGATATTTGACTAAAAGGGAAGGACCCCCAGGGCTGGGTCGTGCCTTCCTTCCATCTTCGCGAATCACCTGACACCAGCTCTTTGGAACGCAGGGAATAAAACCCATGGGATTATCTGGAGATACACAGCTATATAATAACTAAAGATGAAGCTATTCCTGGATTGCACATAGATCTATGTACCAATATAGACATATAGACAGGGACAGGCTTTGATTTGTATCGTATATAGTTGAGCCCTAGTCTAGATCTGACCGATTTATTCACACAGACATACCAAGGACACCATCATAAGAGCAGCTTAGCTCAACGCCGCTCTCCGGATTGTCCACACACGACCACTGCGTACCGGATCTCAGTAAGACATGACCGTTCTCAGCAATCGGGCCTGAGACCCTCTCAAGTCCCAGTGTAAACAGATTGAAGTCAACGGCACCATCGGGGAAGTGTATGTAATATTGACTGTTGTTGCATCGGGCATTTTCCTTTGGCGAAGATCCGTATGACCTGGCATCAAACGGTATCAGTTAGCGTCTGCCATTGTCAATAGATCTTGATGACAAATTAGACTCACCAAATCAGGTTGCAGTCGGTTGGGGTGTCGTCGGGGTAGTTTGGATCAGTCAGGCTGAAATGCATTGTAGCAGAGGAGCCGGCGCTTGCTCTGGCCCAGAAGTCACTGATCTGGATAGAGCTGTCTCGCTCGATGATGGGGAAGGCGATGGCGCCGGCAACCAGAAGAGGGGAGACAACAGTAATCTTCATAATGAATTGATAGAAAGATGTCTGATATACTATGAGATATGAATATTAAATGAAAGAGATACTGTGGGAGAACGAATTATTTATATATCTCTAGATGGCCTGAAGTATACAAATCTGACCGAAACACTGCAGCATAAATGAAACTAAACCAAACCTATGCAAGTCTATGAAAGTCGCTGGTTGGTCGAATTGTAGACCGCCACCACCAATACTCGTGGGTAAGCAAGACAAATGTAACATGATGCAGCATTAATACGAGCAGGTAGGGCCAATTAGCTGTAGCTTACATGCAGTGTTATCCATATATAAGTAAGAAACAATACACATCAAACTGGTGTACATATCACATAGTATGTACATTGTATGTAGATAGTCGTACTAGTTTCGGGGTGAACTGTACAAAGTAATAATCATAAGTTTCCAAGGTACCCTCAATGCAATAATTTCCGTAGTTGTAGGCCGACATATTTTTCGCAGGGTCACTGGACGATTCTGTCTCAAGTAAGAAAGTCTCAAGAAACTTCTACCAAAAATGGAACCTAGATCGAAAAAGCAAATACATTCAACTGTTTACAGTGTCTTATGCCCATGCCTCGCTTTAAGGCCTCCCAATATCTTGGCGACGATCATTGCTGTCTACAGATTTTGTCTTAAACCCGGGGGATTCATGTCAGACAATAAAGACATGGCGAATGATAGTGCTTTGTTGACCGAAAATCTCTTCATATTAGTGATTAAGCACGGTAACCAGAAAACGTGCCTTTATCAAAGGCCATATTGAATCCGTAAGGGTCTATAAACTTCCCTGGGACACATCAGAACACCCGTGATTCAAGCAAAGCCAATAAAAGCCATTCTTATAGCAGAAGTTTCATCGCGAATGAACCTGGATGAGTATATCCATCTAATATTTCCTGCACAAAGTGAAAAGTGCCCTCTCCTGGACGATCCACTTACGCCAAGTCCAAATACCAAACAACCCTGCAGATCTCTCCTACTTAGAGTCTGTCTTGGCTTCATTTAACCGAAGCTGCGGTCGATCGGAGAATTAATTGGCAGTGGGAGGAAATTCTATATTGTAGTGAACGTGTAAATTCCGATCTACTGGACAGGCGGCAGCACAATTTCTAGCGGTTTATATGAGATATGTGAATATCTTAGAATTCCTATTGATGAAAGCACGTTCTCCAAGACCAAGGCCAATACCAAGACTTTGATTACCTCGGAAATTCGCGCGATTGCCGATGCAATGAGGTCAACGGTTACCTCGCCGATCTGGAATCCCTTCACTCACAATCCTTGCCACATTCCGGTATGCCATGACAGAAATACTGCCTTCGCATGGACATGACTTTGAAAGCGTAGCTTCCCACCTCAAGCAGGGTACCTCATGGAAGTTGAGACTGGCGTCCGATATTGCCGTCCTTCCAAGGTTAGCTGAACCACTCTCGGACTACGGGAGGCGCATGGGACGAAACCTTACTGTGACGCTAAAGAACCCAAATTCCTAGCTGATTGGACGATGAGGATGCGGATTTTTATCAGATGATCTGATAGGAGGTGATTGATTGGAATTTTTGGACATTGCTTGGCCAGCTAAACCGGAAATTTCCACGATATAATATGCTCAACTGTCTTCCTCCGGTGGTGCCGACCCTTTGCATACAACTTTTCATCCGCCAGCGAATTGTGAGGACCCCTCGATTGTCTATTCTGTTACAATGGAAAAGACAATCATTTCCGATCAGGTCACACCGGCCAGTACTAGCCATGATGCTGAGAGAATAGCGGAACTCAGAGTCCACCAGAACATGGATGATTTACCTGACGACAAGGCAAGTCTTTCTGGTCGAGACTCGAACGAGTTCCAGGGTGGCGTGCAACGAGTAAGAGCGATTACATCGGCATGGTCGACCAAGACGCTCATTCTCATGTTCATTCTGTAAGTCTGGATCTCAATAAACAGAAAGTAAACTAATATCCCGCCGAAACACAGGCTCTACCTTGTGTCCTTCGTAGATGCACTACTAAGCTCAGTCGAAACCGCACTGAACCCCTACATAACATCCTCATTCCACAAACATGGCCTCTTGACAGTCGTCAGCGTCGTTTCAACCATCCTGGGCGGTTCATCCAAGTTAACACTAGCCAAGATCATCGACATATGGGGCCGCGTGGAGGGATTCCTAATTATGCTAGTTCTCGTTACGATCGGTCTAATCATGAAGGCTACGTGCAAGAGTATGGAAATGTACACCGCAGCACACACTCTATACTGGGTAGGCCACATAGGCCTGACCTACGTTGTGGAAATCATGCTGGCGGACATGACCTCACTCAAGAACCGGATGGTCATGATCGGCCTGAACGGTACACCCGGTATCGCTAGTACCTTTGCAGGCCCGGAGATTGCCACACTCTTCTACACCAACCTCGACTTCCATTGGGCATTTGGTTCGTTTGCTATCATGCAGGTTGGGGTTTGTATACCTGTCGCTGCGGTGATGCTGTTTATGCAACGTCGGGCTGAAAAGAGCGGTACTCTTGAGAAGACTCGTTCTGGACGTTCCTGGTGGCAGTCAATCGCGCATTATCTCATCGAGTTTGATGGTACGTATTTCCATATATGCAGGTCTTTTTGAATTTGACATGTGACTAAAGAGCTGTTTTACCCAGTTGTCGGGATCATCTTGATCACAGCCGCATTCTCTTTAATCCTGATCCCGTTCAGCATCGCCTCCTACGGCCCTAAGGGGTGGGCGAGCGGATACATCATCGCGATGGAGGTCCTCGGTGTAGCGTGCGTGCCCGCATTCTACATCTGGGAACGATACTGTTCACCGGTGCAATTCCTCCCGTGGAAGTATCTGAAAGAACCAACAATGATTGGTTCGTGCATGCTGTACGGCGTGATGTTCGTCTCCTGCTTGTGAGTGCCAGTCTCTTCCAACGCTTAGAATCAAAGGCACAGCCTAACGCTTGCAAAACAGTACCTGGAACAGCTACTTCGGCTCATACCTACAAGTCGTCAACAGACTCGACATCACAACAGCCAACTACGTGCTCAACGCTTTCTCTCTGACCTCTTTCATCTTCAGCCCCATCTTCGGCCTGTAAGCACACCTCACCACCCCACACATACCTCTGTACAAAGTCTAACAAACTTTCTTCGCTTCTCAGAATAATAAGCTGGACCGGCGACTTCAAATGGACCGCCATGGCTGGCGTACCAATCTTCTGCCTAGGAACAGCTCTGCTAGTCCCGTTCCGCGCGCCAGACACACACGTGGGGCTACTAACAATGATCCAAATCCTCGTGGGACTCGGCAGCTGTCTGTTCACTGTGTGCGGACAGATAGCGATAATGGCGATGGTAACGCACCAAGAGATCGCAGTTGTAATGGCGATCTGGGGATTATTTGGGTCGATTGGAGCGGCGGTGGGATCTGCCATCGCAGGCGGGATGTGGAATAATATCCTCGAGAAAGAGTTGTATAACCGGCTGCCGCAGGAGAGCAAGCACCTTTCGAAGAGTATCTTTGCCAGTTTGGTGACGCAGATTTCGTACGCGGATGGGACGAAGGAGCGCGATGCTATTGTTGGGGCTTATGCTGATGTTCAGAGGAAGATGGCGATTGTTGGGGTTTGTTTTGTGCCGCTTTGTATTCTTTGTACTTGGTTTTGGAGGAATGTCAATGTTAAGAAGTTGGAAAAGGAGCAGACGGCTGGGAATGTGTGGTAGGGAAGGGTTCTTGGGAATTGGAAATGGACAGAGCTTGGATGGTTTGAATAGAGATAGAATAGCAAGGTACGTGGAGTATGTACGCAGGAGTAGAAAATATCGACGTTATGACTTGAGCGTTGACTTGTGATATTCTGGATAAAATATTTTATTTGTAGTGTGGCTTCAACCACTACACTTGTGCAGATGCGCTGGACTTCGGAGTATCCTATAGCGCGGGTGTATGTACATAGTTTGATGGCATTCAGCCTCTCGCAAGGCGGGGCGAATGAGAGTATTCTTCCTGTTCGATGGTGAGAGTATGAGCCGCCGAGATGAATCTCACGGGTGATTTGATACTAAACATTGGACTTGGGTTGTGATGGTGGCTATTATGTGGCCAAAATATATACCCGTGGCCCATTTAGATTAAGACGGCAAATTTGCCTAGAAGCACGGTGGCATCTATAGACAGCCCAGGAGGCTAGGGGATGGCCAAGACAATGGATGCCCTTTCAAGATGGGGTAGACCAAAGTAACATGGTCTCTAAAAGCTAGCGAGCGAAATCATGCCGATATCTCTCAGCCGGCCATAGACTCCTCGGGGACCTCCTGGAACGTCTCTGGGAAGAACCCAGGTGGCGGCCAGATATCCGCTATAGAAGGTGGGTGCACCAGTGGTTGTGATCCGCCCAAGCGATCTGGGTCATGACAGAAAGCCTGGAACGTGCTCTCGTCCAAGAAGCCGAAATCCTTCAGACCAGCCTCGCGGTTCGTGGACCATTCAGTGGTATCCAGGTACGCGAGGTCTTTGAAGATAGCATCGATGTCGCCGACGGAAGTGACGTTTCCAGGCATCATTGGGTTTGAGCTTGTCGAGTCGGGAGTTTGTGGTTGTGGTTGTTGCTGATGTTGCGCGCTACCTGTGCCATACACGGAATCTGCCCTGCTGCGTGGTGTGATCTTGTCCGGTAGGACTGACTGTACTTCCCTTGGGTGGTGTAGTGAAACATCCATCATGCCTAGATCCGTGTTTTCCATTACTGTGTCTTTTGGGGTCAAGGATTGCCCGTCGACTGGCATACTGATGCCAAGAATAGAAGAGTTGTAATCTCCTTCGCCGTTTTGGGGTAGGCTGCGAGCTCTACCTAGGGATTGGATGGAGCCTGCCATGGGTGCACCCGAAAATGGAAGGCCGACTGCCCCTGGGAAATTGGATGGTCCGCCAATAGCATCCTTTGGGTGCTGCCACCTCTCCATGGCGGAAACCAAAGATCCATATGCTGGCCATGTGGAGGTTAAAGCTGCCGTTTTGTGTCGGAACTCGTCTGCCCACCTGGCAAAGGGGAAAGTGTCCGATGAGTCGGCAGTAGTCCGAAGTCTTAACGTTTGCTCGGCAATTGTGCGAAGACTTAGCTCAAACAGCGGTGGACAACCGCAAATAGAGAAGTTCTCCAAGTGTTGGGTGAGCATAGAGAGCCCTCGGTAGAGGAGCTTCTTGGCCCCCTCTGTGGCTGGACGCTGTGAACGGTGCAACCCTTGCTCACCCGGAATCAATTGCAGATAGAGCCAAAGCAGGGTGGCAACATAGGTTAGCCCTAGGTAACTCTGATGGGGAAGCAGGGCTGAATGCCGTTCTGGATATATGCTTTCTGGTCCAATCAGACGGCATCCCAGAGGTAGGCAGTCATCCCACTGCTTAAGCTCCATGACCAACTGATGCGCAAAGGTGGCCATATTGTATCCCGAAGACATATGGCGAGAGATCTTATTGAGAACGCTCGCCAACTCAACCAAGCGGTTAAAGCAGCTCAAGGCCAAGAGTGGTCCCCGGCGCGGCGGGTTCTTGCTCCCCTGTGGAGCACCCGTGGGTGGTAAAACGTCCACCCAGGAGTTCCACTCCTCCAATCCATCCTCTTCCAAAAGGCCCACCGCAGTAAGGTCGCTTGGAGGCATGGCTGGGCTCCGTGAAAGGCGGAAAGAGAGCAATGAATCAACCACAAAGCATCCTAAGAAGACCGCCTTACCTTGTCTAAGCTCATCAGACCGCCGGCTGTCGGACACATATCCAACACCCATGGCAACCGCCATGCGCACGGCTTGTCCGCTCAACAGCCAAGCCGCGGTCCAATCCTCGAGACCCATGTTAACCAAGGTCAGCAGCAGCAATGCCTGGATATGGCCGGGTTCATAACGCTCTTTCTCCATGGGGATGAGATTCCGCGAGACGGCATAGTATTCCTTCGCCAGGGCAACTGTTCCAGCGGGGCCGGCCCGTGAATTTGTTCGCGATTGGGTGATAGTGTAACTCATGATAGCCCACAGGGCGGCATGATCGCCAGACCCAGGTGAAGCTGTGGCAATAGAGAAAGGGGCATTGGCATAAAGGTAGGAAGCGCGAAGAATATTATGCTTGGTCACCACGGGAAACCATGAATGCGTGACCGCAAAGTAAATATCGAGCAGCTGCGACGTCTGAGGCGGCAACTGCAGCGTATGGGGACTGGGTCCAGCGACACCCCGACCATTCGAATCTTCGGATAGTCGAGCCCGCTTGACACCCGGCGATACGGCAAAGGGCTCAACTACACGCGGGGCACCCGGACCGAGCGGGGTGGAAGTGCGAGCTACTCGATACCCCCATTGACCGTCGGCGCCATCATCTTGCGGATTACGCGATCTCTTCCCAGTCGTCGGTCCCGGCGTATCAGAATTAGAGAGCATTTTCTCCAGGGCGCCGAACAGCCGGCTCGTTTTCCAAGATTCGTGTAGACTTTCCGAAGCACTATCATCCGACCACACGGACATCAATTTCTCGCGACGACCGGCGGACTCGGCAGTGTTTCCTAGCATGGCCAGCATGGTATCCTCGAATCCCTCAATGTTACAGATCGACAGCGCCCACAGCTTTTCCAAGCCACGGACGTAACCCTCGGGGAGACCGCGTTTCTTCGCATGGGGGTCGTAGGAGCAGGACTGGCCCGATACCTGACAGGCGGAACAAGTGGGACGAATGCCGTCACATTTATCCTAGGGTCGCCGGGATGTTAGACTGAGCAAATGAGATATCCGAGAAAAGGACATGGCGGGACGCGACTCACTTTCTTACTGCGACAGCGATCGCAAGCTCGGGAGACCCTCTTGCGCCGAGGGGCCTTATCTGATCCCTCATCCATGAAGAGGGGTTATTAGCGCAGAGGACACGCCATGTAGAGTGGAATAAAGGGAACAGCGAGCTCTAGGTCAATTCCGAGTTCACTGAATCGCAGAATAAATTTGCAAGTAATGCCAAGGTCGGACCGTATAAGAAGCAGGCCGAGACTCGGAACGGGGTCGAAGATGAGTGCAACTGCGAATATAAAGTGGAGGAGCAGACTCTAATCAAACCACCATGTAACTATGGAGTAGTTAGCCTCCACGACAAAGGACACAGATAGGCAGGCCGAGGGAGGACTCTCGGACGTGAAGTTCGGGGTGTGAAGGTACTCGGAATTATCGGGGGATCTCCAACGACCCCACAAATTTCCCACATACTCCGAACATTGACTTGCTACATCGTATATAGCCGATTTATAGATTGAGAGAGCATACCTGTAAGTAGACATGACTACACCATTTACACTGATCAGACAAGGCACCAAGGCACCAAGGTATCAAGGCATCAAGGCAGGCATTCCGGATGTACACCCGACCAAAGCCGACGACGCTTAACCCGATTAGGACTTTATATGCGGCGTAAAGAGGCTGTAGAGTGAGCATTAGTTTCTCAAAGATCAACCTGGAGACTGGGCTCAACACTAACCCTATATCGGCATCGATATGCACTGTGACTTGTGTAAGAGATCCTACGGGATCGACATTAGCGCGGTTATGTTGATGCAGTTTGATATTTCATCGTCAATTTCTGCCTACAACTTGCAGTATATCGTATTGTATGAACGGATTTCGATATAGGCTGCATTTAGTCGCTTCAAGCTGGCTGAATTAGAAGATTTCGTTGGTTCTTTTACAGATGGAAGAGAAAACATAGCCTCCTTTCCAGCTATAAGTTTACAATTTATTCTCTGGCACGATTCTATGGTTCCAATTAGTTTTCGAAAGGAAAAATGTAAGTTCTTTCTATCCTATGTGACTGAACTTCTTTGCCACTACAGACTCGGGAGGAGGGCGAGCTCGTATAAAGTAGTATAAAGCTCGCTCTTATAGACTTGGGAATCTATAAACCGTACGGAGCATGCATAAAAAGATTATCGTGCCACGAACTAGGCTGTCCCAACCCCAGGCCAAGGTTTTATTCTCAAGAACTACGGATTCTCGCACCATAGCATTGGGTATGGCCGACACATACCAACCGCCCGGCATGCAAGCTTGCTTTTTCTACGTGTCTCCTTGCTATCATGCATTATAAACCATGTTGCCTATGGAGCAGAATACTACAAAATTCAACCATTCTACCCCAAAGAAGAAAAGCCAGCGCTTCCAAGTATGATTTATTGGACCAGGGAGATGAACTATGAACAAATATGGGCATAATTCCCAATTTCCACAATTACAATCCTAGTACGGAGTACTATGTATGTGTGCCTTTACGGGTCGGTCCGTTTCGTATACGTCGTGTACTTCTGTCAGTGCGATTTGAGATAGGCGGCTACATGAGGGGGAAGTCTTACTCTCAGTCTTACTCCGTTGATCTATACTCCCTACGTCCATCAACATCACGAGCGCCGGACGGAGCACGATGTCGCAAAATAAGCAAAAAGTATGCCAAATTCCCAGAATCACCACAGGAAGTTACTTTGGGACAAAATGATGCCAAAGTGTCCGCACCGAACTAATTTAGATATGCATCATGTAAGAAATCAATCTTTTAGTGATATGTAAATTCTTTTGATTATAGGGACTGCAGGCCGAAGGTACTGGCTCCCGTCTCTGCGAAAGTACGCCGCCACTACTCCGTGCATGGGGGTGCTTTATTTGCAAGGATCTCAATACACTTCATTGGCGCGATGTATACGCTTTCCGAAAGTAGTCTTCTTGATATGTACACTGATGGTTTCGTCTTGCTCTCTCAACTGGGGACTGTGTGTATCGCCGCCCCTGGCACCTGCTATACCATGAACACAGAGGTAATCATGCGCTGGCACATTGCGCATGGTGGCTTGGCTGGCTCTCTTCGACCCGTCGCTATTTGAATTGATTAGTTGGTCGTGGCAGGAATCGTGGCATTATCACCTGGAATCAATTCAGAAGCCGGCTGACTTGAAGCAATGGACGAACTCTATCTATCGGTACAGTCGACAACTTTAATATATAGCAATTGAGTAAAGACATAGTCCATGATCAGTCTCAGTCTATTTCTTATCCTTCCTCGCTAAACTGCCTCTGGGCCGGGCTCTGGCATATCCCATAATGAGCAATAAGCGTCAGGTCTTCGTTTCGCTTCATCATCGCGACTCTCCTTCTCTCGGCGGGAATAGGCAACGACTTGGCTATGCAGCCTACCATTGGGGGATTCTCATTTCTCCCAAAAATTCCAAAGGACTAGACTGCTATGCTTTCGACGTTAGCGATGGACTTATCCTCGATCCTGTAAATAGGCTTAATTGCAATGAGGGATACAATTGGCACTTTCGAGAGAAAGTAAACGTTGATCCAACCCAGGGTGGCCACCTTATTGGAATGGTTATGGTTGGAAAGGTGCCTCATGAGGCTATCGATGCGCAAATCTACGGTCTTCTTAAAGCAATTCCACTTCCCCAAAAGGGTTCACGGCCGGAGCAAAACTGCGTTACTTGGACGAAAGCCGTAATTTACACGCTCCGAGAGAATGGTTTTGTGGAGATATTCGATATCGATCGGTTTATGGACAAGACGCTCGCATTCGCGGATCAACGCATACACCGCACAAAATCTACACCCAATAGAATCAACTACACCAGTCGGAGTATGTGACTCGTGAAACGCCTCATATGGAGGGAAAGCTATGACACTTACTATGGAAGGGTGGACGGACTAAGAAAGAAGAGGAGAGAAGAAGAGTGAGGAGGGGAAACGGGAGGAGAGGGAGAGGAAGGGAACGAATCATGTTATATGAGTGAAAGCCTTAGGCGTTCGAATAAGATCTCATTGCGAGACCGATGCTGTCACGCAAGCCCTGAATCAGATGCTCTCTCCCTCGCCAGAACATTTGTGGATCATCCAATAGCCTCCAAAGAACTCGTTCCGCTTCAAGCTTGTCGTCATATCTCTTCTCTAAAGCATTTGCCAATCCACTATACCATTCTGGCTGAGCTATCGCGCCGTAGTTTGCCTTGGTATACTCCCAATATTCCGGGTACCAGCCGCCAAATTGCCAATCAACGATCGCAGAGACCTTGCCATTATGCACCATAATATTCCGAGGAGCGAGGTCTGCATGGGTAAAGCAACTTCGATAGCGACGGGAGTGGCATTCTGCGATCTCTGGGCCTAATTCATCCAGAGGGATATCCGCTCGAATGTATGAGTGGAATGCTTCGTGGCTCACAAATGGTCCGAAACCCCAACTTCCGACTCGGTGATCAACGTTCTCACCGAAATTTGTGGATGCAACTATTCCTTCTCGCGGAGGTTCCAGTTTCCGAAGCTGGCTAACATATCCCGCAACCTGGTTGGTAATGTACTTCTTCTGATCTTGCGATAGTTCGGCGCGGTTCCATGCTATATCGAGACTCGTTCCACGGATAAACTCCATTTCAATATAGAACCAATAATCGTAGTAGTGGGTGTTGAATACTTTAGGGACAGGAATTGATGTGTGCTGAGCGACGTATTTCATGGCTTCTAGCTCCGATATAGGACAAGGCCCTTTAATCATTCTGCCAGGGCTGACTCGGACTCCACGTGGTCCAAGTTTATCTGCTCCAAAGGTTTTCTTGCCAATCCATAGTCGAAGTGGAAGAAGATAAGAGGTTGGGTGCTTTTTCTTATTCGCCATGGCTGGCTTGGCTCGGTAGATGGTTTCCCTTGTATTATTGATAGGGTGAAAAGAAAGAAATGTGAATCGAAGAGTCGGTTGAATCCACGTTTCACTGTAGTGCTTGGGCTTATAACTAGTAATTTGGCCCAAGCTATTGTAGCTCTTCATTCTATATACAATGTTAGAATGGTTCCAACTAGTCAATCAGGCACACTATCTCATTATTACCCAAAACAGTGGAGGAGTACGCTATCCAGGATATAGAATCAATCGTCTATGTCCTTGCAAATACGGGGGGCGATGCGGTCTGATTTGAGAATAAGGTGTGGTTCAGGGGTACAGGTAGGAAGGAGGCGAGCAGACTGTTTACAGGTGACAAAGGGTGGGTCACATGACTATCAACACGAGCATCGAGTTGGGATATCGAAGGCGATGTGAAGGTCCATGGAGTTCTAAACATTTATTTCGTGTGATTTCGTGTGATTTGGAGACTTCGATATTGGCTATAGCACTAGTATAAACATTTCCCCACAAACCCACATCTAAAAGTAAAGGGATCCATAAAGACTTGTAGTAACTCATGGTGAGCTCTTCGGACCAGCTTCCAGTAGATGATCCCGCGAGAGACATAGATTTGACATGAGATGATGTGCAGTCAACTCCACTTTGAGATTTGTATCTTGCATCTCTCCAGACCGAGATCTGGTGGAAAAGCCTTTTGCCGGAACCAAATTGGCCGGCAACTTCCTAAATTCCTCATTCCGGGGAACATCTACCAACTTGGAACATCACTTGGCATATTGTTCGACTAACATACTTAGATCAAGACTATTCCAGACTGTATTGTCCTGTCTGTTGTCCACATGAGCATCCCTTCTCATCCCTTCTCAACATCTCCCGCATTCGATCTCCGAATGCGATTCTATGCCTTCTGATCATGGCGCTCGTTCACTCGACATAGACCCTAATTGATCTATCGCCTCTCACCATGCTCGATTCTAAACCCTCAATTTCCCCCACGGTCGACGCCAAGTCCGACATCCCCGCATGTGCCACCAAGGAATCCTCCTCTCCAACCATGCTCCGCCCCGAGTCCGCCCCTCGAACATTTGCTCCCAATGCATCCCTCATCCTGATCGGCATCCGCGGATGCGGCAAGCGCTCGCTAGGCTTTGTCGCCGCGACCGCGCTGAAGCGACGCTTCATTACCGAAGACCACTACTTCCGAGAGGTTACAGGCGTCACGCGACAGGAATACCTCAAGCGGTACGGCAGCCAGGAGTTCCAGCGACGTGACATCGAAGTCCTGAAAATGATGCTGGATAACCACCGCACGGGCTGCGTCGTGGAGTGTGGGCTTGCCAGTCTGACGCGACCTGTGCAGGATCATCTGCGTCGCTATGCCCGGTCCAACCCAGTGGTGCATCTGCTGCGCGATATCGATCGCATTCAGCAGTTGCTCGGTTTAGAGGACCAGGCGGTACGGTTGTTTCGGGAGGGGGACCCGATGCATCGGATGTGTTCGAATTTCGAATTCTATAATCTTGAAGATCGAACGCCTGCGTCGGAGGATGGGAGCCCCGATCGCCGGTCTGCGGATTATTCATTCAAACTGCAAGAAGTAAAAGAGGACTTTACGCGGTTTGTGCAGTTTATTACTGGACTCGATGTGAACTATTCAAGCTACGATTCGCCGTTCGTTCTGCTGGAGACGCCCCCAGAACTGCGCTCTTTTACCCATGCTATCTTCGTGCGATCTTCCGATCTGATCGCCGACAATGTCAACCTGACTGAACTTGAATCTGGTGGAGATGCCATTGAGCTTTGTGTCGATCGATGGGCCCCAGACATGGCAGCCACTATCAGCAAACAGGTCTCTGTCCTGCGTCGAAATGCGCGGACGCCTGTGATTCTCTCCGTTGACACCTCATCCATCGGCGTCCGCTCCCCGGAGCCAGCCACCTCTTCTTCTCGATCTTACTTTGATATTCTCGCGCACGGTCTGCGCCTGGGTGTGGAATATCTTGTTGTAGACCTAACTCAAGACCAATCCCGGCTGGCTGGGACTATCATAGGTCGGGGGAATACCAAGATCATCGGCCAGCAGGTCTTTGAACCATCTTCCCCCACTACATGGGACAGTGCGGACTGCGTCGCCATCTACAACGAAGCTGAAAAGCTCGGCTGCCAGCTCGTCCGCCTCCTCCGAGTTGCAACAAATCGCGAGGACAATGCCGCTGTGACTGAGTTTACTAATAAAATCCGATCGCTCCCGGGAGATCACCCACCGCTCATTGCCTATAACGTTGGTGCCCTAGGGCGCACCTCACAAGTGTTCAACTCAATCCTCACTGCAGTAACACACCCAGCGATCACCCAGTCTGCAGATTATAAGCACGACCCGCAAATAACCTCTCGCGACGCAGTCCGCGCTCTATTCCAAAGTTACGTGCTCGACCCGCTCAAGTTCTACATCTACGGGGAGAATGTCGCCTACAGTTTATCCCCGGCAATGCACAATGCGGCACACCAACACTGCGGCATGGGCCACACCTACAGCATCCCAGAGTCACCCTCTCTCGCGGTATTAGACCGACTGGGCCGTGATCCACACTTTGGGGGATCCAGCGTCGTGCAGCCATGGCGCGTACAGGTATATCAAAAGCTCGCCTCGAAAAGCCGACACGCCGAAGCCATCGGGGCAATCAACACGATCATGCCGCTCCGCGGACACGCAGACGGAACAATGTTCCCACTTCAGGAACAAGCCAGCCGACGCAACCAAGCCGGGCGCGTGCTGGGATGGTACGGTGAAAACACTGACTGGGTCGGGATAATGACGTGCATACGGCGACATCTCTCCCCGCGCAACGCGATTAGCGCAAAAACAACAGGCCTAGTGATTGGCGCGGGTGGCATGGCGCGGGCCGCCATCTATGCCATGCTCCGACTTGGGTGTCGGAAGATCTTCATATACAACCGCACGCAATCGCGTGCCGAGGAAGTCGCGCGTCATTTCAACTCCTGGGCGTCGTCGCAAGTCGACTCGGCTGAGGTAGTTTGTGTCTTGAAGTCGCTTCAGGAAGACTGGCCCGCGGGCACTGCTCAGCCTAGTCTCGTTGCGTCTTGTGTGCCGGCTGATCCAGACCGAGATGAACCACCGGCAAACTTTGAGATGCCAATGCAGTGGCTTGGGAGTCCTACGGGGGGTGTGATTCTCGAGGTGAGCTTTTTTCCCCCGGGATATTTTGACTTCTTGTCACACGTACTAATTGCATATAGTTGGCATATAAACCCCTCGATACGCCACTTCTACGACAAATGCGCCGAGTCCGGAGCGAGACCGGACGGCCTTGGGTCTTGTCTGACGGATTAGAGAATGTTACCGAACAGGGAATTGCTCAGTTTGAGTTGATGACCGGTCGCAAGGCACCTCGGCGGCTTATGACCTATGAGGTTCTACATAATTATGTGGGTGATAGTGGGCGTTTTGACGAGAAGACTATTCAGGCTCGTCTAGATGGTGTTGGGTCTCCGGTTACTCAGAAACAGGAATAGAGTGTATTTTTTATGACTGTGATCGTTTCTTCTTGACTTCTTTCGTCAGTTTTGTATATATAAAACAATCTCAAACAGTTTATAGCAGACTCGACTCGATATAATCTCAATCGCGTGCGCTGATAACACTCTCCTATCAGCACACCGCCCGGCCCGAGCCCTCTTTCTTTTGTTTGGGTCTCGTCAGCTTCAAACTCGACTCCCCCTGAGGTTTCTTTGTGTTCCTAGCCCTCTACAATATAGTCAAATTGACTTGAATAGGGTATACTACCATCAATGCCAGGGTTTTCGCCCGAGCAGACCGACTCGATAACGGCAACATGGAAGAAACGCAAGCGGGACCATGAGGAGTCAAGGACTCTAGCACGTCCGTAAGTCTTACAATGTATCTCAGTGAGGTGAAAATATAGATTAACATGCTTTTCAGAACAACATATGCCCCATCCTACCGAGTTGATTGGCCCGAATACGACGGTAGCTGCTCACTGCCTCTATCACGACACCCAGAAGGAACAGACATATCCTTCCGACCACGCTGTCTCCCCCGCAAGCGCCGACATATCCAAGGTCCTTATATAGCACTACCGTCTCACCAGTTCCAGCCTCAACACCAACTCCAACACCCACATCAACTCCAACACCAGCAATCCCCGACCCACCTCTCCCCAAATGTCTACAGCACCCCAAACCAAGACCCATACTCACCCCCGGTCTCCCCCAAAACCCTCGTCCCCTTACACTACCCAACTCAACAATCCGCCTCTCCCTCCGCCCTGCGCCCCTGCCACATCTGCCACCGCCGCCCAACAACCCGTCAAGTCCTCGACGCCTATGCAGACTGTGATCTCTGCCACGAGCGCGCATGCTTCATCTGTCTCCGGCAATGCGACAGCACATCCTGCGGCGGAACATTCGGTCTAGCAGAAGATCCAGGAATACACATGCACATGCGCACAAGCTCAACCGACGACGTCAGCTACGGTGCCAGTGAGGCGCCGAGGAGGAAAATATGCTCCGGCTGTGCAGTGGAGGAAGTCACCGAGAATGGGGCGGAGATTGTACGCTGTCTTGACTGCGTGCGTGGTGCGGGCTCGTGGGCTCCGGTGGCTATTCCGTCTGATTGGGATTTGGATGACATGCGGCATGAGGATATGACTGGATGAGGGTTATATATGGAGTTGATTTACTTGCCTTCTACCGGGGGTATTGAAAGCGGATATGACAGAATGACAGATGAAACTATGGCTTAACATTCTTTACAACCTCAGGGTTGTTGCTGCTCCTTGGGGGTGGCTTTTTTTCTTCGGAGTTTGATCCTGGGACTGGACTGGCTGGGATTGAGGCGGGTTTGTTTTTGGCATTTATATTGGACAAACAGCATGGCAAATTAATGATTTTTATTGCTCTATATTGTAGCAAATAGCATAATGACATCGGCCTTTATATACCCAACTCTATTTATTGACAGACTATACATACTACTCTTGGTTTACATCGAAAGGTAGAAACCAAGCCAAACCTAAGTAAAAAGCCAACGCTTATATTCCTGTCCAGGTAGGAGGTAACTGAGCGGGCAATGCCTCAGTCATGGCTTGTAGGCATATTTCCTGCCATTAGTAGTAAGGCAAGTAGGTACTTACGATTTGTATGTAAACCACTAATAAAATCAAGTCTTTTTTGTCATAGCATTATTAACTGCTTTATCGTCAACTACTTTAGCAACTACTAGCCGGACAATTCGGGGGAAAAATAGGGTTTCGGCACATCAGCCTTGTGGGGTGCCCTAGTCCAGGTCCAGGCGTGAACTTTCGTCTTTCTCTCTTCTCACTGCATGATTGTCTGTTCTACGATTCTACAGATCGGCGACTATCTGGTATTTGCATGTTTGTAACTTGCTCCTTCTTTCTCTCATTCCTCATATTATTTTGAATAGAATACACTCTGCTTCCTTTGCAAGATCTGGCACATCACAACACTTTCCTCTCATCTTACATCTCATAGCACTATCACTTGGCTGGTCACAGCATTACCCTCTCTACTATGATCTGCGACCACACCAGCACTGCATACTAGCACTATTTAACTAGTGCTACCGCGACCGCCTTTAAAATCAACCGCAGCTATGCTATTGCTACATCCTAATCATCCTCAGCGTCTTCACTACTCCATCCTCGCCCACACTACAACCACATTCTTACCAGGATGAGCTGGAGCACCGTGCGGAGGGTATGGAGGGTGCCGCCAGCGAAAATATCATAAGCTCTTCTTCAAGCTCAAAACCTCAGTGAGGAAGCTCTTGGGCAACCACATCGACCGAGGTAAGCTCAAGAAAGCAACCGACAACCTAGAGGATAAGAGCAAGCAATATACGAGCGTCCGGATCTCAGAAATGAGCGTGAAGAACGTGGAGCAGTGCCTCTATCTTCAATTCGATAGCCATGATCGGGAGATGAAGGACGTGCAGTCGCTTCCGCTCCCTACCTCGGTACGCAATTTAAGACATAGAGTATCGGGGGAATCTAGCTAATTGGATATAGTGACTACACTAGGTCTCATTGAGAAGACTTTTGGTCAATCTAGAACCACCGAAGCTAGTGCCCGGTAGGTTATTGACCCTATCATTCTTAACGCATGCGACAGCCACCGCAGATATCAAAAATGCGCAGCTATTGAATATCCAATATGAGAGGGGCTATACTTTCGGCCCGGTTACCCTTGACCGAAAGAGGGTGGTTCTTTCTGGCAGACCGGACTACGGTGTCTGGTATGGCGAGAGCGAGTACACTGGATCTATTTGGCATTTTTTAAAAATTAGTCACAATTCAAAGGTAAGCTGGTTCATATCAGCCAAGTGAATCACTCTGATATCTACTAGTGGTCAGAATTTGCTGTTATCGTCGTCGGGGCGCTCTCGAGAAGCCGTTCGGTTTGCTAGTGTGGATGCTACGGAAGGCAGCTGCCATCTCCCCAGGAAACCTTGGCGGAAACTTACAGTGGAGTAGGGTCTGAGGAGATGGATAACTATTGATCTTATCCCTAAGTAAGATAGTATTCGAATGAGCGGTGCTAAGGGGAAGGAGGAGTGTTGTACTGATTCATGGCGCAGCATGGCGTTGGCCGACACCTCTTCCCCCTTCTCACTTGAGTCAGCTCTTATTGCGAGGCCATCATTGCTAGTTGCTTAATCTCTACCTTTTAAGCCCTCTCAAGCCTCTCTCATTTCTCCCCACCGTCATGTTTCGTGCACCTTCATACTTTCTTCTCAATAAAGATCCCCGTAGGCCTTGACAAGTGCTGCAGCACCTAGGGAATTTTGGTGCTGAGTTAGGGTACTGCGCCAGCATAATTCTCTCAAGAATTGCTTTAAATGGATAAAATGGGTTTGGCCGCCTGGCACAATTATCTACCAGCACTTTATGAATATGGTAAGGGTATAGCCTGAGTTAAATCTCCAATGTTCATCCACATACAACCCTACTTCTTCCCAATCTCAATATCAATCTCGTCCCTCCATCCTCCAGCTACCTACCAAACCTCATCTGCGCTCCAGCAAAGTGCCAAAGACCACGCATATACCCCTGATACTCAACCGCCTCCCCATCCCCGATAATTCCATGACTGCGCCCACCGGTACAATACATCTCGGTCAACCTCAACTGCCATGGCGGATACCCATCGAGCTTAAGGAACGGACCAAAAACAAGCAACAGATCTGGCTCTGGCTTGAGCAACGTATCTGGCATCGTGGGATCCATGGACAGTGGCTGCGTAGTGATCTCGCTGATCTCCGCGTCGACCAACTCCGGTGTGATATCTTCCGGTGAAAGCTTGCCATTCTGGCTCATGTCCGCTAGGGTCTTAGTTAAGTCGACGAGGGTCTCACGGCCATCGGTTGAGGAGAGGAGGAGGATTGTCAGGGTTTCGGGTTGGGTTGTGGTGTCGATGTTTTTTGAGATGGGTGCGCTGCGGTGTACTGGGTGGTGAGGAGCGTAGAGTTGGAGATTTGGTTGGTGGCTGGGGGTGCCGTAGTAGGATGCGAGTTTGGTGGTGATTATTTGGTGGAGAGCCGGAATGCAGGATTTCAGGACGCCTTGGTAAAGGTTAGTATCACTCTATATATCCTAGAATATAGAGAGGAGATCATTCATACCGGACTTCTCGTATATACTGAGCTGGCAAATTCCCGAACACGAACTCCAGGCCGCCAGTTCAGCAATCTCATCCATCAACACCGCGAGAGCATCATCTTCCTTCCGAAGCGTGAGAATCGCACTTAAATGTTGCGGCAAGCGCTTGAGATTCTTCACATCTTTCCGGATCAGCTCGGGGGTGCGGTGGTGGTGATAGACGATTGCGAAAATGCGGTCGATGACGGCATGGTACGCCTGCAAGAGACGGACGACAATACCGAATATGATATGCGTGATGGCATAGGTGAGGTAGTAGGTTTGCGATTTGAGGAATGTGCGGACAGGCGTTTTGCGTGGTGTTTTGCGGCGTTCGCTAGTCGATTGAGGTGATGGTTTCTGACCAAGCTCCGTGGGGTCGGGGAGATAGCTCTTGAGGAGGGATTCACGTTCTGCTATGCTGAGTTTTGTGCCACGGGCGCGTAGATCGCCGCGCAGGATCTCGCGGTCTCGTTGGGAGACCATTGTCGTGGTGGGTGAAGGAGGGAAGTGGAGATGTGGTTGTACGACGGAATTGTTGAACAGCTGGAGGTTGTGTACTAATGATGAAAAGTTGTTATTGTTATGGCTGTTTTCGAAGTATGTCAAATGATGTAAAGCATTCTTTCTATTTATATTACGATATCGAGTCCAGCTTCGAATATCTCTGCCTAGTGTTCAAGTGCACACTGTATATAGAAATAGAATATGTGCGTGGCAGTAAACCTCCCGGACCAGATCCGTCATCTCCCTCAGCTTTCCCCGGATTCCTTCCTACAATTATTCCCCCAACAGTTTAAGGGAGAGGAGACACCATTGTCCAGCTCTGCAGGCAGCTCATGTCTGTCCACTACCAATCATGATGGACAATGCATCCATCATCACAAACTCCGCCCGCACCATCTTCCCCCAAGGCCCCAGTTTCACCCTCGAAGACTTCTCTAGCCGGGACTTCATTGTCAAGGAGTTCATTGAAGCCCTCTCCGACACTGCTATATCCCACCGTCGCTCGCTAGCCGGTACCGCCGCCGCCGCCGCCAACCAACCCTTCGATCCCAAACCCCTCATCCGCGCCTTCGAAAGCGCCCAACGTCGCCTGAGCGAGCTCTCCGGGGACCTCGAGCTCCGCGAGAATGAACTCTCCGCAGCCGTCCGACGTGCAGAAGCGCAACACAGCCAGAACCTCAACACCCTTGGCCAGAAGCTTCGGCACACCATCGAAAACTTTCAACAGCTCGACACGTCTCTAAATGCTCCCGGCCGCGAGCATCCAGCAGGGACGGGGAACATGGCAGTGGAGACAGGAAAGCGCCTAGAGGAGCTAGACCGACAGCGACGACGAGCTCTGGATGCCCATTTCCTTATCCAATGCTGGGACGGCGTGTGCAATCGGGGCGAGATCTCACTATTGGAGGGCCTGCGACGATCTGGCACGGGAGAGGCAAAGGTGCGCTCCGCAAACATTGCGCGCCAACTGCTGCGCATTAGTCAACGACTAGACCCGCAGAGCTGGCAGGAACACCGGGCTCACTCGAATGGTGGGTACGGGAATAGCTCTTCGTCTGAGGATCTCAGCGAAAGCAGCACGCCGCGGCGGAACACGCGGGAGATTATTGAGAAGTTCTCCGAGACGCTGGAGAAGGACTTGCTAAAGCAGTTTGACGATTTCTACCGCAAGGCTAACTTCGACGGTATGAGGGATTGTGCGACTGTGTTGCAGGATTTCAATGGCGGCGCTAGTGTTATTGCCTTGTTTGTCAACCAGCATCAGTTCTTTATTGAGCGCAGCCAGCTGGTGACGGAGGAAGTCGGTGGCGATCCAGAGTCGTGGGAGAAACTGGCTGATCCGGACGCGGAGCTGCCTGGTGTTGAATCCAGCCTCCAGTCGTTGGTCGATGAAGTCAAGGTTGTAGTCCAGGAGGAGTCTGCTATTATTCGGCGGGCCTTCCCCTACTACGAGCAAGTTCTGGGTAAGTTCTTACAGCGGGTCTTTCAGCAATCCATCCAGCAACGGCTGGAAATGGTACTGGAGAAAGCGGCAGGTGTATCGTCACTAGCATTCCTTCGTTGTCTACAAAGCTCCCGTGGCTATATTAGTGCCTTGATCGAAGATTTGAAATCGCACGGGTTGACCGAGCATCCGGAACCTGTTTCTTCGCAGACAGCTTTGTTGCTGGACCAGCAACTGGAGGAGCTTTTCGTTCCTTATTTCGTTGGATCGTCTTACATCGAACGCGAGAAGCGAACGTTAGAAGAACTTTTCAATGCGGTTTTGTTCAGGTTCACCTGCTACCATGCCCGCCGCAAGAAGGCGGCAACGACTTTCATGGCCTCTTTATCCCGGGCTGGATCAGAACTTCTGTCGACTACACGCGATGCATTTATCAGCCGGTTGGATTCACCAGAGGTCTCACCTATCCAGCGAAAAGTTCTACTCAGCATAGCCAAGATAGGCGATACGCTAGAGACAACTCGATTGACCGAAATCAAGCTCACAGAAGAAGATGGACAACCCAATCTTAGCGATGCTAAGCGGATGCTGAAGTGGCTCGCTGAAGCCGTGGGCCGAGGACTTGAGCTCAGTGTCAACAGCGACACACCCAAAGATGTCTCCGCCTTGCTCAACCTGCTTCTCCTCGCGATGGGAGAGGGATATGTGGATGTCTGTCTAGATGCCGCCCTGGAAGCGGCTACGTCGCAGGAATCCGGCAAGGCCGAGCCCGACTTCTCCTATCTCTTCTCGGCTCGCACTACGATCAGCATTACTACATTGATGGTGATGTGCATCCATGCGGTCCTTATACCTCTATCAGCCTCGAGCATCACCACTCGCCGCGATATGGAGAAGCGCACCAGCCAAACCACCTCGCGCATCGAGGACAAAATCAACACCATCGAGCAGAAAACCATTGACGCCACATTCGCCTGGGTTAGTAGATCGCTATCTGGCCAGAAGAAGAACGACTTCCGCCCTAGGGAGAGTGATAACACCGCATGGTTAGAGATGCTACAAACTCCAGTACGTTCCATCTAACTACCCCCAAAGAACCCTACTAATCCCAACAGACCTGTGCATCAATCACCTCATTTTTAACCCGTTTCCACAATATCGCGCGCACCTCGCTCCCATCCAGCGGCGCCAACGTGCGCCAAGTGCTGACCGAGATAGCACTCGGAATCCGTAATCTCCTCCTCGAACACTTCAAACGGTTCTCTGTCAGCGGACCTGGCGGGCTAATGGTAACCAAAGACATGACGCAATATGCTGACCTCTTCAAATCCTGGGACATTGACGAAGAGACCAAAGGCCCCGGTGGCGCGCTGGACGTGCTTCTGGAAGTCGGCAGTCTATTCGTGATTGGCCCGGAGGCTCTTCGCGAACGAATCCGTGGTGGTGCTGCCAGTGGCACGACCGGTGGCCCCGGGGGTTCAGGACGCAATGCTGTCCAGGAGGGTAAGTTGAGTGTGCAAGAGGTGCGGGCTTATATCTCGCGTCGCGAGGACTCCAATACTTTTGCTATGCAACAGGTTCTTAATGCATTGTGAGGAGGAGATCTTGGTCTGGGATGTTTATACCCTATTGTTTTTGCTTTGATGGGAGCGTGTTGTTTCTACTGGGGGATATAGACCGGCGTAACAATAATGCATGCATTGGTACCTGCTTGTCTTGATATATTGCTTTCGTAATCTTGTTCCATGATTGCTTTAAACAATACGAAGATAACATCTACCTAGAGCTTTTGTATGTCATGTACGCACCATCCAGGCATCGATGCGATACGCCCTGTCATGCGTTGCACAGCGCTTTCCGGAAGGGCCTGTATAAGAAATCCGGA